CCTGTCCTCGGTTGTTGTAGTGTTTGCCACATTGTCTACCACACCCTCCTTCTTTCTTTATTTTTTGGGCCTTTCCAATTCTCTTTCCAAGGCATATATATTCATCACTCTTCATAAAGTCCATAGACACCATAACACCATAATCACCATAATCACCATAAACACGCTCTTCATTTATTTTCACTAACCGCCAACGCTGGGCTTGTATAACACGGAGCATCTTTGAGACGGCGTGCATCACCAACACAATACAGAGGAAAAACTGTGATCAGCACGCGTGTTCATTTACGCTGTACTCTCCACCATTTTCCAACAAGAATTCTCGCTTGCTGGCCCTTGCCGTCCTTGGCAAATTCGATTGCCGACGCGACTACTTAACCACCGGCTGCCGTTATTGTCCAGTGTCTCCCCGGGAGAGAAGGAAAAGGAGGGGAAGGCCTCTCTTTGATGCTCAGATCGGCGGATGCACTCTTTGTACGTTGGCTGGACGAGCGCTGGTTCTTGCTCCTTTCTTTCCTTCTTACCTTACCTCTGATTTTATTCTCTTTCTCTCCTTTTCGCCCTCGTTGCAACTCTCCACCGTCATCTCTTTTCCCGCACTCCACCAGAGCCTCATGAGGCTGAGTCGACTTCTTTCGACAAGAAAGACATTGGACGTTTGGTAGGCTTTCCTTACTAACACCGACCAGACTGAGATACAGATCGTCGACGCGTGCCAGGATGTTGCCATCCGTGCGAGAACCGTCGCCCTCTTCGTCGTCGTCCAAGGCGCTGGCGTGGATCACAGTCGCCGCATGGGCCTCATTATCATGGCACGGCGTCGAGGCCGCCAATACGCCATCCACATCACCGTATCCGCTCACGACGGACGCCAACTGCACGTGCTACCACACCAACAGCTCGACGGCCAACTACTTTTCGCACCACAGCTTCTTTGATTTCCGGAACCTGAGCGAGTTCGCGCACACACCGCCCGTCCTCAAGGACGCACCATCCAACGTCAACGCGCCGGCGACGAATGCCTTTTTTTCGTCGGACCGCTGGACCAACATGTGGATGGCACAGAACTGGGACAACGGCGCGCTCATGAAGGCCAACAACTCGGACGTCACCGGCAGCGACGCGACGCTGTTCATGGTCAACTCGCCCAACAACATTTACATTGAGCACAACTCGGACCACGCCGGCAACCTGTCCAGCCGGGCGGCCGCCGGCGCCCACCACCGGACACTGCACGCCCGCGACATACCGACGTACATGGTGATGCGCACGGCGCGGCTCAACGCGTTCCAGACGTCGGCCGAGATCGAGTCGTCGTCGCAGGGCTACAAGTACCTGTCGGTGCGCATGTACGCGCGCACGGTCGGGTCGCCCGGCGCCATCACGGCCATGTTCACGTACCGCGCGGGCGCCAACAACAACCTCAATCTCGTGCAGGAGTCCGACCTCGAGATCCGCACGCGCGACCCGCCCACGCGCGTCCAGTTCACCAACCAGCCCTCGTGGAACGCCGACGGCGACATCCCCCAGGCCACGCGCAACGTCACCATGCCCGGCGGCAACCGCTGGAACGACTGGGCCCACTACCGCATGGACTGGACCCCCGGCGCCACCTCCTGGTACGTCGACGGCCAGCTGGCCTCCACCATCACCTTCCAGGCGCCCCGCGACCCGTCCCAGGTCATGTTCAACAGCTGGAGCGACGGCGGCTCCTGGAGCGGCAACATGACCGCCGACGGCGCCGCCTTTTTGCAGATCCAGTGGATCGAGATGGTCTTCAACAACACCGACGCCGCCTACATGCCCAAGCCCGGCGGCTGCAGCAACATGTGCAGCATCGACGAGACGCCCGTGACGGGCACGCCGGTGCTGGTGTCCAGTGGAGGTAGGTCTTTGGGAGACGGTGCGAGCGGAGGGCCAGTGTGCCGTGCTTCGATGGTGTCTGTTGTTGTGGCATGCCTGTCGTTGTTCTGCTTCTTTTCTTAGTCGGATATCTTCCCATGCGTAGATGCTAGACGGACATCCACTAATATCCGACCTACTTACTTTACAGGCCAACGTGGACAAGGCGGAAACGGTGGACAGGGCGGACAGGGCGGAAATAGTGGGAATGGAGGGAATGGAGGGAACAATGGCAATGGTGGCAACAGGGGGAACGGAGGGAACAATGGCAATGGCGGAAACAGAGGCAACGGAGGGAACAATGGAAATGGCGGAAACAGAGGAAATGGAGGCAACAATGGCAACGGTGGAAACAATGGAAACAACGGAAACAACGGAAACAACGGCAACAACGGCAACAACGGCAACAACGGCAACAGCGGAAACCACTACCAAAACTGCCAGTCGGCCAAGTACGGCCAGTGTGCGGGCAAGACGTGGAACGGCTGCGGCGGCTGTGCGGCCGGCACGACCTGCAGGTTCCAAAACGACTACTACTCGCAGTGTCTGTGAGGGCACGACGAAAGAAACCGCAAAAACAAAAAGAAACGACAAAAACACTCTCACGACATTCGTATCCGGCGTTTTATATACCACCTTTGACAGCACACGGCTTCTGTACTTTTGTTTTCTGGAGGATAGTTATTTGTGACAGGACTCGAAAGAAGACTGTAAATACGAAAATAACACAATGTACACAACGTACACACCGACCCCGTTACTTCCAATTTAGTCTATCATTTTTGTACCCGGATTAATCAACAGGCCGTCTTGATCCTGTATGTAGTCTGTTTCTTCGTACAACATAGGTAAGATACTCTATTGGATGTTGGACAAAGAGACTGGTGCCCACTGTCACACTGTGTTTCTTCGCTGTGACCAGTATCTTAACTTGAACGACCATACATAGGCGGCGTTTGTGAAATGAATGACGGCAACTAAATCGTGGATGGAACGATATGATTTGCAGAGAGCGGCAGGGAAATGATTTAGAAGATGGAAGAAGGATAGAATTGGGTCTTGGAGCAGAACTATTTTTTGGTGGTAGTTGCCATTTACGCCCGGGCAGGGGGCTGTGCTGTGTCGGCATCGCTAATGCCAAGCAGCTTGAATCCGTTCCTGAGCGTTTGCAGCCGATCAAGGTTGATATTGTCTCGCTCTGCTTGGAGGCTTCGCGAACCCCCTGCCGGCTTCTTCGGCTTCCCCGCCCTCGCTTCCTTTATCCTCGCTGTCGTTCACATCTCCGTCGGGCAACGCGACGCCGACCGCCACAACAACGCCCGTTGTAGCAGTAGTAATTCTTAGCAGGTCAGCGCTGTTTACCAAGTGTTCAAACTTATGAGCAGACCCACCCCGGACGCCGCAATTTGAGCCTTGCGGCCACTTTTAGGTCCCGGCCATGTTTGTTCCGGCCATTTTCACGTCCTAGCCACAGCCAAATCTTTGTCGCGGTGGCCGTGGCCATGGCCGTTGGCCGACAGCCGACAGGGGTAGGATGGTAGGATGGTAGGATGGTAGAATGAACCGCCTAGGCTGTCCGCTGAGAAGGGCATGGTGCGTGGGCCAGAGGCGATACGCGGGAACGGCCGAGCGACTTGGCTTCCGCCATTTAGCGCTGTAGGTACCCTAAACCTTGTTTTAAGTGGCGCCGTGAACAACAGAATTACTTCGTCCAAGTACTCCTCGCGACTTACTTACCGCAAAGAACTCTGTGCAGCAACGCACAACTCTACCCGTTCAATGCCGGAGACGCTGGGATAAGGCACGGGCACCGGGTCCTCTTTCTGCCGCCCGCTTTGCTTCTGCTGACTCTTTGCCACCCCCTTCGATCAGGTATCGTAACGTTCATATCTCGCGGCCCTTGCCACGTTGGGGTATTCTTCGAAGAAGGGTCAACCGCCTGTGGTGTCAGAGGCGTTCATGAAGCACTCTATAGGGGCAATCCACATCCAAATACCGTGCAAAACTTCTCATCCACAGACTGTATTATCTTCCTCAGTTTTCGACCGGACAGATGATAGATCAGAGAACACTTCAACCAACAACTTGAATTTGGCACTACTGGACCACAACAATCATCTAACTCCAGCTCAAACATGGGAGCTATTGCCCCCACCCACATCTCCTCTCCGGCGTGCTCTCTAGCGGCTAGCGATTGGCTGGCAGCGTCGGAGAAATAGGTCGCCGACCCGCATTAAGCTCTTTTCCAATAAACAGTGACAGCTTGCCTGCGCTGCGACCTCCTCGACAACTGGACCTATTTCCTCTGCTTCACCTTCCCCCTCTCCATCTCCCTCACCCTCCCACTCTCCGCTTCTATAAAACCACTCTCAATCTCCTTGCTCAGCGACGATGCACCCATGGCAAGGCAGCCGCGAAAACGACAGCACGTCGACGACTGGCCACAATGCGACACTAAGCCTCCGGCAAAGAGGACCAAGACACAGGGCGACACTGGACTCGGGACGGACGTCGAGGCTTGTGCATCCTGGACTTATCCTCCGGAGTTCTACGATAGGCTCTCCAAGATTAGTCTGACACGCAGGGCCTTGGAAGAGCACAACCGTCGCCTTCGTCTCCTACCTTCCCCGCCGTTGCCTAGGTTAAAAGGACGAGTTGAACATCTTGTTTATACCTTATCTGCTAAAGACCTTGCTCGATTTACGAGACAAGGCGGTCCTGATCTCTCTGATCTTCGCGGGGTAGGTCAACTGCACAAATGGAACCTTCTCTTACTTTCGCTAACTAGGCGTATTAAGTATCCGACAATAGAGCGACAGCCTTCCGTCGTCATGAGTGCGAGTCACTCTTCACGAAGCCGGGCGACTAAGTCCGTCGATCCAGCATCTACCCCTCCTACATCGACAGCGACCAAAACGACCAAGTCCAAGTCGACGGCATACGACTCTAACTTCGATTTACACTTAACCGACCATGGCATTCACCCTATATACTCCTCACAGGTGCCGGACTTGACTGAAGTCCGAGAGGCGTTGACAGTTACTAGGCCGTCGCTCTCGCCGTCTCGGTTTTCTGAAGGCGACTTTAAAGCGTTCCAAATGGCTAATGACCGGGCCAAAAACGAGGCTGAGGTGACCACCTTTGTTATACCAACCATCCTCGGCCCCTACCAACCCGACCACCCGTCCGCTCTTCAGACAGGGTTTAATAACCTCCAGCCGCTCACAGATGGTACCATCGCCCCACCACAACCGGATATCTATTACGGAGCAGACCCGGGGGAGCTGGCTCGGCCAGTTCGCGACACGCTCAGCCACTACATTATGCCATCGACTACGGAGGATAGGCCCTGGGTACCCAACTTCTCGGTCGAGGTGAAGGGCCCAAATGGTAGGCCAGCTGTGGCCACAAAACAAGCCCGTTACTACGGAGCTACTGGATCGCGCGCAATGTATAGCCTACAGAACTACGGGGAGGAAGAACCAGAATACGACGGTAAGGCGTACACATACAGCTCAACTTACCACGACGGTACGCTTAAGTTATACGCTCACCACCCCACGGCGCCAACAGAGGAAAAAGGCCGGCCCGAGTACCATATGAGCCAGATACGGACATTCGGTATGACAGACACTCGTGACACTTTTGTCCAGGGAGCCACGGCATTCAGAAATACCAGGGACCTGGCAAAACGGCACCGAGACAGCTTTATTCAGGCGGCAAACGCCAGAGCATCGCAAGAGGACCCAGCCATAGATCATTCCCTGTGGCTAGATGGCGACGAGGAACTTCAACAAGCTATTGCCGACGCCAACGGGTATGACGTTCGAGACGGTGACGAAGCAACTGCCAGTCATCAACCTCTCTATACAGGAGGTGACCTGGAAGACCCGAGTCAAGACTCTGTGGCTCTCGGGGATGGCCTATCTGTATCCGGTTTTACGTCGAGCTTTACTTCGAGCGTCAGCAGCGCAAAGCGCCTGAAGGAGCCAGTGAGTCCGCCCTCCCGCTCCAAGGGAAGCCGGTCGTCCAAAAGTCATAAGCGGTCGAGAAAATGACGTACGTTAGAATCGACCACCTCACGAATAGCGCAACCGGGGTTGAGCAAGGGTTGAGAAGACGCGTATCAGCGTAGAAGACTGGGTTGTCACGTAAGGGGTTACGGATCGAAGGTAAAGGAACGGATTGGCCAGTGTTTCTGTATGACTTGGGATTCTATGGAAGCAGAATATGCAGTCCTGAAACCGTCACGTGATCAACAAGTCAACCGAGTTCATGTTTTAACAACTTCTCGCCCTCCAGTCGAGAAAATGAGAACATCGGTAAACTAGGTGTACACGCCATCGACTGTATGTACGCATACACCGTCGTAATTTCCTTTGCTTTTCAGCCATGATCTGTCGTCATTGCATTATTCTTATCAAGGCGAACTTGCGTCCGGGCGTCGGGGAAAGCACGCTAAGATCAGCTCCACCGCTGTGGGAATAAAGTGGGTCATTCCTAGTCGAACCGACAGCTCTTTCTCACAATAGCTCTTGCCATTTTGTCATGGGCTTTCACAGCACCTTCCTTTGTTTTGATACCCCTTTTCCACATCCCACAAAACGCCACGCGCTCTCTATGTGTTTTCATCTTTTGTCGTCCCTCCCCCGCTTCAAGACACACACGCCACCTCTCACATACCGAAGCAACAACTGGCGAGCTTGCCTCGCCACCGTACCGCCCCGCCATGGGCACTCCGACTATGAGCGGCTACTTTGGCATGCTGCCGCCCGAGTTGATGCGCGGCGTCCTCGACGAGCTCAATACGGTCGACGCAGTGGCCCTGATGCGGACCGGCAAAAGCCTGTACTCTCATATCGAGCTGGAAGTCTTCCGCTCCAAGGCCGCACGGGACGATGCCATGGAATGGGCCATCTGCAACGCCCAGCACAACGTCGTCCGCCGCCTCGTCAATGTATACGGCGCATCGCCGTCGTTTTTCCGTGGCACCATTGTCATGCGAAACATGACTGGTGGCTCTCGTGGGCGAGGCAGGAAAGTGGTGACCGTCCTGAAGGCACGGTCCACGCTGGTTGCCGTCTTGAAACGCTCGCCCGACATCGAGACGACCATGCGTGTATTCACAGAGCTGGGCGCCATACTGGACCCTGAGCTGTGTCCACGGTCCGAAAAGGACATTCGCGAGGCGAGCTATTCCTTGGAAGAGCTCCGCAAGGCCTGGCACCAGCAAAAATTCACCTTTGCGCGGCGTATGGTATCCCTGCCGACCAAGACCGAGAAACAACAGCAGGACAAGCTCGCTGCACTAAAGTACTACTACGACACGGGCCGAGATTCATTCCGGGTGGAGCCCAGCATTGTCCACTCACTGCCGCGCTTCATCCGGTCCGACAATGATCTGCCCATCGTCCGGTTCATCTTGCTCCAGGATCGCTTGCGCATGCGGACAATCCTCGACATGACCGAATCATCACTGGCGATTGGTGTTGGCAACTCAGTCGCAGACCGAAAAGCAAAACGCGGAGGGCCTGCATACCCCATTGTGGATCGTCCAGAACGATGCGGACCACACGGGGCACCACTTTCGCCTCTCTCGGCCGCCATACTCTGTGATGCGCAAAACATTTTCTCCCTTCTACTCGAGCATGGGGCAGACATCAACGGGCCCACGCTGGATTTCAAAAAGTACGGACCAACGACACATGCCACGCACGTTCCCATCTTTGCCGCCGTCCAAGTTTTTGCGCGGCGGAAACGTGGTGCAGCAGTCCATCACTGGATCGAGCGGTGCTGCCGCGCAGGCGCGAGCATCAACCATATGGCCCTGTGCACATTGTCCGGCAAGCACAGGCCCTACCAGCCAGTATCGTCCTCGCTGAGCTACTACGCGCAAGGCTCGGCCTATCCACCCAGTGCCTGTGTCTACTTCTGGGCCACACCAATGGACGTCTACCTGGACTGCCTTCCGTTACCGTATCTTCGCAGACGAACTATGGAGCCATTCGACGAGGTCAACGATGGCTACGTACCTAGCGTTGAAGCCAACATGAGAGAATTCAGTTTTCACGGTGCAATTGCGGATAGTGCCAGCCGCCGGGCCCCGCCCCGCCTGCGCGATCCTGACACCTCGTACATCGATGCTGAGCTGGACAGCAGCACAGTGAACGCGAAGCAGCGCAACACACTGTTCCGCCTGCACCCATCATATGTGGAATGGATGTACAGGGGCGCACCCACCAATCCTTCGCTGGACACATGGCGCAACTGGAAGCGCATTGTGTCCCCGACCACCGTTGAGATTTTGCTTGACCGCGTTACCATATCCAGCATGGCCTATCCCGTGGCGTCTAGTTATGTTGAGATACTCAAAGAGGCTTTCGGGAGCGGCAGCGGCCAAGAGGCTCGACTCATGTCCAAGTACGACGGTCCTGCACCCGAGAGCCAGTTCCCCGCCTGGACGTCGGGTGCCGAGTCGGTCGGCCGCCGGACGCTGGCCATGCTGCTGCTGTGCGACGACGAGAACAAGTCCCAGAGCGTGCAGCTCCACCGTTATATTGTGTACGCGGTCCGGCGCGCTGATATGCTCTTCATGGACAAGGTTCTGGACAACATCGAACAAGTGTTTTCGGGCCCGTACTCGCATATTCAGGTCGAAGGAACCTTTGTCGCGAGCAAAAGAGACGACGATGTCGAATACCAGTGTTATCTGGCCGACCGCAGCAAAAACCCGCACATCAACTGGCACCAGCAGAGCCCGGAGCGCATGAAAGACTGGACGGCGCTACACGAGATTTGCCGGCTGTGGAACCTGCAGATGATTGACTACGAAAAGAGCAAGACCAACGCGGATGTTCCTGACAAGCCGCTGCCCCGCTTTGCCCGTGAGCTCGCAACGACGATGAAGCTGCTGACAACGCTCGTTGCGCACGGGTTCCCGCCGATGCAGGTGGCGGGGAATGGACTGACGCCCATTGCCATCTTGAGCTACGACCCAGAATCGGTGTTGCAGCCCGCGAGCAAGTCGTTACTCAGCACGATCGGTGACTTTATGAAGACGGCGATGGCTCTCACCAAAATGAAAGACAGCCTGTGAAGACATTGGTTGGACTCGACGGCTAACGCGATTCATCATTCAGCAATGACTATGTACATATTACCACACATACCAAAACCCCGCGATATTATTCTATTATGGTATTATACCTCCAGTGGTGGCGTGTCGCCATAGTCGGCGAGGATGCCCTGGCCCATCTTGTCGCCTATGACGCCAATGTCGTCGACGATGCGGCGGATGGCAGCGACCTCGTCGGTGGTGAGCTGGATGGTGCTGGCGGCGGTGTTCTCTTCGAGGTAGGGGATCTTCTTGGTGCCCGGGATGGGGATGATGTCGTCGCCTTGGGCCAGCAGCCACGCCAGGGCCAGCTGGCCGGGCGTGCAGGGGGGGTTCCTCTTGGCGGCCATGTCGGCCATGGTGTCGACGAGGACCAGGTTCTTGGCGAAGTTGGCGCCCTGGAAGCGCGGGACGGCGCGGCGCAGGTCCTGGGGGCCAAAGTCGTCGGCCGAGCGGATCTGCCCCGTCAGGAAGCCGCGGCCGATGGGCGAGTAGGCAAACGTCGTGACGCCGAGCGCGCGGCACGTCTTGAGCAGGTCGGTGCTCTCGGGGCCCTCGATCTCGAGCGAGAAGACGCTGTATTCGACCTGGACGGCAGCGATGCGGGCCACCGCGTGGGCGCGGCGCAGGGTGGTCGAGGACGGCGCGGAGATGCCAATGTGGCGGATCTTGCCCTCGTCGCGCAGCTTGGCGAGCTCGGCCATGGTCGACTCAATGGGCGTGACGCCGTCGACGCGGTGGATGTAGTAGAGGTCGATGTGGTCGACACCCATCCGCTTCAGCGACTTCTCGCAGCTGGCGCGACAGTGCGCGGGCGTCGACGAGATGGTGATGCCCGGTGCCTTGGTGTCCGGGCGGATGCCGAAGCCAAGGCCGAACTTGGAGGCCAGGAAGATGTCGGCGCGGCGCTCGGGGTGCAGGCCGAACCACTTGCCCAGCAAGTCCTCGTTGTCGCCGTAAAAGTCGGCCGTGTCCCAGTTGGTGGCGCCAATCTCCCAGGCGTGGTCCAGGAGGGCGAGGCGCTCGTCGTCGGTTCCCGGCGTGCCATAGGCGACGCTCAAGCCCATGAGACCGAAACCGACGGCGGCGATTTCTGGGCCATCGCGGCCAAGCCTGCGTGCTGGGATCTTGACCGGCATTGTGGGTGGAAGCGAGTGGGATAAGGTGGAAATTGGATACTGGATTATTGGAGTATTGGAATCGTATCATGAATTGGGTTGTACTGAAACGATTTTATCAAATTATATAGACCGCATACTGGAGATCCGAGCACCCAAGGTCTCGCGGCGAAACCAGTTGTGCGGCGCCATGATTCCGAGAATGAACAAAAGCGTCAAGTTGGGGTACAAAGCCAACCCAGGCGTCTGGACGAATACATCCGCAGAATTGGGGTAGTTGGGGAAGCCAGATGGCCAATTGGCGATGCGCCAGACTTGCCAACTCTCTTGAATTCTGGAATTTTGGGTATTGTATCCAAGGGAAGATAATTACTTTTTTGTTATTTTTTTTTCTTGCTTCTCTCCTTTGTGCCTTTTCCAATGCCAATGCTGCTGGCAACCCACGCGCCTCATCCGAGCTCGTCCCTGCACGGCTGTATTGGACACTGTGGCCCATAGCATGTCCCGTTCGCTACCGCATTCGTCGAATTAATTTATCACAGACAACCGTCACCGAGAAAAGACAGAATGGGGATTTCGACGGAGGACGACGTCCGAAATGACACCTTTCCGCGTCGATGCGGGTGGACGACCAAAGTTTACTTAACATGGTGACTTGAGCAGTTTCCAATGCTTGCCATCTGAGTACGCTGCAAATCACGAATTGCACAATCACAATGGCAGTCGACGCAGTTGCACCTCTGCCGTCACTGCAACAACCGCCAACGGGCGATGTTGGCGACGGCGCTTCGTCTCTCATCGGCCAGCTTCCACCCAAACGCCATTCGCGCAAGACTCTCGTCAAGCGCCACAATGCACACCTCAAGACAATGCCGGATCCAGCAACGGGCGACAACGAAGCCCGCCCGGTAAAGCAGGTCGTTCTGTCCGAAGCGTACCCGGCGTCGTACAAGTCGATCCGCGAGCTGGACGTGATGCCGCTGGCCGCGCTGCGCATCGAGACGCACCACCGCGGCCGCATGGTGGTCGTGCAGGCGGCGACGGCGGCCTACCGCGGCGTCGGGTCGGTGTCGGTGGTGGTGGACGCGGCGGGCGACGCCGACAAGCTGGCGGTGTACAACCACAGCGACACGTCGCTGCTGTCCAACCTGCCGGCGGGGTGCGTGGTGGCGGTCAAGGAGCCGTACTACAAGCGCAACGACGGGGGGCCGTCGGCGGCGGATTTCATGATTTGCGTGGATCACCCGTCGGACGTGGTGCTGCTGCGCTTCGACGACCCGCTGGTGCCGGCCGCGCTGCAGCTGCCCGCCGACAGCCGCGCGGCGCTCGACAAGACGCCGCACGAGTGGCGCGCGGCCGGCGACATGGCGTTTCTGCAGCGCGACCTGCCGACGGCGGCGTTTTGCTACACAGAGGCCGTGGTGGCGGCAAAGGACACGGACGCCACGGCCTCTACGTTTACAGCTGGTGTCTACGCAAAGCGCGCCGGTGTCAATCTGCTGCTGGGCCGCTACGACGGCGCCCGCGACGATGCACTGGCGTCGTGCACGGGCCATGCGGCGACGGACTGGCGCGCCTACTATACGGCCGCCCGGGCGGCCTATGGACTGTGCCACTACGAGACGAGCCGGGCGTACTTTGCCAAGGCGCTGGACGCGCAAGCGAGCGTCAGCGTCTCGTCCACCGTGGACGCGGCGCTGCAGCGCGAGTCGGACCGCTGCCTGGCGCGTCTGCGGGAAGAGACAGAGGGCACCGACGAGGCGTACGATTTCCCGGCCATGTACGCGTCGCTGAGCCTGCAGACGAACCCGGTGCAGGTGCACCTGGACCGGGGCAGTTTTCTGCGCAAGACGGCGGTGCGGCGGTCCGCGTTCCACGGCAACGGGCTGTTTGCGACGGAGGACATGGCGGCCGGCGACATTGTGTTTGTCGAAAAGGCGGCCTTTATGCCCAGCCAGTACCTGGAGCCGGCGCGCGCGTCGGCGGCGCTGTATGCGACCATGGTGCGGCACATGTGCGACAACCCGTCGGTGGCGGCCGAGGTGCTGCAGCCGCTGTACGGCGGGGATCTGGCGCGGTCCGGGCGGGAAGGCACGCTGGTCGACGGCGTGCCGGTGGTCGATGTGTTTTTGGCCGAGACGATCCGCGTGCGCAACTGCTTCAGCGCGCCCCTCGCCACGCTCGACGACACGCGGCCCGAGCCGGGGCGCGGACACGGAGCCGCGTACTGTCTGCTGGCCAAGGGCGTGTGGAAGCACGCGTCGTACCTCAACCACAGCTGCGTGCCCAACACGATGCGCGCGTTCCTCGGCGACATCCTCATCAGCCGCGCCACGCGGCCGATCCGCGCGGGCGACGAGCTGTTCCACCAGTACGTCCCCGTCAAGGCCGACGTGCGCGCGCGGCAGGCCGAGCTGCAGGCCGCCTGGGGGTTTGTGTGCGCGTGCCCGCTGTGCCGCGTCGACGCCGCGACGGACGCCACGGATGCCGCGCGGGCGGGCCACGCGCATCGCCGGTCCCTCCTCCAGGCCGCCGAGAAGCTGGCCAACAAGCACCCGCCGCAGCGCCTCCCACCGGACGCGGCGGTGCGCGCCATGGAGCGGCTGGCCAAGCAAATGGCAGCGAGCTACGACGCAGACGGCGGCGACGTGGAAGCAGCGTTCGGGCCGGGCCAGCCGCGCCTGGGGCTCGTGTATCCGACCATGTGGCTGCTGCGCGCGCACCGCTGCCGCCGACGGCACGCCAAGGTGGTGCGGTACGCGGCCCAGACGCTGCGGTGCTTTGGGTACGGCGTGCCGTCGACGCACGACGGCAGCCGCATGTACAGCCGGCCGGGGATGCCGCTGCACACGGTGCACGTCTTCAGCGCTCTGGCCATCGGCGGCGAGGCGCACCGGGCGCTGGGCCACGACAGCGAAGCGGACGCGTTTGGTGCGGCGGCGCGGCTGGGGTTTCGCATGGTGACGGGGTTCTCCGAGGACGTCAGCGTTATCAATGAGGATGACGAGGGGGCGCAGGCTTAGAAGGAAGCGACGTTGTCGGGCCTTCTGGAACTTGTGGAGCTTGTGGAGCTAATGGAGCTATTGGTTTGACAGCTTGCTGGTGTGGGGCATCGGACTTTATAGAAATCGCCGGAGTCGCCGTGTCCTGCTGCTGTGAATATGTTTTGTCATCCCCGCACGTGATATAATGTCCGTAGGTCTCCGGCGTTACTCTCGTCGGAAAGTCCGTTTCAACTGGCATCACCCATCGTCCGCCAACCGTCCCCAACCCTTCCCTTGTACACACATGCGACTCTGAGAAAAGAAGATTGATTGTATTTCGTGGTTGTGGTCACTGTTTCAGCTGCATTTGCTTGCCGGACGCTCTGTGGCGAACATCCCCGTCCGGCGATTTAATTCTCGTTATTTCCCATTTCCTCTTCGTTGTCTATCCACAGCTCCCTCCCATGCCGCTCGGCAGCACGTCTCCACGGTCGGCGGCGGCTGGTGTTGGTGTTGGACGTGCTGGCAGCGTTGCCGCGTCGTCTGGAGATGACCGGACCAAGACGACGGCCAAATGGGGCGCCGCCTGTGCGTCGTGTGCGGCCGCCAAAGCCAAATGCATCCGCTCGAATCAAGAGTCGGGCACCAAGTGTGACCGGTATGTGTGTCGCTGTTTCTTTTTATTGAGTGTGAAATTATGTGCCCCCCGTCGTGTGCTCTGATATTGCATCTTGTTGGGTCGTTGTAAGTGTGTCTTCAAAAAGGTTCCAAAACGAGATCAGTATAGCACAGGACAACACACTGCATTCATACTCGTGTTCCCTGCTAACATGACAGATGTGAGCGCCTCTTCAAAGACTGCACCGACCAGGTCCACCGTCCTCGCAAGAAGCGGGCTAGCAAACCATCGTACGTGAATTCGCTTGTTTTGCTGTTTTGGCTCCTGTCACCTCGCCTATAGAAGCAAATATTGGCGTTTTAATGGACATTCCGTGAACACTCCGTGGATCGTCAACTCCCCGTTCTTTATGGCTATTCCCCGCCATTCGGACATTTTGCATCGTGAAAAGTCCGTGTGCATATAGCTCGTGCAGTCCGCATTTACTGACAGACTCGACAGAAAAACGGCCCAGCTCGAAGAACGCCTCAACGGACTGGTTGATCTCCTGCGCGCGACGGGCGAGCTGTCGACCAGCGTCGCCGCCGCGGCCGGCGTGTCGACCGGCGCACCGTCCACCGCCGGCCACACAGACTCCGCGTCGGCCGACTCGCCCGACAACCGGTCGTCCGCCCCGTCGGCGCCCTCGTCCATGTCGGTGCCGTCGCCCGACATCAGCACCATTCGCGACGACTACCCTGAGCGCCATGCCCGCGACCGCCAACCGCGCGATGTACGCCGCGAGACGGGACCCAACACGACGCCGGCGACCATCCCGGCGACGTACAACTCGTTTGCGCCGCCGGCGTGCATCTGCCGCCCGGAAATCGGCGACACGGTGACGGACGCGGTCGAGTCGGACGCGGTGTTGCTGGACAAGTTCCGCACCAAGATGCAGCCGCTGGTGCCCATCGTCGTGCTGCCCGACACGGCCACGGCCGCGCAGCTCGCCGTCGACCGGCCGCTTCTGTTCCTGGCGATCAAGACGGTGGCGTCGGTCGACAACTACCGGTCGATGCAGGGGCTCATGTTCCAGCTGATCAACCACGTGTCGGACTACATGCTGCTGCGGGCGGAGCGGTCGCTGGATCTGCTGCAGGGCCTGCTGACGATCCTGTCGTGGTACCACCACCACTGCATGATGCACTCGCAGCTGAGCAACCTGCTGCACCTGGCGTCGAGCCTGGTGGGCGACCTGGGCCTGGGCAAGCCGGCGCGCATCGCGGAGCGCACGGACCTGATGGTGCTGCACCCGAACCCGCCGAGCCCGCGCACGCACGAGGAGCGCCGGGCGCTGCTGGGCCTGTGGTACCTGCGGTCGAGCGTGGCGCTGTGCTTCCAAAAGTCGGAGCCGATGCGCTTCACGCCGTACATGCGGCAGTGCCTGCACGAGCTCGAGGCGGCCGCGGATGCCACGTCGGACGCGACGCTCGTGGCGCTGGTGCGCATGCAGCAGCTGGCCGAGAAGCTGGGCGCGTGCAACAGCGGCGGCGGTGGCGACACCGACGAGGCCCTGCCCCTGTATCCGCCGTACCCGCGCGCGCCCAAGGCCGCGTACAAGATTGCCTTTCAGAGCGAGCTCGACCAGCTGGTGGCGTCGCTGGCGCCCGCGGTGCGCGCGCACGCCATGGTCGAGAGCCACGTCTGCGCCCTCACGCTGCGCCTCTACGAGCCGCCGCTGCTCGACCTGCCGCTGCTGCGCACGCTGTCGTCGTCGCTGACGTCGGCGCTGACGGCGGCGTCGTCGCCCACGCGGGCCACGGCGCTCGACATGCTGTACAGCGCGCGAACCGCCCTGGCGGCCTTTTTCGACCAGTTCTTCACCGTGTCCATCCACATCTACCAGTGGCTGCCCCTGCCGCTGTACGTCCACCTCATCTACGGCATCACCATGCTGAGCCGCTGGGCGCGGCTGATTGGACCGACGCGGCCGGCGCATGCCAACCTGCGCGGGCCGGCCTTGAACAAGGTCAATGGGACGGCAGACACGCCTGCGTCGTCAAGTAGTACGACGTCGGCGTCGGCCGAGCCGCCCTCGGCGACAACACACGCCGCATCCGCATCCACGCCGACGCTCGATCTGCGCGACCCGAGCCATCGTCTCGTGCCGGGCCAAGGCGCTGCTGCCACCAAGCCTGGCGTTTCCGGCATCTCTGGCATCGCAGGCCCGGGTGGCCGCGGCCCCGTCTCCAGCATGCCCTTTGCCTTCATCCCCGGCATGGACGCCCGCGAGCTGCAGCGCGACCCGTCGCTGCTCCAGGCCGTCGCCCGCCTGCGCGACCACATGCGCCTGCAGCCCGACCTGCAGCTCGACATCCCCGCGACGCTGACGACCATCTGGGACCGGTTTGAGCAGTCGAACCGCGAGATGCGGGCCGCGGGCGCCGCCAAGTTTGGCGACTCGGTCGCGCGCGGCATGAACGTCTGGGACCTGACGGCGCGCAAGATTGCCATTATGCGCTTCAAGGTGGGGCGGTACCTGGACGGCGCGACGGCCGGTGCGATTGGGGGCGGCGGCAGCGAGGCCAGCAGTGCGGGCGGTGTGGGCGGTGTGGGCAATGCGGCCGACGGCGGCACGGCCGACCACCATTCCCGCACCACACAGCACCACACGCCGACCACCAGCGCCGTCGCCCAGCCGCCCCAGCGACCGGTGCCGACATTCAGTCCGTATCCGCCGTACGCGCAGCAAATGTACATGACCAGTATACAGGGGCAGCAGCAGCAACAGCAGCAACAACAACAACAACAACAGACCTCGCAGTCGCAATCGCACGCGCAGACACAGCTGCCCCTCCACACAGCATCAATGACATTTGGGTCGTCGACGCCCATGCCCGCAGTCGCGGCCGCCGGCATGGGCGCGCCCGAACTGGGCTCTGCCTACGCCATGGGCGCTGGTGCTGCGGCGGGCGGTGCTCCTGGCATGGGGGACATTGGCAATGGCCTTGGCAGTGTGGCCGACATTAGCTATAGCCTGGGGAACCTTGAGGGCTGGGACCACGACCCCTTGTGGGGCGCGGACCTCTTTGGCACAGGGCCCGATCCGGCCATGTGGGCCGAGAACATGGACTGGGTCGCGACATTGGGGTGATTTGGGACTAGCTGGGGCGGGAATGTGCTTCGTGTTGGCAAAAACGTGAATGGACAGGACACGATGACGAAATAAAGATATATGACGGATGGCCGTCGTCTGCCTCGAGGCGATTTATGGGTTGATTTGGCGTTCTGTTTTTTTTGGTCTCTTTGTTTGTTAGTCTTTTGGTTGCGCTTCCAATACCCGTCAATACGGTGTGCTTTAAATAATCGAACAATACTACAGAATACTCCAGCAGCCGACACAGTCACCACAATGAGACAATTACACTCGTTTATGGAACCGGACCAGCATGGCCCCGTCGGCCTCCGCCACGACCCCCCCAGCAGGCACCCAAGGCTGCCTAGCAAGCCGGGCCAGGACTCTCTTGCTGATTGGCCCTCCCACATCCCCCAGCGTCTTTCGTCTCTTTCGTCTCACTCGTCCTCGCACACAATACCCGCTGCACCGCCGACGTCGCCAGACGCCCGCTGCGCAACGGACACCGACATGGCCTCGCCCGGCGCCATGGCCCTCCAGATCGTGTCGGACCTGCACCTCGAGATCCACGACGACTATGACGCGTACACCATCACACCGCATGCGCCCGTCCTCGCGCTGCTGGGCGACATCGGCCTCGTCGCGCGCCACCGCGACGCCCTCGCCGCGTTCCTCGCGCGGCACCTGCGCCAGTTCGACGCCATTCTCTTTGTGCCGGGCAACCACGAGGCGTACCACTCGTCGTGGCCGCGCACGCGCCAGATCCTGCAGCAGTTCGAGGACGAGGTGACGGCGCGCCGCGACGGCGGCGACCGCGGCCTCGGCGACCTGGTCGTCATGGATCGCCAGGCCTACCGCCTGCCCGGGCCCAGCCACCACAAGGTCGTCGTCCTCGGCTGCAGCCTGTTTTCGCACGTACCGCCCCTCGGCGCGCGGTCCGTGCAGGACGGCATGAACGACTTCCGCCTGACGGCCGGCTGGGACGTCGCCGCCCACAACGCCGCCCACCAGCGCGACCGCCAGTGGCTCAACGAGGCCGTCACCTCCATCGAGCGCCACGGCGACCCCGACCTGCGCATCGTCATCGTGTCGCACTGGAGCCCGACGGGGGACGCGCGCGCACGCGATCCGCGCCACGGCGCCGCCCGCGACGACGCCCTCGCCAGCGCCTTTGCCACCGACCTGCTCGACGACCCGTGCTTCCGCTCGCCGCGCGTGTGCGCCTGGGCGTTTGGCCACACGCACTACAACTGCGACTTTCTCGTCGCCCGCGACGCAATCGGCGCGCCGCCCATACGCCTGCTCGCCAACCAGCGGGGCTACGCGGGCGCCGGCGCGCCCAAATTCGATCCGGCCAAGGTCCTCCTCATCGAGTAGGACGACAGTGGAGGAGAAGATGACGACGACTAGGAAACGATAGGAAATGTGCCAGCGAGGTGTTTGTGACTTGTTTTATTTATGTTCGGCGACATTCGAGAGAAGCTATTGTCATAAATCTACGAGCAAGATGGACAAAAAGATTCTTGGAGCTCAGCCCTACTAGATCCTTGCTCGGCGTTTGGGAAGCCGTATTTGGTATGAACCAACCCAGCTCCGTACGACCAAGTCAAGTCCGGTTCGTCCAGGAAGAAAGAGATAGCAATCACAGGGAGATGGCAAATTACCTTCAAGCATCACCTGCACTCACCGACGATGGGTTCTTGCCGCGCCTCGACAGCATCGGGCAAGAGTGCCGACGTGGTGGCTCGTCCGGCATTAATCGGCGCCGCCCGCGTCCTCGACTACAAGACAGACCCGAACTGAGGACCAACCGCACGGAAATCCACGCCCGACGGCCGCGGGTTTCACTTTGTTGTGGACGTCGGCGGCGCCGCGGCCACGCTCGGCCCGTCGCTGCAGGCCATCCGAACTGACGGCATCCTTTCGCTGGTCGGCGTCCTCGACGCAGGCAACACCAGTGCCGACACCAAGGTCGACATGCTGGCCGCATTGTGGACCCTCTGCACGGTGCGTGGTGTTGTCCTCGGCTCCAAGGCCATGTTTCGGGACATGGTCGCTTTTTGTGAACGGCACAATGTCCACCCGGCCCTGGACGACGTTGCGTTCCCTCTGGCGGACACAGTTGCCGCGTACAGGCGCGTCGAGGAGCAAAAGCACTTTTCCAAAGTCGTAATCCAAATTCGGTAGGAAGAGGTCGTATTCAATATACAAATCATCTTGCCAACACGGCCCAGTCTTGTGCTGTCGTCCATGGTAAATATTGTAATGTTCTTCCCGCATCTTGCGTGTCCAGCTTCGCTCTGTCGCCCCGGTAGACATCCCAGCCAAAGCCTTGCATCGCTGCAACCACTGAAGGCGCAGGGAGTCCGCTATAGAATCGGACAATGATTTTTCGTAGTGACGAGATAATTTTGAGCTGCACATCCACTTGTGCCAAAGCCTCTCGAATGGACTGGTCGTCAAGATCGTCGTGGCTGTCACCGCCTGTATACAGCAGACTTTGGGACCCGTGGGTATAGATAAGCGTTTCCAGAATCGTTAGGTTGGGACAATTCTCCCGCAAAATCGCCAGACTGCTCTGGCCATCACCTGTGAGCGCGAGTCCAAGTCTACCCGGCTGCCCTTGAACACTGACGACGCGCTCTATTGCTGGAAAGTTGATGCTTAAATGCGAGACCGCGCCTGCGTTGCCCGGCCCAATACTGTTCACAAAGTTGCGCAGGAGTTGCGCTTGGTTCTGCGCCGTGTCCGCCAAACGGAAATGATGCAATCCATACAGCACCTCGCTAGCCTCGGCGTGTACCTGTCGGTTGACGTAGAGTAGTGCAAGCCATCGGGCAGGTTTCTCCGGCGCAAATGTCTCCAATGGCCCCGGTACCGTTGATCCGTTGTTTTGAAACAAATGGAGTGGATGGCGCAGAACGAGCACGCGCCGGTAGATGGCGTTGCGAACTTCGCGGGGTATGCTAAGAAACGACGAGGTGTGCTGGAGACATGTCAGTGCGGTGTCTATGATGGATGCCATGGTGTGCTATGCGGAGCAGAACCCATCTTTTTCTGATCCTCGGAGACCATGGCAGGCGAAACTGGTGTTTACAGAGGGAGTAACCGCGGTATCAAACATTGAACTCGTTGTGGAAGAATACTGCGTCAAGGTGATTCAAAGTCTGCTTCTTTGATGTAAATACTGCCGCTAGAATTTCAAGCTCGCGCTAGACCTGAATTGCTGATTCAACAGCGAATCGCAAGCCGGGGCGGCTTTGATGGATATCTGCGCTCGGTATCTTCTATTGGACGACATGGGCAGCAAGAATCTATTCACAGACGAGCAATTGATCATTGACGAGCTCCCACAGGAATTCGACCTGTTCGGCAATGAACCGACTAACTACGACCTGTGCTGCACCCGGGAGCCCTCCGAGGAAAACACGATCCACTTCGATCCCATCGGCCGTGGGTTTGGCGAGTTCTTTACCTACGCTTCGTGCCACTGGCTGGACCATTATGCCACCGTAACACTTGCCCCGACGCCAGGGAACATAGAGACGCTGTGCCGGGCCGGCTCGATGCGACTGCACAATTGGATCACACAAAACTGTCGCCCCGGGTGCACCCTCAAGCACCCTCAAGCCCAGATTCCCATTCGATAGCAGCCTGTACGACCCTCTTGGAATTAACGCGCTCTTTGGCTCAGAAGTCATGCTGCGGCATATGGTCCAAACGGCCGACTTTGATGACGGCAACGTTTTCCCCGACACGGCTATGAGGGCTGCTGAGCAAATTATCCTGTCGGGTGACCGGTCTCGACTCGGAATACTTTTCACGGGTGGACAAGTTTGCCAACAGCTGCAGACTCTTGACTTTTTCAGACTTGTCATGAAGCTATGGGCTGCCTCCGATCGACGGGCCCAAGACTGGGACACGATATTTGACTTTGTCAGCCGCGTGTTGGATAGTATGGTCCAGGACCGTTGGGGCAACGAGCTTCTCTGCTCGGCGGCTGGCTGGGGCTGCATGCCGATGCTTCAGCGGCGGATGACGGGCGCTCAGCAAATTGAAGCGGTCCGGACCGAACTGCTACGTGACGCCCATCGCGAGTATAAATTTGGCGTTGTTGGTAAAGCGGCCCATCAGTCGATTGGAGAAGCCGTCTTACGAAACCATGTTGATGTCGTGGCATATTTACTGGGGCAGAAGGGCATTGAGCCACACCTCCGATACCGAAACTCTCGCGGCGAGAACGTTTTGCACCAGGCATCTGCAATCTGCAATCCTGCCATGTTCCGACTTTTGGGTTCGCCACTTCAAGAAGGAGTACATCAGCCAGACCACCAGCAGCGCTCGGTATTGGTACGAATCATTATGAGCTCGCTCGGTTTTGTATTCGGCAATTTCGAACCCGTACATCTCCGGGGCAGAGTGTGTTTATCGGGGGCCAGGTAACATGTGATCGGATTGACAATTGGAATCGACGGCGTTACTATCTGCCAGCGTATCGATAAAGAGATTGGCAACCGTGGTGTCTTTCTGGGATAGGAAATGATGTAAGACTGAACTACTACCTGTTGTCTAAAGTACAAATCGAATTGAACGTGGTTGTTGTGGCCCAATCGCATCCAAGCACCATACATCCATCGCCCGCTACCAGCCCCCTATTTTACCCAACAGAAACTTAACAAGGTCCGATTCGCTCATCAGAGACACTCCATCAGCGTCACTGAACACGTCCCGGATCGTAATGCCAAATTCAGGACTTCTGTTCTCCTTCAGATTCGCGATGAACTGGTCTGGTGCGGATATGAAGAAAATCATATAGTGGAGGACACGGCCGATGCTAGATGCTGACACGGCCGGACGAACGTGATAGACCTGGGAGCCGGGCAGCCCTGAGAACATCTGCGGAACGCTCTCGGCTGATTCTGAGATGTGCAGAATAATAATATTGTCTCTGGCTTTGACTATGGCCAGATGCCATGGACCCTTGTTGCCATACCGGAACGGTGTGACGGAATACTTGCATAAAGAGATTCGATCCCAACAATCCTTTAGCCACTTCAGTTCGAAAACTGCTTTCCGGGCCTCGAATGTCTGTGCCATATGAATGAAGACTTTTATTTGAGATTCCAGTCGAAGAGAAATGATGACAGAGTTCAGGGCATCCTCTGCACGTTTCAGCCGGTGTTTGGCAGCCTTTGACTCTATAAGTCTTTTGTGACTGGATTTTTGTAGAAACCCCGAGCTGTTCATTTCGTAATATGTCTGTTCCTCGGGTGGTAGATCATTGATACTCTCGATTATAGGTATGTCGATGGTGCCATTATTGTACTGTCGAATCGCGACCAAGTGGCGAGCCTCGAGACCAGTGCACAGCCGAGTTTTGCTGTGCGGTTTTGTCGACGTGTGGTCCTGGTAGAGAAGGCCGTTGAGCAGCGGACGAATTTCATCCAGGTGGTGCCGCTTTGCAAGTGCGCGCAAGTCTTGGCAGACGCGAGGGGATGAGAGATACCACTTATTGACAACAATGACCTCGTGACCCCATTCGAGAACCACTGTCAGGAGTTTGTCTATGCATTCTTTTTGCCTCGCATCGGCCTTTCTGGCACGGCGTCCAGGACGAGGTATTCTTGTCGATTGTAGTGCCGATTCGATTGCTGCATAGTAGGCTTCCGTCTTCTCGAGCCGTTCTCTAGCCCGACGCAACAATGGCGGTTCACCACTCGATTTCCTTGGACAAGAAGTACCTTAGAATTAACGTTGCAGACCACAATAATCACACTATGTGCATACTCACCCATCCTTCCACCTGTTCATATCCGTCTCTTCTTCCATTTGGGCGATTTCTGTCCGTCAGGTGCGAGTAGTATGTTGGAAGATGACCGCATTAGCAGGTGCTTGCAGAGAAAAACTCGTCCTGAACGCTTGAACGCCGACCCTTGGCTATGGCTGTGGGCCGCTGTGGGTCAGTAGGGCTGCCTGCCAGCGGGAGATCTAAAATAGCGCACGGAAGGCAAAGCAAAACAGCTTTATTTTGGACCTTCCCTCTTTGGGGTTCAAGGCTTTCCTGGCGTTGCCTCTCTGAGCGAACAGCTACTGCTCGACAAAACGTTTTGTTTCCCAGCAATTCGTCTCAAAATGGTATGTCATACCCGATGACATACCGAAAAAGGTATGGACTACGTGCATTTAGAAAAGAAGGCGCGCGGCCGCCAGGGACCTGCAGATACGTATGAAAACAACTTGTGCAAGTCCTCCACCTTATTTTCCAATTCTTCTCTCTACTATTTATTTCCCTGACTCTCTCTCAATTCGATTTTCTCCCTTTCGCTCTCAACGTTCAGTTTCGACCTTCCGCCAAATACTTTGTCAATCACTTTATTATTCGCGCCGTGTCAGCAGGCACGTCTTCATCTCTGCTTGATAGTCATACCCTCCTCTGTCCAAGCTGCCATCCTACACCACGTGCACCCCTTTTCACAAATCAAATCGGCGTACCCCTTTTCAACACGTTTTCACTCCTACCCAACTGAATACCTGACCTTGATAATATTCTTTCTCATTTACTTACAAACAGTCCTCGAAAATGTCCAATACTCAAAATACTTCCTCCAAGTCAGACGCTGTCTCGTCAGACATTGACTACGACCGCCATAGACTGGACAACGGACAAATTCAAGACGCCGGTGTATGTCGTTCTCTATGCTTTCATTCTCTTACTAATCTATTCCTGCACGAAGTGCTAACTATTCTCCAACTCCCACACCATAGGCAACACCAGCGTCTAATGAGGCGCCGATCCCGACCACAGACGATACGACTCGAGGCCTCGAGGCGGGCACAAAACAACTGGACGAATTGGTGGCGACGTTTGCGAACAACATAGACGATCTAGCTAAGCAAGCGGTTAAGCTCCAAGACGAAGTCAATAAGACACTCACCGAGATTGGAGAAACGAAGGTATAAAGATGATGTAGGAAAATAGGCGTCTGTTTGTGGGCTTAGTTAAATACCTATGTTGGAAGCTGGCGAGCTGGTATAAATCGTACTCGCAGTGTTTTTTATTAGTATCAACCTCTTATTCTTGCTGTACTCGCAGACGTTTTCCACTTGTCCTCCACATTGAAAAGGAATAATGGTGTTCATTTATTTTTGTAAAGGCTTTTTCTCTCAAATATTTTCTTACATCTGAGTCTTTCATTCATTCAAGTCATGTTACCCTTTACTTTTTTTGACATCAAGGATTGCATAGGATGGTGTGCTGGATCTTAATGAACAATCAAAGAGGAGAGTCACCTGGAGTAATACGATGCGTAATTATTGTTGTTTATTTCCGTTCGCATCCATTCATAGTTTTAAAATACCGTCAATTTGCTGATTAGAAATTCAAATCCCTGTTTACCTTTTTAAATTTTTTATTTAATAAAACAAAAGGAACATGCGGCATAGTGTTTAACAGTTGGAAATAGTGAATATGACAAAGGAAAGAGTAGTATCTCCAGAGCGTAGATAGATGCAGTGCAAGACTGATATCAAAGCTGAAGTATATGAAACTAAGAATACATTGTAAGGCACCGGGATGTACCTACATGTGATCCATCACCATTTCGTCTAGCGCTATTTACTGGTACTCAACACAGTCGTAGTATTGCGTGTGGCGCTGCGACGAATGGTGAGGCTCCCGATGGCGGCGGTGGGAAGAAGAGGAAGCCTGCTGGTGATTAGAGTGCGATTTGTGATGGGACGAGGAGTGTGAAGACGGGCTATGACGGGAAGACGACTCACAGTGAGCATGGCCCTCTGAACGAGAAGAGTTGCTATGGGAGTGACGCTGAGAAGAGTGGTGATCACTTCGGTGGGACGACGTCGAAGCCTTGCGGGTGGCGTTGGATCGGTGGAGACCAGGAGCTGGATCCGAGGACGGGATGGGCGCAAACGAGAGAGACGTGGGCTGGGCGTATATACCAGAACCGGTGGCGTTGTAGTCCGTCAGAGGCTGGCCGGCGTTGTAGCTATCCTGAACACGAGGAGCAAAGTCAGTATCATAATAAGTAGAGCTGGAGACAGGCTGAGCAGCATTGTACGTGTGGCCCGGGCGCTTGGCAAAGTCTGGTTGGAAAGGTTGCGAAGCGTCGTACGAGGTATGGTCGTGGCGCATCACAAAGTCCGCCTCGGCCAGATAAGCCTCAGCAGCAGAGGCCGCCGCAATATACGAGTCGCCAGGACGCACGGTAAAGTCCGGGGCAAAGTTCTCCGGGAAAGCAGGTTGCTGGTAGCGGCGGCGGCTGCTGCCGCTGGACTGCTTCTTCTTGAACACGCCGAACATATTGAGATGATGTGCGCTGGGAAAGTTGGTTGGTGCAGATCACTTACTTGAGTGAAATCGGTCGACGAAGTTGTCTGTTGTTAGTGATTGGTAGTTGTTTGGGTCGTTTTAGTGGTGAGTATGTTTTTCCAGGACGATATTAAAGAAAAAAAAGGAAAAACAAGGAAAACGGAAAGAAAACAGCGGAGGTGAAGACATGCAGATTGGATTTATTTATACATCTCCAACCATGGTATCTGAACATTGAGACGTGCCATTGAACAGGAATGCATGGACACCGACCATCACCGTACATAATAATGGGATGTCATTCAGAACGGCAATGTCTTGTTGTGCTCCTTCACGGCGTGGAAAGCTCGAGTCGTAATGCCAGCAATGTGTCAATTGAAATTTATGAACAAGTTTAGCTGCAGCGCTGCTGGCGCCAAACTGGCTGTCCCAGGAACAGGCACCAACAGACTTTTCTGTGAACAAAGAGGTTTTCATGCGTTGTAAGGCCACTTTTAGGCGACGTTTCGTCTTTGGGGCATGAGAGGTTGTTAAATGTGCTTCTCTGTATGATATGTACGATTAAACAGAGAATGGAAATTTGCCCGGTCATTGTCGCTGCCTCCAGTGAAAGCAGGACTGTACAGAGGGTTACACCTTGTAGCATACCAATCGCGAGCACAAGGGTCTCCGCCAACAACGGAGCCACTCCAGCCGGTAGCTCCCAACAGTCGGCGAGGATGTCGACCACTGGTACAAAGGAAAAAGAAGACGCTAGACATGGTGCACGGGAAGCACGCGACGACACTTAAAATTTGCAACCTGTTGAACGGCGTATTCAGGATTACGGACAAGGCTCAAATCATAATCGCAAAATGCTGCAAAGGTCTCGCAAGAATATTCATAACCAATAAGACGTCTTGGTTTCCCGCCTCTGTCACAGGTACGCTTGGCAGTTGACATTATTCGGAGGCATGAAAAGCGCGGTGCTAGAGGCGGGGTATCCTTATTGACGCCCAGCCGAATGTGCAAGGAGTATCGGTACTGGTAATGGGTGCAAAACACTCGTTTACACGGCAGGAGCTAAGGACGAGTGGGACGATCTTCGTGATCACTTCGGACCGGCCCCGCGCTAGATGCCGAGTGTCGGGCCGCTAGACGACGTCCATCGCCCCTTCCGACAAAAGTGCTGCGTGAAGTCAATTGTGAGGGTTCTACCAGAGTTTACCTCTGCTACTTCACACTTGCTTTTCGTGGTGTTTGTAATTGCGGCGTGTTCCTCGGACCTTAGCGATGTTGCCAATATACCCCGCCACACCTCCCGCCTGTGCCTCATTATTGTTGGGCGTCGCTGGCTTGCCCCTGGCTGTCATATTTTGAAACTTACCCAAATACGATAATGTGAGGCTGACAACCGGCGCTCATTCCAGCGACTACAAGCCTTCTTCTTTCTCATTTTTGTCCACGTCAAAATTCACGCTCCCAGACAAACCTGGCCATCCCCATGCCTCTCGTTTGATAAGACAACCTGCTTTGTCTGTTTCAGACAGCAGAGTCTGGTCGTCCGACTTGCTTCCATTGCATGTTAAGCCTAGCAATCCTTAATCAGCATTTATCCCCGACTTGCGTATGCTGAGCTGCCCGACTTTCATCATGGATGTTTTACCTCTGCCAACACACGCGGCCATTCCAGTATCACGGCCAATAACGACAATCGATCTTGTACGGCGCCTTCGTGACTCAACGACGAGCACCAAAGAGCGCGCTGCACTGAGGGCACTAGCGGCCCAAATGGTCGACGTTTTCAAGGAGAGACCGACCCAGGACGATTTCATCGACGACGCAGCCAGCCTTGCCCCAATACTCGATCGCTACCACTACCAACTCCTCATCTGGAGTTTTGTCGATGCTCTTACGAAGGGAACTACCGATGGACAAATTCTACAACCACGACTTTGCGACACCTTTGTCCGTGTCATTCGATGGGCGGACCGGCTGGGAGACAGCGCCAAGAATGACTCCGAACCCATTGACATGCGACTGGGCCCGGTTCTGGAGAGCATGAAGAAGAGACTCGATGCAGCGGGCCGCCAAGCCGAGCCTGGAACTCAGTATCAGCTTATCAGCACGCTGGGCAGCATACTGGATGCCATGAATGACGCAAAGAGACAAGGCATCGACCGTGAGAGCCTGCACGAGCCGCTGATGGACGAGCTCAAAACGCTCCGCAAGGCGGAGAACATCCGCTTAGCACAAGCGTCCAGTTATGCCTACCAAGCCCTGCTCAGCATCCCGGACAACGAAGGGCCGGCCAAGGCACTCCTACGGCACACGGTCAAGATTGTCGGTTCGGCAAGCAAGGTGGCCGGCGCCGTGTCGACGGCGGACCCGTCGAAGCTGTTTGATGGCCTCTTTGGACTGACTGATCTGCCCGAATTGATTGAGTCCATGGTTGCCGTCGTGGCGTCCGCGTACAATCTGGTGTCAGACGTCAAGGCAGTCAAAGAGAACGGCGTCATGCGCCGGCCCAAAGGATGGTACATTGCGCTACGGTACAGCGACATGCTGATGAGAGCCCGGTCGTTTCAGGGACTCGAATCGTTCGTAAAGGCCGTCCCTTGTGGCATAGACGTCGACTTTCAATGCGGACTGTATGCCCAACTGGAGCGTGCCTGGGGCGCGTTGGAGTCCAGCAACACTTCGTCTGTCAACAAAGACAAACAAGCGCTTCGAGACATTGCAGTCATTGTTCCGTCGCCAAAGGGCGGTACCAACGATCTCAAGCTCGTAATGGCCTGGAGAGAAACAATCAAAGACTGCTTTGGCTTGCCGCTCGACATGAGGACGGACGCAGAGCAACGCATGGCCAAGAAAACGTCGAAGCTGGCTGTTTTTGTGAAACAGAAGGCGTACTCCTCCCAGGTCGCTTACCTAAAGCCTGCCGCAGTTCCCTCATCGACCGCGCTGCTCACAGAAGCCTGGCACAAATGCAGCCGTGCTCTCGTTTTTTATGCAGATGAAGAGCTAAGGCGGTACTACCTGGCTTCCGGCGAGGAGATGCTCAAAATCAAACGGATTTCAGGTGCCACGCTGCCCATGTCGGATTGCTACATCAATTTGGCCATTGTGGAGAAAAGTCAAAAAACGGACGGGCGACATGAACTGAACGACGGAGATTATGCAAGGAGGGTCATGTTAGACGGTCTCTTTGGGCGAACAAAACGTGACGATGGCAATGTTCACGCACGCAGCCGTTTGTTCATCTGGGGCCGTGCGGGTGTCGGGAAGACTACGCTGTGCAAGAAAATTGTGCATGAGCTCACCCGTGCCGCTGACCACACGGATCTCCCCCACTGGTTCGCGAGATTCGACCGCGTGTTGTGGCTCCCGTTGCGCAAACTAAAGCTATACAACCTGCACCCTGGCTACCAGCTTAGCGATATTTTAAAAGATGAGTACTTTGCCCGGCAGGCTGACGGGAGCAGCTTTGCAGAGGCATTAGCCAGACAATGCACAGGCGGAAACAGCGGCGACGACAGCAACGATTGTAATGATGGCCAAGGCGGGACCGGCCGCACTCTATTTCTGCTCGACGGCTTGGATGAAGTCTCTCAGCTGCTTGATCCGGAGCACAAGGCGAACAGATTTCTACACTGGCTCTTGGATCGACCGAGTGCGATCATTACTTCACGACCCGGCGTATCGGTTCCTTTGCCGCTGCGCTTAGAATGCGATTTCGAAACGGTCGGCTTTACGGTGGAGCAGGTTCAACAGTATATTAAGACGACAATGCCCACGGAGGTGTCTGACAATATGTTGCTCTTCTTACACAGCCGCCCCCGCCTTTTGAATCTGGTTCGCATTCCGGTGCAGCTGGATGCTTTTTCCTACGTCTGGAACGAAGACCGGCGCCCGACGGACAACCGCCCGACGGACAACCTGGGCAGCTCTGGTGCTCTGCGGAGTGAGTCGAAAATGGCCACAATGACCGACGTTTACGACGCCATCACCCGGAAGCTATGGAGGAAGGACATTCCGCGCGTCAGGGGCCCGCACGATGCGAACAACTTCACGGATGCGACTGTACGGCGGCTTGCCGACGACGAGGTCGTGGAGGAGATGCAGGGCGAAGTACATTTTGTGCAAGCTTTGGCCTTTGCGGCATTCTACCACGAAGTGGTGATTTTTGAGCAAAGCGACTGCGTGGCCGTGCGAAAATATGCAGACAATCCTCCAATGAAAGGCTTTCTGAACCATGTTCTCGCCAATCTCAGTTGCCTACGCGCGTCCGATGCCTCGTCTCTGGACGACGAAGACGCCACCCACAGGACGTACCACTTCATACATCTCACGTACCAGGAGTTTTTTGCGGCGCAATTCTTTGCTCGTCAGTGGACGGCCGCCAGCGTCAGCAGGGACGGAAAGGGCAGGATGTTTACCTGCCCCAAACTTGGGAACCGAAAACAGGTTCGCCTCTCGGCGCACGCGTATCTTCAAAAGAACAAGTACAGCACGAGACACAACATTTTTTGGCGCTTCGTAGCCGGGCTGCTTCGCATCGGACATGGTGATGCGGCAGACATCGTCGAAGACAAAGACAGTGACGACGGCGAAGACGGCGGCGAAGGCGACGACGAACAACTCGACTTTGGCAACGCAGCTGCGGACACGATCAAATCATCGAAGCGCATCCCGGACTCGCTCCGTCGCTTTTTCCACGCTTTGGAACAAGAGCCACGCGACCTCTTGGGACCGGTGCATTTACGTCTGGTCGTATCCTGCCTTGACGAAGCAGACCCAAGGCAGAACACACCGTATTTTGACTTGCATCGTGATATGCTACGTCGCTGGATGCTCTGGGAATGTCAAAAATACAACAATTCGCACTTGGCCGGCTTACCTGCCTTTCCGTTTCGAGTGGTTGAAGCTGCCTTGGAGGACGCGCCCGATGCACTGTCTAGGGGACTTATGGCGTCGATCGCCAAGTGCTCGACCATCACGTCCAAGAACTACCTGTTCCGACTCTGCAACTATGTGCATCCCGACAAATATCCGTCCCCTCTGTCATCGCTTGCGTTTTTCACCTTGCAGAATCAGTCGATTCTATCACGTGACGTGATTGAAGAGCTGCTTGGCCACCTTCGTCGCAACAATTATGACGGCGACGATTTGGAGCATTATTTCAACATACTATGGAAAACCCAGAACGTGATGCTCTATGTGGCCGAGCTTATAAAGGACAGCAGGCCCAACATACAGAAGCTTGCCGGCTGGATTTTAAGGCGAACAATGCTCTTCAGCAGAGTTTATCCACGGGAGGCAGTGACAGCTCTCGTTTCGGTGCTACGTAACATCGAAATGCATCTGCCTAGTAACATGGTAGAAGTTGTATTTTCAGACTCACTGCCCCGCGAGGCAACAGACGCACTATTGATGCGGCTACGCCACAAGGACCACAATGTCGTCTTGGATATGATACACTGTATCGTGAAAATTGACCCATTACACACGGGCTTCTACGCATACTTTCCGAAGCCAACCTCCGTCGAGACAGAGGTGTTCGTGGAGGTCGTCTCCCTCATGAAATCACCCAATGTAGACGTTGCTAAAGCCGCGCTTGACTTGCTGAAATCAAAGGACAGGCTCCAGTGGACAGAGACAGATGCATTCGATATTCTTTTCGAACATGCAGACGAGAAACAGCAAACAGCCATCGAACGCGCCATGCACGGTACAAGAGCCACATTGCCGCCAAGCATCATGGCCAAAGTGCGCGCCCAGCTACAGGAGGCAAACGACCAGAATCAACTCGGCGCCATACGTCTTCTGGAGAACCAAACACTACCAGACGACATCCTCGCCTTCCTACTGCGCAAGTTCGACGAGGTGAAAACAAGTTGCGAGATACGAATCGCCCTGGCACGCACTCTGGGGAGCAAAGGGGCCGCTCGTCCGTCATTGGTGCTGGACAGACTGGTCACGGCGCTCAAGGATGCAGATGACACATTGGCACCGGTCTTGTTCAATGTGCTCTGGCACGAAGACCTTCCGGAGAGCATCGCAGCCATGTTGGTGGAGTGCATCAGCATGGACAACATACAACATGTCTGTCGTCGTTATCAGCCTTCTTATGTGAGAAAACCACGTATGCCGCACCTGCCAGAGCCTGCTATGTCGTCCCTTGTCGCGAAATATCAAGCCCTCTCTCGCCGTGAGGACGCACAGAATTTCGTTTTGACCGTACTCCACGGCCACACAGCCAGTCTGCCCGAACACGTTATCATCAGCCTCCATGACGAGCACCGGCGCTTGCGCGAAGAATCACGCCGCGATGAAAGTGTTGACCCGGCTATGCACACCATAACAACAATCCTGTCCAGTCGGATCACAGACACGCCATGCATTCGAGACTATTTCGTCGATATGCTGTACGATACAAATGTCAAAGTAGTTGGGCTTGCGGTACGTGGCTTGGCACACCCAGACCGGGTAGATGACGCAGTCTTCGACGGATTGACCCATATTGCACTTCACAGCGACAATGCCGATTTGGCGAGACAGGCAACAACGGTAATACTTCTGAAAAAATCCCTATCTATTCAACAGCGCTATACGGCAGTCAAAGCCGTCCTCAAGAAGCCGTCTATAACTCGCCGAGAGACGTTTGAATTCCTCGAGGCTTTTATCTCTTCGCCGGGAGTTGACTTGCGCGAGCTGGCGGGTAGCGACCAACGTACGCTCTTACGGTTCTTTGGCGAACTTTTCGAGCAGAGCAGAACCTTTGATATCACGTGGTTCACCAGCGGCGAGTCACACTTTGTGATTTCTCTGTCCGACAAGTCGTTTCAGTTTCCCAAAGAGCACTTTGTCACTTTCGCAAAGGAGGTTCAAGAGTATCTAGGAATCCCAAGGGCACTTACTCAAATGTGAAGCCAAGTATCGTAGCACTACTCGTCTTAGTTAGTATGAACATGGTAAACTGCGAAAGAGCCAGATGTTCCACGTACCAGGTAATAATTATCGCCGTTACCGTAGATGTTTGTGCCAGTCATCTGAAAGTAGATGCACCCGCTCTCTTAAAGGAGCGGGTAACAACTATGAGAACGCAGGGGTCTATTATATATAAAAACTACGAGATTGATCATAACGCCATGGCACTAAACTGCCGGTACCGAAGGACATTCCCCCTTGACAATTTTTACACATTCGTGACCCACATCGGGGCGGCCCGGCGCTAGGTACCGAGTAAGAAACAAGCCGTTAAACGATGGCCTTCCATTTGACCGCCGGCAATTGCAACCCATTCACCCCCGTCGAAAGAACTCTCAACTGACAGGGCCGACAGGCGTCCGTCTTCTTCGCCATTGCTAAAATTTTTATTTTAAAGAACGTGGGCGGCAACGGCACGGTGGTACCGCGGCCTAGAGTACAAGGCCTGAATGGGAGAAGGCAGGAACGCGGCCCCTTTTCTCCTTCTGCGTTCTCATATACACGTGATCCCAAGCCAGGCATAAATAGCAGGAATGCCCCGCTGCATTGTAGTAGGACACAACTCCGAGATACGTTTGCGATTCAGTTATCCCGAAGCCCAACCTTCCCAGACAACACGTGTGCGGCAAGTTCGATCACGCGACGCTCGCTCTTTGTGACTTGGTCTCAGTCTTTTCATTTTGCTCAAATTTGCGTACCTCATCGCACAATGGCTTCTGCTTCACCACCGGCAGGTCTCACACCGCCTACTAAAAAGTCTAGGATAGGCTGTTCTCCGCGCCGGCTCCCCACGAGTGGCTTTGAAGCCATCGAGCGCAGCCTGTTGGTGGAAGAAGAGAGGCTCCCGACGTACGACCGCACCGATTACTACCCAATGCGCCTTGGTGATATTGTATATGGCCATTATCAGGTGGTAGCCAAACTGGGCTACGGCAGTACATCCACCTTCTGGCTGGCAAGGAATCTTACGTACAGTCAATGCCTTCCTGCCTTATCCGTAAATACGAATGACGAGACATTGACTTTCTCCACTACTATAGCAAGGAACGGCTCTACCGGGCTCTCAAAGTTCATACTCGTAATGCCGCGTACCAGCATGAACTGTCTGTGTATGAGCACCTCAAAAAGCCAATCCAGCAGGAAATCGACGACAAAGGCAGCCATCCGGGCCGGGACCATGTTCGTCACCTCGAAGACTATTTCAATCTTAATGGCCCTCACGGCCAGCATGCCGTGTTTGTCATGGTTCTTTTGGGCATGAGCCTGGCCACAATGCGGACGAGACAGAGAACGGGCGTCTTTCCACCAATTCTCGTCACCCAGACGCTTAGTCAAGCCCTCTTAGGTCTGGCTCTTCTCCATAGTACCGACATAATCCACACGGGAGAGCATGGCCTTACTTCTTTTATAACTCCCTGTTTTATTAGGAGATCCTGCTTAACAAATATACAATGGACAGATCTCCACGCCGACAACCTCTTAATTACGTTAACGGACGAGTCCATTCTGTCCACCATTAAAGAGAACGAGATCACCAATCCATCACCGCGAAAACAGATTGGCGAGACAACCATTCGTGTCTCGCAATATGTCTTAGGCGGCGCAAGGGCACTCACAATCAGTGACTTTGGCCAAGCCCGCATAGGTCGTGTTCACACTAACAAGGCCATACCCATCCAATACCGTACGCCCGAAGTTATCCTCAACATACCGTAGGGGACACCCGTCGACATATGGAGTACAGGAATACTAGTAAGTACGGTCGTTTAATATATATGGTCATTTTTCAGCTTCTTTCCTCCCAGTTAATACGTACATACCTAGACATTACTTAAACCGAAGAGCCTCTTTTATACATATAACACAAAATCCTCCCTCGAACTCAACGATGCACACCATCTAGCCGCTATAACTGCAACGCTAGGACTGCCACCCAAGGAGTTTCGAGACCGGAGCAGCGAGTCCGCCAAGTACTGGGATAAGCAAGGCAACTGGCAAGGGCCAGTACCTTTGCCGCCAAAGACACAGCTCACGGGCTTGGACACCACGCTAAATGGAGAGCAAAAAGACTTCTTTGTCGATTTCCTCGAGTACTGCCTCGCTTGGTTGCCTGAGGAACGACTCACTGCCGATCAGACCTATTTTCATTCATGGCTGCGATCGTACGATGAGAATAGTGGCAAGGAATCATAGGCTGGTACTGGCTTCGTGAACGAGAAACATCACACCTCTGGCACAAACTAAGGGGGCAAGTGGCAGTGCCATACGCTTACTCGTCTCTTTTTCCGTTTTTATACCGTATATGGTCGTTGTATTAGTTACGGCCTCCCAGTGTGAGGTCAAAATAGGCCACATTTTCAGGTGCTTTTGTGGATTTTGGTTGAGAATGTGCAATTAATTCTCCATCAGGTTGCAGTCACTCTACAACATATTGGCATTTAATTTGATGGGCTGCTCGTGTATATTGTGTGGTCGGAAAAATAGCCGGCTCTCCCAGTGAGCAAAAGTCCGCCGGTAGTCAAGCCCCTGTTTCAGCCACTGGGGTGACCAGCCACGGCTGACCTACTTCGGCTAGCTCACTCCTAATAGGCCACGCCACCAAACAGCAACGCGCTATTTAGCTCCCAAGGAAAGGACATCTTCAGATTCTTTTAAACTCTCCCTGGATGCGCACGCTTCCTATTCGTCTCCACAAACTATTCAATCAGCACCATCCTCTGGTTCATTTACAAACGATGCACGATGGTAAAAACAGACGTCTCGGAGGGCAATACCACCCAGCACAATGACACCGACCACCTGGCCATTAACAACACGTTTTGCCGACGCATACTAACGCTCCTCGCTCTGAAAACCACGGCACGTCTGTATCGCTACGATGGGCCTTGCGTTGCCATTTCTAAGGACCTCATCGTCAAAACTGGCCCGTTTGTTCATCTCACGGAGGGTGCTACGATGCAGTTTATCGCTGCCCGTACCTCGATTCCTGTGCCTCGCATACACTGTTCTTTTGTCCATGGAAATCGGGCATACCTAGTCATGGATCGTATCCACGGTGTCTGTCTCGCAAAGGCCTATGCTACGCTCTCTGGTGACGATCGCAAAAGAATATTTGCGCAATTGCGGTCTATCTGTGCAGAGTTGAGGACGCTACCCTCTCCTTCTGGCGCCGGCGTACGAAGCTGCGTTGGAGGGTCGTTACGCGACAGTCGTATTCCCCGCTGCAAGCCTCGCTTTGGGCCGTTTGACACTATCCAGGACTTTCACCTGTGGCTACGCGACGGTCTTCGTCCCGACGAGCACCCGAACCGTCAAAATGACGACGACTGGGGGGATATTAAGAAGATGGTAGCCAAACAGGACGGACCTTGGCCGGCACCTGTCTTTACGCATGGAGATCTGAACCCGTTCAATATTATCGTGTCCGGAAGTAAGATTGTGGGCATTATCGACTGGGAGTTTGCCGGGTGGTACCCCTATTACTGGGAATACACGGCTGCGTGGTATGGGAATATGACTCGCAAAGCGTGGCAGGAGGTGCTGACAGAGTTTCTCGATGCTTGTCCAGACGAGCTCGAAATGGAAATTACAAGGCAGAAGTGGTGGGGAGAATGATAAGATGTTAGCTACTTCTTATTTTATTTTTCGTTTATATATGAACGGATGCAACTCTCCCTTGACGCCTAGGCTACAGTTTCCTTGCCTTCAAGCATGTCCCATGTTGGTTTCGGAAGAACCATATCCTCTGCTTTCGAGTACCTCCCGGCCGTCGTCTTTTTTCCTACGTAGCCCCTTGCAAAGGCTTCTATTTCTGTCCAATCGAGCTGCGACGTTCCCACAACTCTACCGTCCGCTTTTAATGTTGATAATACTTCAGATACCCAGGAACGGCACCGCCAGTTTGGGTCGCCTTGGACGACGGGCGTGTTGCGGAAGATGTCGACAAGTCGCTTCTCATTTTCGACTTTGGCTATTGTGATGCGCGCGAGCAGGTTCGTAGTGCCCTTCACGTTCGCAACGTCGACTTCCTCGTAGATCCAACCCTGGACCGGGTGGTTCTTAACATGGTAGCGCATACCAGGGACTTGAGGGCGGTCTTCGTTCTTTGGGCCGATGAGAAAACCCCAATGGTATCTGCAGATTCTACAGTGAGCGTAGAAAAAGGAAGAAGTGTGTACGGTAATTAGGACCTTGAATACCTTCGTTCTTCGTTGTTGATAACCCCGCTAGGGTAGAGGGCAATATGAAGCCTTTTCTTGTCAGAGACCATCGCAATCTCCAAAAATTAACGGAGGAAATATGGAACAGGTATGAGGATTGATTAGTTGATTAATTCAGCTGGTCATTGTTGGCTGTCTGTACACATATGGAGCTGGCATTTTGTTTGGTTATGAGTGCGGCTTTGGGCACCGAAAAACAGAAGTCAAATCTTGTTATCATGCGCGAGTTTCTGCCTGATACACCCACGTTGCATTTTACGCATATGACCCCACTGAAGCACACGCGGGACCATAAGAGAACCAGCCAGCACCAGCCACGGAAAACCAATAGTATAGCCAAGGTGGGAGAACCATATCACAGGAGCCAATTACGGGATTGTATCGAGGTACATACAACTAAAGACGGAATCAATGGGATAGGACGAATGCTTTAGGAGACCATCCATTTCATGATGAAATCAATGAAGTGGATGAGTGCAGCGGGATAAAATAGATTTGAGGCCTTCCCCCAAGCATTCCTAGATAGTAGACTCTGCGCTTACATTAATCTCACGTACACCGGTATATCTGTGCACTCATTGCACACAAAGCCCACTACCTACCACCACACCCTTATTGTGGCGACTATTGGTCAGCCGTTACACATTCTGTACTCAGGATATACACATGGTCACGTCTGCTATTAGAGAAGTGAAAAATAGTATTTGGATGTCGTTGTGCCTTTCAGCCCCTGTGAAATGTGGTGTTGTTATGGGAGTTTCAGAACCTTGCTAATCGAGAACCTTATAAATATCTGTTCTTGACGCCGTAGTTGATTTGAGAAAGAAACTCTCATTTTGTTGGTCGGCGGCTCCATGAAACCCCTCCAAACCAACCCACTTACAGAGGACGATGTGCTTCCGTATATCGGCGTATGCCTTGAGAGCCGCGCCAACGGAGACTTTATCAGACATGGAGTACTTCAAGAAATGACAACTGAGAATCTAAGTGAAACCCCAAAACTACACGTAGGTCTTTGACAAGCAAAGGTTCGACTTGCCAGGAATCGAACGCAGGAACCTGTTCTAATCGACCCATCTACAACGTTACAAAAATGATAAAAAGAATGGACAATCAGGGACTCGAACCCTGGACCTCCCGCAGGTTGGCATGAGCGCATGGCGATGCTAAGCGGGCGCTATACCACCTAAGCCAATTGCCCGGTACTAGACCGGCTATTAGTCGTTGTTGTCAAGGGCCAACGAAAATGCTTTAAATACGAAGTCATTAAGCGCCAAAATTGTCAGTCCCCACATGAGATGGTGTAGTCCCAGCTTTTGACCCGTCAGTGCTTCATTTATACCGCCTTACAGCGCAAATTGGAAGTCACTCTACTTTAGCCCTTTGCCAGCCAAATATCTCCCACATGTTAACAAGCAGGTAAGAGTGACCAAGATGTCTCACATAAACTACATTAAGTTGGTGGCATGATGTATTACTATCGGGTCCAAGATGGTAGACGATAAAATTTATATTACTATGCGGTGATCTTGGTTGTCGATGTGTTCGACACAGCAAAGGAAGTATGAGGCCGTAGAGACCGCAGTAGACTTTTCCCTCCGTACCTTCGAGCCCAGCAATTTGCTTATTCCTGCTGTTCGCAATCGGTCGTCGACGGCCTGGCACCGACAGACAACGACCCACTCCTACCACTGCGGACACGCCCGGCTGCAGGCGCGCCAGCCTGCTGTTGCTGCATCCATTCTACACTGGGTTTTGCCCCATAGTTAAGAATACGGCTAGTGTATCAATTTCGTTCTTTTCGCACGTACATCAGATCAATGTCCTTACAAATGCGTGAGACTCCACGCAGCTTAATCCTCCAGCCGGTAAACCAGCTTCTCGGCCCTGACCTTTCCCTGCTGTAGCCTGGCCAGCCCGTCGGTAATTCCTTCCAGGCCGCCCTTTTCAACGCGGTATGTATGCGGCTTGACCAGGCCGGCTGCCACCAGCTGCTCCGTCAGTGCACAAAACATCTTGGAAAAGGCCGCGTCCTCGGCGTCTGCCGGCAGCGTCTGCGAGCCAAACTGGAATGCCTTGCCCAGTCCCGTGTACATGATCGTAAAGGTGCTCTGGACGTCGTCGCGGGGGCAGGTCGCTGTCAGGATGCTGCCATACTTGGGCGTCTGTTGGGTGGTGTCCGTCGACAAAGCGTCGGCGCAAATCTGCGCCGACTGCGCCACACTCACGGTGTCCCAGGCATGGTACAGTTTGTTGTTGGTCAGCTCCCGGATCGTCTTGCCCGCGTCAGCATCGTGGTAGTCCAACACGTGGCTGGCGCCGAGGCTCCTGACGTAGTCAAAGTTGGCCGGCGAGCACGTCGTAATCACAGTATAGCCGGCACGGCGGGCAAACTGGATGCCCAGGGCCCCCGTTGCCGTACTGCCACCGTAGATGAGGACCGGCGTGTCTCGGGCCGGCGGGTTGGCGGCCGTTTGGATGTCGGGCAGCTCGAGGTGCAGCGCCTTTTGGAACAGGCCCTGGCCGACAGTCATGGCGCCCAACGCAATTGTTGACGCGCCTTCGAATCCCAGCTCGCCCGCAGCGTCTGAGAGCCGCATCTGAAAATCGGCCAACACCGCAGCGTACTCGGCAAACACCCCGCCGTCCGGGTTCACAGGGTTGGACCCGTGGCCCGTGCCGTACACACGGTCACCAACCTTCCAGTTTTTGCCGCGGCCCGCCCCGTCGCCCACGGCTACAACCACGCCCGCGTAGTCGCAGCCGACGATGCAGCCCGGTTTGCCACGACCACCCGTCACGCCGCGCCAGTCTGTCGGGTTCAGCGCCACGGCGACCGTCTTGACCAGAAGCTGGTCGTTCTGCGGCGTGGGCACTTTGCGGTGGCTGTCGACCATGGCGCCTTTCGACGAGCCGCCAATAACGAGCGCCTTCATCGTGGTCGGTAGATTCGCTGCCATTGTGTATGTTCGATGTCGTATCGTATGTCGCCGCTGTGTTGTTGTTATTGCGCCTGCAAAGACTGATCAAGGGTACGTCATGTTAAGTTAATAAATCCAACCCAACAGACGTTTTGTTGTCTGTCGCTTCGACCGTATCGCACCTTTCTGAAACGTTTTTCCGGCGTGCATTACAAACAATGATTGTCCAATATCATCCTAGTGGATCATCTAAAAGACTTCGGCCTTAACGCAATCACGGCAATTAACGCCGGTCATTTGACAATCACGCGATTATTAATGTTTCCTGTAAGTGTTATCTTTTCATAATTTCGTTCCTAAATTCTCAATTCAAGGTAGTAATCCTCGTTTTTCAATAGAAATTAAATAAATAGTAAAGCTCATTTTTAACTGTTTAAAGCCGACTTTTTTGGATATTATTTTTTGTGGCCCATTTTGTTTCAACAAGAAAAAACTATAAGGTATAGCTATGCTGCCCTGTGACTGTTCGAGGATACGTCGTCACTGTAATCCACTCATCTCACCTCTACAAGCGTTGCAAATTCTTGCTTCCATTTCATCGAGAACAGTTTTATTTAAACAATTTTTATATTTCTTCATCTCCACCTCGTCTCATCCATCCTCGTCAAGTGTTATCGACATCCTCTAGGCCCACCCTTACGCGACCGTGAGGGCCATTGACGGTGAGGCACGAGATGAACTGTTACTAATAGGCGGCGTCGTGCATGGTCTCGTGAGAGGAAAATGGACAGGAAACAAAGGAAATAAAAGACTGCCCCGAGCCGCGGTCGTACCGTCCCTCCTCGTTTAACAGCCGTCGTCGCGCCTTTATTACTCGAACTGACTTATTCTTCTGCCACACCCATCTCCCCACCCTCCAGAAACCATGGGTCCTGTAAGATCTCCGCTGCCGTGGGCCGTTGCGCCGGGTCGCACTGCAAAATGCGGCGTACAAGCCGTTTGGTCGCGCGGGCTTCCTCGTCCGACACATCTGGCGCCAGCCGGTCAAACAACTGCTCCATTGTTTGCAGTTCGTCTGGGTGCGCGTCCTCGGGCCGCCGGATCGGTTTCCCCTCGGCCACGCAAAGGTTGAAAAGAGTCCGTTGCCCGCTGTCATTCACAGAAAAGTACCGCGAGGACCGTGTCCAGCGCGCCCACGCGGCGTCGCTCAGCGGTCCCAGGAGCGCCACCATCTGGAGGAGGTGCTCATCGTTTCTGTCCTCTTCCGTCTGGCGCGGCATCCACGGGAGGCAAAACAGCTGCTGGCCCGTGACGAGCTCAAACACGAGGCAGCCCACAGCCCAGACATCGAGCGCAAGGCCGTCGAGACCATTGGTCGGTGTCTGTAGGATCAGCTCGGGCGCACGCAGCCCTTTCGGCGAGACAATCTTGGCAGGTGGGTGCGCCGCAAGGTACGCTGGGTCGACGGTCAGTAGACCATGTCTCGATTTCAAGGTGAGAGAGTCTCGGGGGAGGAGTGAGGGAGCGAGGGAGTGTGGAAGACGTACCTCCGCCCAGGTCTGACAACTTGAGAGACAAGCCAGGACCAGCGTCGGCCCAATCTGCCATCGGCTGAGGAACATACAATTGCGTCGGCGCCCAAGGGTCCACCTTGCCATCCAACCTCGTGAGGGGTGCGGAGAACTTGGGAAGGCGCATTGGAGGATGCACATGGGCAGGCCGCTGGAGCTCGTCGTCGGTGCAGCGATCGAGCCTGTCTTTCAACGTGAACAAGAAGTTGCCCGGCTGTACGTCACCGTGGGCCATGCCGTGGGCATGCACAAACGCGAGCGCCTCGAGCGCACCGCGCACAATCTGCCTGGCCATCCAGAACGGATACCGGACTTTCATGTGCCTGGTCCGCGGCACAAACTGCGGCAGGTTCTCCACCATGTCGTGCACGCCCGGCCCCATGGGCTCAAACACGAGGCAAGCATGTGTGCCGTTGGGACCCGTCGCCGCAAATGTGCTGAGCAGCTTCGTGACGTGTCGGTCGAGGACCGCAGCGTTCGACACCGACGCCAAATGCTTGTAGAGCATCCCTTCGGGCAGGCCCTCTGCCGGCCCAGCATGGGCGACGACAACTTTGATCGCGACAATGCTGTGCTCGGCGCCGTCTGGCTTGGTCAAATCACGCGCAAGCCACACCGTCGAGAACGACCCGTATCCCAGCTTGCGGAGGACTTTGTACTGCCCGTCACCCAAGACATCTCCAACTTCAACCGGGTGGTAGCTGCCTGGGCGGTAGTCCCCACCCCACTCGCATGCCGGTCCAGCCATACCGAAGCGATTGGCGTCCGGTGTTGCGGAGCCGGAGGGGGGCGTTGGAGGCCGGGACGTGTCCATTGTCCTTGAGAGTTGGCGATTTGAATGTTGTCTAGTCCTGTCAAGTTTTGACTGAGGAAATGCGTGAAGAGTCAAAAACATGTGTCCGACGTGGGTGATGTGATGGGGATGATTGAAACAGAAATGTCGAGGATATTTGCGCAACAAAGACAAAGAACTGGGCGTTTGGCTCGAACCTAGAACGCAGCGACTACTCATCGTGATCTATGTTTAGCATTGGTCATCTTATTGGAGATGTGTGAGCTCATCCTGAACTCACTGTCAGCGCTGGTTGCGTCGCTTAGCCTCCATCGTTGGTTTGAGAATGGTGGAGAACGACGATACTGGACGCCGCGGGGTTCTTTCGCGTCCCACAAGTACGCTAATCGTCGTTTATTTTCATCACCACCACCATCCCCTCATTTTCAGCGAACGTGGACCGCTGTTGTGCCAGGATCCGGTTCGCACCTGTAGTATTGGATGCCATCAGCCCGGCATGTAGGTCGAAGGCGCTCAAGACTGGCAAGGTTGACAGTCCCAAATTACGGCGTCCAAGTCCAGAGGCCCGGAGAGATGGGCGCCTGCGGGGCACCAGGTGGCATAAAGATCGCCCAGCAGAAGCGAGCTGGGACTGGCACCGAGGCACAGGATAGGTATGTGTGTTTTCAACTTCATAGAGCTGCCTCAAAGGGAAACAAAACAAACGGAGTTTTTTATGATCGGGACCCAACGACCACCGACTGGCGAGGACAGGATAGGTTTTACTCTGCGAGCTTTTACTCTGCGAGTTCTTGCTTCAATATACAGTCTTCCGTATTATAAGCAAATGCGTCCAGATGTTATCTACCTTCTGGCTTTGTGTAATGTCCACCCATTTGTTGGCCTTTGCGATATCCCGATACGTTGTCCGTCAGGCATCTTGTCGTAAACCAAATCTATTATAACTTCGATGGGCCAAAAGAGAATCTTTGATATTCTCTATCCTGGCCGCCGTGGCTGTATCACGGAATGTAGACGCTGTCTCCATAGGCCTGTCGGCCTCTAATGGCCACACCGGGCGCAGGGCAGCACTTTCCCGGGACAATTCAACTCACTTGCCTGTATAAAACGGGGCGATCCTGTGGTTATCAGCTATGCAAAGAAAACAAAGTGTTACCACAAGTGTTTTGGTTACCATGGCGAGCGTAGCCCTCTATGGTGGTGCTTTATTTGCAGGTAAGACGTCAACTGTAGGTTCGGCCTTGACGTAATCACGGTAATTCACGCTGGCTATTTGACAATCACGCGATTATTAATGTTTTTTGAAGGCGTAATCGTTTTATATGAAACATAATAAACTATAGTAAGTGAAATAAAGTTTCGTTCTTAAATTCTTATATACCGGTAGTAGTCTCCTTTTTTTAAATATAAATTAAATAAATAGTAAAACTCGATTTTTTAACTGTTTAAAGCCGACCTTTTTATATATATATTTATTTTTGTTTGTCATTTTGTTTAAACTGGATAAACTACAAAATCGCGATAATGCTTTTATAACCGCCTATTAAACCGATACGACGACCTGATAAAATGTAATGGAGAATTTCTTATTGAGACGTGGTTATTTATTATCTATGTACGAATGTACACCTAATAGTGATCCTCCACCGACAAAGTACCCATCTTGGTGATGAGGAACTCGTTGACGGCGACGTCCTTGCCGCTCTCCTTGCCGACTCCGCTGTCCTTGATGCCGCCAAAGGGCGCCTCAGTGGCCGACGCGTTGCCTGTGTTGAGGCCGATCATGCCGGCCTCGAGGTTCTCAAACATGCGCCACAGGCGGTCGACGTTCTTGGAGAAGACGTAGCTGGCCAGGCCCATGCTGGTGTTGTTGGCGCGCTGGACGGCCTCCGCCTCGGTATCAAAGACGGAAATGCCCAGGATGGGCGCAAACACCTCGTCCTGGGCCATGGCCATGTTGTCGTTGACGCCAGTGAGCACGGTGGGGGCCATAAAGTAGCCGTCACCCGCGGTCTCGCGGCAGCCGTGGCCCAGCACGACCTTGGCGCCGCCCTTGACGGCGTCCTGGAACAGTTCCTCGCCCTTGTCGAGGCCACGGGGCGTCGTGACGGGGCCGAGGGTCGTGCCGTCGGCCAGGCCGTGGCCGAGCTTGAGTTTCTGCGTGTCGGCGACGATGCGCGCGACAAAGGCGTCGTGGATGCCGCGCTGGACATACACGCGGTTGGCCGAGACGCAGGCCTGGCCGGCGTGGCGCCATTTGAGCGACTGCAGCTGGGCCACGGCCTGGTCGAGGCTGGCGTCGTCAAAGACGATGAACGGGCAGTTGCCGCCGAGCTCGAGCGTGCACTTCTTGAGGTTGCGCGCGCACAGGCCCGAGATGATCTTGCCGACGCGCGTGCTGCCGGTGAACGTGACCTTCTTGACGAGCGGGTGCAGGCAGAGCGCCTCGGCCACGGCGGGCGTGTTGTCCAGTGTGGTCGAAAGGACGTTGAGCGCCCCGGGCGGGAAGCCCGCACGACGGGCGAGATGGGCCAGGCAAAAGGCCGTGACGGGCGTCTCGGGCGACGTCTTGACGACCATGGTGCAGCCGGCCGCCAGCGCCGCGCCGGCTTTTCGGAGGACGAGCGCCAGCGGGAAATTCCACGGCACTAGGGCCACGGCGGTGCCTACGGGCTGCTTAATGACGAGACCCCGGCGGCCGGGAAGCGCCGAGTTGAGCGTGGCGCCTTGGATTCGGTCGGCCTCGCCCGTAAACCACCACGTGAACGTCGTGCCGTAGTCAATCTCGCCGTACGCCTCCGCCAGCGGCTTGCCGGTCTCCAAGACCAAAATGCGCGCCAAGTCGTCGCGCGCGGCGACAATCAGCTGGTGCCATGCACCGAGCGTCTGCGCACGCTTCCGCGGCGTCCACTTGGAGTACTCGAGGAACGCAGCGTGCGCCGTCTGTACGGCGTCTTCGACATCGGCAGTCGCGCTGTCCGGGCACGACGCCCAGGGCTTGCCAGAGCCGGGGTCGATGACATCGAAGCGCCTCCCAGAAGCGGCGGATGTCCACTGGCCGTTGACAAAGTTGTCGGTGTGGAGGAGGTCGGGGTCGTTGAGTGTGAAGGGGAGCGCTGTGGACGTCATGTTGGCGGTCGTGACGAATGTGTGGTTAGAGGAGGACAGCAGGTATGTCGTAAGTGTGAGGCGTGATGAAAACTTGAGTATGAGTTATGGCCAAAGACCGGACAAGAAGGAGTGATGGGAATACAAAGGCCAGAAACGGAAAAGGTGGCAGACGGAACGGCGGCGGATAGGCACGGCTAGTTAGCCGTCGTTCGTCAGAGTCCGATTAGGAAAGAACGCCTGGAATAAGTCTGGGGTGGGAAAGAGCAAGGGGACAGAAAGCTGAGAAGAGTAAGACTTTTCGAGCACAAATAACACGTTTGAGGCGATCAATGCGTCACGTTCTGGTCGGTACCTTTGCTTCTTTCTGGGGGTACGGAGAGCTACACGACTCGAGAGCGGAGGCGAAGCGAGCGGACAGCGGAGGATGACAGAAGCAAAAAGCGAAAAGCGAAAGCGGAGCGGAGAGTGGAGAGTGGAGAAGCACAGTATGTTGGCAGGCAAACTGCTCCAAGCTGGTCGTAGACTGGCTCAGAGGGATCGTTGGTGGCACCGGAGGAGTGGTTTGTGGTACCATCCGCCTTATGGGTGCCGGGGGACGCGCACGAGGTCACAGCAAAGTGGCACGGCGAGTGTCACTGGTCAAAGGGTCGTTCGTTTCAATCGACTGCCGAAACTAGGCAGTTATTCAGGTGCTCTGGGATGCGCTGAGACTGCTGAAAAGGCCCTAAGCAAGTTGAGTCTAGCGCTCGTTGGCGGTGTTTCCCCACAAACATGTTTTCCTTTTGTCTCCTCCTCACTTGGCCATGCGGAATTGTTTTGTCATGTCGTGTCGCCGAGTTGTGTCGGTGGCCGCCACACCACTTTTACAGTCCCTGTCCTCCCACGTCTCAATCCTGCGCCAATCTGGGGTAAGCGGGCTGACCCACGCGTCTGGGGTTTAGGGTCGACATTATCTCGTCCCTTCTCAGCTCATGTACTCGGGGATATATATTGACTTGTCTTATCTCTCTCCACCGGCCACACTCCTCAACTTATCTCCCTGTGATTCTTCCTGTGACTCCCTGTGACTGGACCACGCCGCTTCATACATTATTGCGACGCAGCAACCGACGACGAACGACCACCGTCGCCATCGACTCACAACAGCCGACATGGCTTCCGCCGTCGCGGCTCCGCGCCGCAAGACGAACATCTACAACCGCCTCGTCACTGTTGCCGTCGCTTTCGGCTCTCTGGTATGTTTGGAATGTAAACAAACTCCACCAAGCCATCTCCCTTCTGTGCAGACAGCTGACCAAACAGACGTATGGCTACTCATCCTCGATCATTGGCTCCACCATTGGCCAGCCCGGCTGGTACGAGTTCTTCCATCTGCCCATGCAGGGCGAAGAGGGCTATGCCACCACTACAACGCACGCCATTGCGACAGCCAACGGCCTCTACAGTGCGGGCGGCGCCATCGGCTCGCTCTTTGTCATGTGGGCCGCTACGGCGCTCGGCCGCAAGCGCTGCATTCAGATGGGCGCGGCCTGGGCCCTCTTGGGCGGTGCACTGCAGGGCGGCGCCGCCAATCTGGCCATGTTCCAGGTCGGCCGCGTGTTCTGCGGCATCGGCATCGGCCTTCTGGTCACGGTGTGTCCCATGTACATGAGCGAGCTGGCGCCGCCGGACCGGCGCGGCTGGCTGGTCGGCCACCACGCCATCTTCCTGGTGTTTGGCTACATGCTGAGCGCGTGGCTGGGCTATGCCTGCTACTTCGCGACGGACGTCAACGCGTCGTTTGCCTGGCGGTTCCCGCTGTCGATGCAGTGCTTTGCGCCCCTGGTGCTTCTGGTCACGTCCTTTTGGATCCCCTACTCGCCGCGCTGGCTGCTGCAAAAGGGCCGCGTCGAGGAGGCCTGGGACGTGCTGCGCACGCTGCGCGCGTCGCCCGCGGACCCGGACCACCTCGTGGCCAAGGAGGAGCTGTACCAGGCCAAGATGCAGATCGCCCTGGATGCCGCTAAGCTCAAGGCCACGGGTTACGGCCCCTGGATGGCCGTCATCAAGAAAAAAAGCTACCGCAAGCGCATGCTGATGGGCTTCTTGACGCAGTGGGGCGCTGAATTTGCCGGCCCGCTCGTCATCAACAACTACGCCGTGCTGCTCTACACGAACCTGGGCCAGACCGGGTCCATGCCCCTTCTCCTGTCGGCGCTGTGGCTGACGACGGCCGGCGTCCTCTACAACCCCGGCGGCGCCTGGCTGCACGACAAGGTCAACTCGCGCCGCGGCATGTTCATGTTTGGCCTGTTCGGGTGCCTGATCACCACCGTGGGTCTGGCGGCCTGCATCGCCAAGTACGCCGGCACCGACAATAAGGCTGGCAACGGCGCCGGCGTCTTCTTTGTCTTCTTCTACCTCACCTTCCAGGGGACGTTCTGCGACACCACAATGTACTTGTGGGTCAGTGAGATTTTTGGAACAGACATCAGACCCATTGGCATGGGGTTTTCGCTGTTTGGCCAGTTCGCCGCGACGCTGATCCTACTTCAGACGGCACCCATTGGTTTCGTCAACGTGGGCTGGAAGTACTACCTCGTCATCATCCTCTGGTGTGTGGTCTTCATTCCCATCGTGTACTTTTTCTTCCCTGAGACGGCGCGTTTGTCCCTGGAAGAGATTGGAGAGAAGTTTGGCGACGACGTGGCTGTACACGTCAGTGATATTTCCGAATCACAGCGCAAGGAGCTGGACGACTTCCTTCAGCAGACGGACGTCGTGCACCTGGACGGCTCTGAGAAGGTCGCGCCGGCTGCACAGCAACGGGAGGTGGCATAAGTTTGTATCATAGCAGGGCAGGGACAGCGGATAGGTAGTGTTGTACCGTCGGAATTGTGTAATAGTTGACAAATCAATTGAGATATCCCCGCAGTACGGAGACTGTTTCTAAACGGACGGCTTGATCTATGACCTTTAGTGAGGCGAGGAGCATCACAAGATGACTGCCTTGTCTCGGGTCTGCTCAATGACAACTTTCGCTAATGGCTCTAAATGCGTCGGTTTCGTTTGGATTACGGTAAACAATTTCCAGATTCCCTGATGATCCAAATATTGATCGGCAACTTCTGCATTGAGATAACAAAATAATAAAATAGGACGGACAAAATGGAAATAAAAAACAATTCAATACAAGTCGATACAACAACTAAACATCCCTCGAATGCACGACACCTTCTGGGCCAGCCTACACGTGGAGCGTACCACAAAATACGACGCTAAAGATTGATTTATTGGATTACGACGTATGTTGTTTGGTGCGGAGATGCTGTGGAGAGAAATGGCAATTGAAGCTAACTAGGGTCGTTTGGAACAAAAATTTGGACCGCTTTGTGGAGAAGTTTAGTCGTCCTGCGGCAACTTTTTTTTGGTCTATTGTTCGCCGTGTTTTCTTGAAGAGCCCCAATCGCGTTGGCAACGTTCCACGAACGAGGGGGAAGGAGAGTGAGTGGCACAGAGTCCAGGGATAAAACAAGAAAGCAGAGAGGAGACCAACTTATGCCCCGCCCAAGATGTGCTGAGCACTGTTTATGATCTCAGAGTATTTTCTCATTCTCAGTGGTCCGCAGGTGCGTGTGTTCTCGTACGCAAGATATTCTGTCGAGCCACGACGCTTACAATCCAGAGAGGCACTGCCATTTCAAACCCGGAGACAGAAAGTAATCTCGGGATGATGTTTTGTTTTTCTCATCATACGATATATTGTTATACGCACACAGCTTCACTGTCTATACTCATACACCAACACACTACACACAATGGGATCAATACAGTCTTCACAGAATGCGGTTGCCCAACGCAAGCCGGAAGAGGGCTACAAAGTTGAAGAGCAGCCTGTCGACGGGCAGCCGAAAACAACTGTTTCGGTAATAGAGGTTGTGGTGCCAGCCACAGAAACACAAACAACACCTGAGCAGCCAGAGCAGTCACAGAAGGAGACACAATCCGCCGAGTCCTCGAAACAAAGCATCCAAGACACCGTTGTGACTGACGCGGCCGACGCCCAGCAGACCGTGGCACCTGCTCATTCCGTTGAGGACATACATCCTTCCAACCCAACACCTGCTTCTGCACCCTCCACCACCCCGATCGACCTCCATTCCCTTGCCTACGATGACCTCCCCGACAAGCGCCGCGTCTGGCCCGGCGCGCCTGGCTCGCGCGAGGAAGGTCTGGGCCGTCTTTGCCTGTTGACCCCAGACGTCGTGGCCGCCGCGGCAGCCTCGTGCATCCGCACTGGCCAGCGCGTCGCCCTCAACTGGGACCTCACCAAGCTCGACGTTGCCAACTTCAACCGCGCGCCCACGCAGCACCACATCACGTCGCTGCTCGGCGGCGCCGGCTTCGACGACGTCTACATTTTCAACCCGCAGCAGTCGTCGCAGTGGGACGGCCTTCGCCACTTTTCGTCGCCGTACCCGGGCGCGGACCAGCGACTGTTTTACGGCGGCGTGACCGCGTCCGACATCGCCGACCGCGCCAACACGCGCATTGGGATGCAGCACTGGGCGCAGGAGGGCATAGTGGGCCGCGGCGTGCTGCTGGACTACGCCGCGTACGCCGAGACACACCTGCCGGGCCTCCAGTACAAGGCCCTGAGCGACCACGCCATCCCCCTGCGCGTGCTCCAAGACGTGGCGCGCGCGCAGTGCGTCACCTTTGCGCGCGGGGACATTATGTTTGTGCGGATCGGCCTGACGCGCGAGTGGGACACGCAGATGAGCCCGGCCGACAAGCTGGCCTACGCGCAGAGCGCAAACCCCCAGCACGCCGGTGTCGAGGGCACTGAGGAGATGCTGCGCTGGATCTGGGACACGGGCTTTGCGGCGGTCGCCGGCGACGCCGTATCGTTTGAGGTGTACCCGCCGAAAACGTCGTACGCGCGCGAGGGCGGGCAGCCGGACGTGCCCGGACTCTTCATGCACGAGTACCTGCTGCCCGCCTGGGGCGTGCCGGTGGGCGAGCTGTTTGACCTCGAGGCACTGAGCCGCATGTGTGCGCAGCACCAGCGCTGGACTTTCTTCGTCACGAGCTCGCCTCTGAATATGCCCGGCGGTGTTAGTAGCCCGCCAAACTGCCTGGCCATCTTCTGACCAGCGATTGATGCCTTGCATTTTGACTCATTCAATCTTGTACATTGTACAAAGTATCTTGCATTCTGTATATCTGCAGCCTTGTGATCATAAAATAATTTCAATCATATATATCAAACAATCTGTTTCAGCCTTCAGTCTGTGCGTCACGGTGACCGTGATATGACCCACCAGTATGGTTACCCGCTAGCATCGTCGCTTCAAAACTCTGCAGAATCTTGGTAAACTTTTCGGCCAGTCCCCAGCACTTGAGCCGCTGCAGCATCGCCTGTGCATCGTGGCTGATGGCCAGTGCGCCGCCGTCGGCAAATAGGTTGGGCACGGAGCCAATCGCCGCAGGCCCGCCGTGTGCAATCCAGTTGTCGACATCGGCAGTACTGGCAATCCGGTGGGAGGGGATGTCGAGTTGAATGGCGGCGACCGTCGACGGAGTGACACCTCCTGAAGAAGAAGCCAATGGGGCCAGCATAGGCAGAGGCATAGACGACGATAGTGGCAGGGAGGACGAGGGCGAATCGGAAGGTTTGCGTCCCGGTCGTGTTTGGGCAGTTGCTTGGTGTGTTGGCGATGTCTGGAACCGGTGGCTACTGGGACAGTGCGCGGCAAAAACAATCAGAAATGTGTAGCCCATGAAGAGCCGCAGAATTTCACACGGGGCCGACACCAGGTAATCGTTGGCGACGGCAACAATCTGCGCCGCATGATACACCAGCCGCCGTGCTTCTTGTGGGTCGCGGGACAGAGTTGCCACGAGTCGCCGCTTGGCCATTTGGATGCCTTTGTGATACTGCAGCTTGCGTGGTCCGTGGGCGACCGTGTTGCGCACAATGTACAGCATAATGTCCAAAACATCCTGCGCCGTGTACAGGTGCGAGTAGTGACCGATGAGGCTTGCAATGTTGTAGCTGATGAGGTCAGCCACGGTGGCTGGCTGATCCATGGACACCAGCAAATTGTCTAGCGACCGCAGGAGCCGCACTTTATTGGCGGCGTGGGCCGTGGACAGCGACGGCATACCAAAGTACTCGGAGGTCGACAGTGTCTCGAGCTGCTTCAAGTCCCACAGCAGCCGGCCAATCACCTGTGCACACAGTCGTTTGCCCCAGAAGGACACTTGTGGCGAGGTCTTCGTCGTGCCGTACGATCCCGGCGCCGTCTTGGTTCTGGCCGACGCTCGCAGCAACACGCGTGGCGTGTCTCTGTCAGTCTCCACGTATGTGCAGCTGTCGCCGATGCTATCGTCGCTGTCGTCTTCTTCACCGTGGCTGTCATTGACGTCGCCCATACCGTCGTCGACATCGTCTACATTTTGTGACAGCACAGCTTTGAGAACCAGCGACACTGGTGCTCCCTGTGCATCTGGGTGGAGTCGTGTGCGCAGCGCCGCCCAGGCAGTAGCAGACGGTGCATCCCACAGCGTCTCGGCACACGGCAGCCGGCTCGGCAACTCGCTGAGATCGACGGCACCACGCCGTCCTGTCAGTGTACAAAGGCTGCAGTCGTACTCAAACGACGACCAAGCTGTGCGCTTCTCACGCTCACGCCGCACCCATGCCATCCATTGTTCGTGCTGTGTTGCGGGGTCTGCTGGGAGCGTGGGCGTCGATGGGTGCGTCGCTGTCGTTGTGCTGTTGCCCACCGAGGAGCGTGTAGTATTGTTCTGCTCTTGCTCCAGCTTGTCCTCCAGGCTCAGTCGCGTCGTTAAGCAGCCCATGCCACGTAGACCGCCGACCAGAATGCCGCGCGTGCGGTCAGCGTTTTGGTACAGTTGTCGGTTGCCCGAGCCGAGTGAGTAGATCTGATGTACGCACAGGGCGCTCAAGTAGGCAATGTCGCGGTAGTTCGCACTGTCAGAGGACCCCAGCCAGGCAATCATTGGCATGCAAATATCACTGATAGACCAGGTCAGGCCCGCGACCTGTTCATCATCACTCAGTAGACTGCCCACGCAAGCCATGGCCGATACAAGCACTGGCGGGCAAGAAGCCAGGTCCCACGTGGGAACATGCAGTAGTGGCAAGATGGGTTGGAACTTTGCGACGTAGGTGTCAACCAGCTGCTTAAGCAGGTTTGCTGCGTGAGCCATGCCTGCGTCCAAATTTGTGATGGACAGTGCTGTGGGTACACTGGGGTTGTGGTTGTTGGCGTTGTTACCGGACGGTTTTGGCTGTTGGCAATAGCCCACAGACACGGTCTCTTCGTTATCCATAGTCGCAACTTCAACAGCTGGTGGAATGCGTGTGTCCGACATGAGTGCGACCAGGCTGGTCAGAATTGACTTATTCGGAGGCGTTGGGTTCGTCGACTGAGAAAGGGTGTTCTGCAAGATTTCGCGCAGAGGAGGCAACGAATACCGGTGTGGTGCAAGGTGGTCTGGTGTGTCATCAAATGGCCACGGCAGGACGGACGTCTGTGTGGGGCGGGGATGTTGACCAAGAGCATTGCCGTTGTTACTGGGAGGGTGGTTGGCAGGATAGTTGGTGTGGTGAGCACTCGGCGGGTGTTCCATTAGGCGTTGTATGTTGTGTGGTTGTTGCGCTTGACGTTGTGAGAGTTGGCGAGAGTGAGGAACAGTAGGGGAATGGTGCAGAGGCGGTGGTTGAGCCTGTTCCTGTTGCTGGAGAGGAGGAGGTGGAGCCGGTGGGTTGGATAGGTGCTGTTGTGCCTGAAATTGTAGTCCCTGGCTCTGGTTTGGCTGCTGTGTTTGCTGTGCCTGCTGTTGTTGTTGGCTCGTCACGCTTGGATCCATGTCAGATGTGCCCGTGCTGTCAGCTGTGCTGAAAATATCAGGAACGTCAAAGTCGAGCCAATCGAGGCCTGCAGTTCGAAAGTCCAGCTGGCCTGCAGCCGACAGGGACGCCACAAACGGCATAGTTTCGGCAGTAATGTAAAGGTCGTCAGAGAATGAGGGACTGCAGCCGTTTGTCGCCATGCCTGAACCGTCGTAGCCATTGCCGTTGAGATATGGCCCACCATTGTTGTCATTCGCTGCAGCACCGGTCGCAATGTCCATGGCATCCAGGCTTGCGAGGCCAGCACCGAAGCTTGCCTGGTGGGCATTGTAGCTGTTGTCGACATTGTTGCTACCCTGGAACAAAGGGGGCGGTGCGTCGGCAGACATGACCAAATGTGCTTGGTTATCTGGGGAAGCCATGCCGTGCGGATCGGGTGCAGTGTATGCGGCCATGATTATTTCCGGTTGCTGTGTTTGTGTCGTTGTAGCCGGCTGAGTTCTTGCATCTGCCCGTGGGTACTGACAAATGGCGCCACCGGCTGCGCATAGACGGCATGGTTGCTGTCGGTCGCATTTGCGCCGCAGGTGGACACAGCGATGGCATGACTTCTGCGCTGCCTTGGGCTGCGGACCGGGGTCGACGCCATGCGCCGTGCGCAGGTGTCGGAGCAGCACATCGTTGCGTCCAAAGGCCTTGCCACAGTGGTTGCAGGGCAAGGAAAGGCGGCCTTCGGGTGGGAGATGTGTGCGGTAGTGTCGATCGTGGTGGCTCGGGCGAAAGAACTGGCGGTGGCAGACGGCGCACTGTAGTGGACCTGATGCCTTGGTGATGCCGGGCGCGGCGTCGCCTGCTGCTGTCCTCTGCTTCTTTTGCTTTGGCTGTTTCAGCTGCGAGGCGTACATGTTAGTAGAGCCAAACTGTGAGCTGAAGTGAAGAGGTCTGAGGTGGCATGGAGCGAGGAGCCATACGGCCCCGAAGGTGCTGGTTGAGAAGACAACGTACAAGTGACATTGTGAGTGTGGTCGATTGAATTGTGTAGTGTCACGTCGTGTCGGTAAGTAAATACCCGTTTGAGCATCAGAGTCGGTGACACGTCATAATAGGCGTGACTTGACGGAAAGACGACTGTTCACGTAGCGTTTCGATCGAGAAGGAGTGAAATCGAGGAGAAATGTAATGCTTGAAGCATTGAAAGACAGGAGATCAATGCGAAAGAATGGCCCCAAACGACCCTGCACTGACTGGGGCCGCGGCGCCGATTACGCCCTGCCATGGCCGCTCAGTGAATAAAATCTAGCGCCAACCGTCGCCCATTCGACCTCCGCTTTTGAAAGAACGCGGAGAAGCGGGGCGAAAAATGCAGACCTAGAAAGACAGCGTGCAGATGGACTGGTGGCAGATCCACTGCGCTGGGCCTGATCAACCAACAATTCTGCACATCGTGTAGACCGGGGGACGACGGTTGGCTGCTTCCACTGTCTGCACCGGCAGCCCGGGTTCGTGTCAACCCTGCCTGTCTCTTTCCCCGTTGGTTTATCCTATCACCTCTGGTGTCTCCTTTCACCATTGACCTCTCCTTTCTCGCATCCTCACCAACGTGTTAACAATGCTGTGACATTTGAAAGAGGTGGTTAATGGGCGTCAAAAGGACCATCTGTCAATACAACCTGCGTTCGGTAGTTTCGTTCCGGTTTGGTTTTTGATGCGAAATTTGGAGATTGTGCGACTGGTGCTGGTATGATGTCGCCTGTGCCGAAGTCCATTGTTGCAGTGGATGACGAGAAATCCGAAAGAAGATGAAAGTGTTGAATATGTCAACTCTCGCTGCGAAGAATGAAAAGGGGGAACGTTTAGAATAGGGGCGGGTGTCGTAGTCTGCGGAAGGTACGATCGCAAACGGAAAGACCAAACGGCACTGATTACGCAAGCAAAAATGCGTGTCGTGCTTTCCAAATTCAGCAAATGTTTGCCCAGTTACCGCGACGTGATATTTTGGCTTGACTTTGCATTATTCTATGTACAATCTGAACAAACTTTCCCTGTTTGCCACGCTTCAGCACCCAGCCCCGCGCCCTGAATCGACGCCTACTTCGATAGCAGCTTCTTCAGCTCCGAGCATACAGCCTCACCGACATCGCGCGTTGTCGCCTTGCCGCCCAGGTCGGCCGTCCGAATCTCCAGCCCGCCGGCAGCCTTTTCCTCCAACACGATCGACACGGCCTTTTCGATGGCGTCAGCCTCGGCCGCCAGAAGGAACGAGTACCGCAGCATCATGGCGACGCTGAGAATCTGGGCCACGGGGTTGACCAGGCCCTTGCCGGAGATGTCGGGCGCACTGCCGTGGACGGGCTCGTAGATCCCGTTGCAGCGGCCGTCGCCACCGGGGACGGCCGAGATGCTGGCGCTGGGCAGGACACCCAGGGTACCGGTGATGCCGCCCGCAATGTCGGACAGAATGTCGCCAAAGGTGTTATCGGTGTGGATGACGCCGTTGAAGCGCGTCGGCTGCGCCACCATCAGCATGGCCATGCTGTCGGCCAGCTGGTGCTGCAGGTCAATGTCGGCGTACGCGGGGGCGTCGAGCACCCGCTGCGTTACGGTGCGCCACAGCCGGCTGTTGGCCAGGACATTGTACTTGTCGGCACTCCAGACCTTGGCGGCCTTGGACCGGTCCTCGGGACGGCCCATGAGACGGGCGACGGCCGCGCTGACGTGCGCCAGGCGCTCAATCTCGGGTGTCTTGTACTCCCACAGGTCGGACGCGACGTCGGCGTCCTCGCGCTTGTCGCCGAAATACGCGCCGCCGCAGTTCTCGCGCACGACGACAAAGTGCGTGCCCTTGACCAGATGCTCCTTGATGGGCGACTGCTTGACGAGGGACGGCGCGTAAAAGGCGCAGGGGCGGATGTTGGCAAAGGCGTCGAGGCGACGGCGCAGGGCCAGCAAGCCCGACTCGGGTGTGGGCACGGCACCCGCCCACTCGGGGCCACCAATGCTGCCAAACAGGACGGCATCGCTGGCCTCGGCCTTGGCGAGCACGGCTTCGGTGATGGGCACGCCGTGTTTGTCGATGCTGGCGCCGCCGGCCAGGTCAAAATCGCGCTCGAATTTCAGGCCGGGCCGGCTGGCCTCGACGACATCGAGGACCTTGAGGGCCTCGGCGACGACTTCGGGGCCGACATGGTCGCCAGGTAGGACGAGCAGCTTGTACGTCTGGGACATTGTGGTCGGGCGGAGTCGGTTGAGATGCCGATTGAGGCGAGGCACTTTAAGAGGGCAATTGACGTGAGCACAACAGGAAAGCAAAAGATCACGAACTCGTCTTATTTGATCGCATTCCGTCTCGGCTTCAACAATTTCGGCGTCGTCAATATACTTTCCCAGAACACCGACAGGATGTGTGACGAAGCTCATCACCGACTTCGGCTTAACCTTGTCCATAGCTATCTGCTTACGCCGCGACCGGGGTAGGAGGCCACTGATTTCGCCACTACACAGGGACTTGCAGCGCTGGCGCGCCCCGGACATGATCTGGCACGGCCGGAAGGAGTGTGGAGTGGAGAAGGTGGAGGAAGTGGAGGTGGCACTTTGATTGCTTTCCCTTTTTGGTGAGGAGCTCTGCCAGTGGTACGCTCCGTTCACACACATTTGGCAGTTTTGCTGCAGTTTCGTTCTGCCCTGTGACGATGAAAGTCCAGTGTGGGGAAGACTCCTGCAGTAGCACGCCAACCACAGACACCATCACAATGGCGTCCTAACGGCACCTTGGCTTCTCGTGCCTTCGCGTCTTAGGTCTCATCGTAAGCTACCTCCAGCTCTCGACTCGGCTTGGCACTAGCGGCTCGCAGTACTTTACAACTTTACATCGCCGCGGCTCTCCACGATTCTGATTTGTCTCGGTTGCGTGCACCTCCTGTCTACGAAAAAGGAGTTTCGGTATCGCAATTGTCCTTTAATATTTATTCACCATTCGATCGTGTTTTACGTTTCGTCACCATCGCACTGTTTCTCCAGTCTTTTTTGGCAACGACAACATCCACCACCACCACATCACCACACAGCACACGCAATGTCTCGTCTTCAGGGAAAGGTTGCCATTGTCACCGGCGCTGCCTCTGGCTTCGGCAAAGGCATCGCTGCCAAGTTCGTGGCCGAGGGAGCCAGCGTCATCATTGCCGACCTGTCGGCCGAGGCCGGCCAGGCCGCAGCCGCTGAGCTCGGCGACAAGGCCGTTTTCCAGCACGGCGACGTCACAAAGTCTGCCGACTGGGAGGCCCTCCTGAAGCTGGCCGTGGACAAGTTTGGCGGCCTCGACATTGTCGTCAACAACGCCGGCGCCACGTACGCCAACAAGCCCACGACGGATGTGACGGACAAGGACTTTGACCTCGTCTTCAACGTCAACGTCAAGTCGGTCTACGTGTCGACCAACGTGCTGCTGCCATACTTTCTCGACAACAAGCGGCCCGGCAACTTCATCCAGGTCGCGTCCACAGCTGGCATCCGCCCGCGGCCCCGGCTGACCTGGTACAACGCCAGCAAGGCGGCCGTGATCAACGCCACCAAGACTATGGCCGTCGAGTTCGGTCCCCATAATATTCGCTTCAACGCCGTGTCGCCCGTGGTCGGCAGCACGGGCATGACGCACCTGTTTATTGGGAAGCCGGACACGGAGGAGAACCGTGCAGGCTTTGTGTCAACGATCCCGCTGGGCCGGCCGTCGACGCCAGGCGACATTGCCAACGCATGCTGCTACCTGGCGAGCGACGAGGCAAGCTTCATCACAGGCGTGAACATTGAGGTGGATGGGGGGCGGTGTGTATAGGAATATCGGGGAGGAGAAAAAGGCGATTGTCACAGTGTTCTAGTACGTTCATTCCAGCATCAATGTGTATGCAGTTACTCAAATATGAAATTAGTCCACAAGAATGCAGTACGTAGGTTGTGAGACTCTTGTAACGTACATCTGTGGTTTATTGACATAGCACTACTTGTTGTCGTCTTTGGAGCACTAGCCACGATGCACCGGGCGCATAATCAGGCAGTGATGTCTACGATAGGACAGTCGCAGTACATATTTGCTTCTTATGCCCGGTGTGGGAGCGGATGACAAACTGTATGAGGGGGTCGACAATATCGTGCAACTGAATTCCTCCGAGATGGTATAGTCACGTGCCTACCAGCATCGGCCTAAAATTGTTCTCGTGTGTGTAACACAAGCAGAAAACAAGTAGAGAGTGACTCGAGCGTAACTCCCGTTTTGTCTGGTGGTACCTAGGGCTTTTTATTCATCGTTCCGTCTTTATTCCGTAGTACCTGCCGGTACGACGCACCAACCGGGACAATAGCGGCTGCAAAGAAATAATTGTCCAGTTCACCACCCAGGCAGCAACGGCAGGAGACGAAACAAAGACAACATCACCAGCACCCAGCAGACGCGCCGACGGTCATCTCTCTCGCATCGAAAATGACAACGCAAAGTATCAGCACGACTGTACCCGGGCAGCGCCCAACACACGAGCAGCTCGATGCCTTAACGAACAATGTCCGGCAGCTTTTCCTCGTACGAAATGGGACTATGGATGACTATCACCAACTGCGGCGTTATGCGCTCGCCACTCTTGATACTGCCCCCACATCACTGGTCCTCCCCGCCGATGAGCTTGACGAGCGCCTGCGAATCGCGGAGGTATTTCTAGCGAGCATGCGAAGAGGCCTCTCGGTTGATATAGACATGTCCACGATGGCTCTGGCCATCATCGCTGTGTTACCTATGCACCAACTGCACAGGATTGAACGGGCGCTCAGACAAGACGACAGTCTTTTCAGCATTCATAGCTTTATGTGGAACACGACGGAAGCCGTGCGCATATGTGAGTGCGACTTCCTTTCCCCCTTCAATATTTTGCAGTGTCAAGATTTGCCATACTGCCACTTCGTCGCTCAGAGAGCAGCAAACTAAAGAACGTATTTTAACCTGAGAACTTAGTCTTACAAAAACCCGGCGTGAATATGCCACAGCGCGGCCCCCTTCTGAATCGTCGACAGACCGAAAGAGACATTGTAAGAAGTCAATCCAACAAGCCCAAGTCTTTGCTTCTCAGACACTGCTCGTCGTTTATTTGTGTCTAACACACCTGCAGTGCCTGCTGCGCGATCGGTATCGCTGTCTGCTCACTGGGACGGCCAACCCCGAAGTGTGCCACATATTTCCGTTCGCCGCCAACAACAGCACCGACAAGGTGGGTCGGCTGTTGCAGTTCGTACTCGGGCTCCGGGTACTCACTAATGATCGAGTTCAACTATTTGCGAGCGAGCCAGGCTGCACGGATAGGGCTTTCAATATGCTCTGTCTTAGCCCAGCGCTGCACAGTTGGTGGTCACGGGGATACTTTGCCTTTCGGTACCTGGGCATTACGCCAACAGAGGACGCCGGTGGTGGCACGGTGCGAGGCATTGTGCATATCCAGCTTCATTGGCTGCCCCGTCAGACGACAGCGATGGCAGCTACAGCAACAATGCCAACTACAACACCCACAACCACGCAGTACCCGAGACCATGGGACGATACGGTCAAGCAAGACAAATACTGCGACTGGATCCGAGAATGGGAATCGCGACCGCGATTTGGGTCACCTGCCGACGCTAACATGGACGCAGATGGTGATCCGATCGTGGCTGTACCACACCCTGCCACCAGCCGCCTGTTGCAGACAGGTCATGTTTTTACTGTGACACTGCCTAGCATGGACGAAGCACAGAAAATGGCCGCAATGCTCGAGCTTCAGTGGGCCTGCTTGCAGATTGCGAGCATGTCTGGTGCGGCGGGTGATGATAACTTTCTTTACGAAGGCGACGACGAGTACGGGCGAGACGAGGACGAAGGACAGGGGCAGATTTATACGCCGACCAACTAGAAGCAGGCCGCATCAGATCACGCCAACGACCCAAATACCAATGTCCAACACGACCCTGACACCGGCGAGGCCACGCGGGCCTCAAAGTTCCGTACCCCATCCCCCCTCCCTGACACCGACGAAGCTGCGCCAATGTTGCCCAAGCCGGAGCAGTCCGAAAACACCAGAAACGCGGAAAACACGAAAGAGACAGTCTCGCTCGGAGAGCCCGAGGACATCGCGAAGCCAAAACCGGAGGATTTGGTGCGCACGCAGGCGGGTGAGGTTGCAAATGAGCCTCCGAAGCCAAAATTCCGCCGCCTAGTACGAGATCGATTGCCGTCTTTGGTCCGCTCGACACGCCATGCATTGTCCAAGATGAAGCGCCAGCGTCCTTCGGTGCAACAGCTCTTCCAGGACGACGCTCCCGTTGCTGGCAAGCCGAGTGGTGGTAAACTAGGCGAATCGACCGTGACAGGAATACTGGTGGAGACGTCTAGAGACTAGATGTCTGCAGCCGCATTGTGACGGGGGTGGACTGGGAGACGGCCTCTGCGCCCCCACGGCCTGGTGGAGTGGCTTCGGGATGGGCAGCTCGGTGGTGACAGCAGATTTTGCACGTGTTGTCGCGCACGTCATGTTCCTGTTTTAGCTACCGACGCCGACTAGAAAGAGACGATTTTAAACAAACCACGCATGGCGTTTCCTCCGCCCCACGATGGATAACCGAATCGGTGACCGATATGCGCTAAAGCAACCACGGCAGGCTGCGGTGCGTCCCTGCTTGTGCAGATTTTAAGCTTTCCTGTTAGTTTTCATATTATTGGGCGACAGCCTTGCACGATTTACCAATAACACGAACACGTGCCTCTGGTCAAGCTGAAAACCTCACGGGTTGACTAGTGCACAATCTTGCGCGGCCTCAAAACAACTGCGGTGTTTATGGCCAGGCAAGAGAGCATGCCGTGATCCGAAGTCATGGACGTGGATTTCAATAATTACGTCACCTCCAGGTGGCATATTTAAGCTGCTTGACCTTTCCTGACTGGACCATCTACTCTGAACACCACTGCCACTTCACTATTTTCCTTCGCTCATCACTGCGGCTTACTTCCCCTCCAACATGCTGTCTACCAAGTCACTTCTCGCGGCCGTCTTGGCCCTTCCAGCCGCCGTTCTGGCCGCGGACGGCCCCATGGTCCCTGACTACGAGATCCACCTGCAGCTGGATCCGACGGTGGTGCTGGACTCCAACTTCCGCCTGGTGTCGGCCGTGATTGACGAGTTTGCGATGCCGACGACGGTCACCAAGAAGAACGTGCAGTACATTGACACGCTCGACAAGGCGCTGGATGCACAAGGGTGGAGCTGCCGCATCCGCAACGTGGAGGACAAGAGCGGCTTCGACCTGACGTACAAGTGGCGCCTGCCGATCCAGAACGGCGACATCACGGGGGCGCTCAACACGGCGTTTGCCGACGGCTGGAACTCGGGCCAGGGCAACTACGCGGCGCAGGTGGACTGGTACCTGGACAGCCAGGAGCTGTCGGTGTCGCGCGACTACACGGCGTCGTCGAGCGGGTACAGCGGCACGACCGACCCGACGGAGGCGGACTCGCGCCAGCTGCTGATTGCCAACGCGCCCAAGATGTTTGACAACTGGGTCACAAACGGCTGGGGCACGGACGAGCTGGCGAGCGGCGCCATCTACGGGCCGGTGCTGACCAAGGCGAGCGCGGGCACGTGGGACGGCCGGGAGCTGGACATTGAGATCTGGCCGATTGAAAACAGCGCGGGCACGGGCATCGCCTATCTGGTGGAGGCGTCGTTCAAGACGGACGACTACGACACGGCGCTGAGCGGGCAGGCGGGGCTGATTGCGCTGCTGAAGAGCAAGGGCTGGTTCCTGGACACCAGCAACTCCAAGGAGGCCCTCGTGCTGGCCAACTACCACCCTACGTCGTAGGTGGGTGGCATGAAAGAGAAATAACAAAGTGTCGACAGTAAATAGTGATGTATACCTATATTACTTTATTTATCAACGCAATTATGCAACCTGAAATGCTTCATGGTCACCTCGCCCGTTCACCTCCTGTTCTCTTCCACCTTCTCCTTGGCCGTCCCGTCTGGGTTTAGCTTAGCAGCAAGCGGTACCTTGTCGTAGATCACCAACATGACGCCGGCAAACGTCACCAGAATAAAGGCCGTCGATATCGTGCAGAACCAGCCAATGCCAATGGCGTCCGTTGCCGGAATGGCCAGTGCTGTGCCCGCCGCGCCAAACATGTAGCGAATGAAAAAGTTGCCGCCCAATACCTCGGTCGAGCGCCCGGGCACGACGTCGATGCAGTAGGTGTTGATGGCCGGGAAGATCATGAGCTGCGTGAAGCCCTGGACGAACATGACGACGACCAGCAGGGCAATGCCGCCCTTGTCGTACTGCAGGCACCAGCCGTAGATGAGCATGCACGCCGGCGTGCCGATGCCCATCCACGGCATGGCCGCGCGCAGGCGGTCTTGTGGACGGCGGACGCCGTTGCGCTTGCGGATCCACGCCTTGACGACGCGGTCGGCGTTGCGGCCGCCGAAGAACGTGGCCGCCAGGTACCCGCACCCGGGGGCCAGGTAGAAGAGACCGGCCTGCAGGGGTGTAGTGAAGTGGAGCCGCGGGTTGATGACGTAGACGATGGGCGCGAAAAAGGCATACATGTTCCAGATGAGCGATGACGAGGCGAGGGCGACGAGAAAGAGGTCGGGGCGGCGGAAGAGTCGGACGAGGCGGACGGGGCTGTACGCGGCCAGGCATTCGCGGACGCGCTGGTCGCGGGGGATGGCGTCCCAGCGGCGAGCATGCGCGGTCTCGGGCAGGAACAGGACAGTCAGGACGGCGGCCAGCCCGGCCAGCCCCGTCTGGAACCAGTAAATGCTGCGCCAGCTCGCGTACGTGACGAGGAGGCCGCCGATCAAGGGGCCCACGGCCGGACCGACCAGCGTGCCGCTCAGGATCCACGCCAAGGCGGTGCCGCGTTCGGTCGGGCGGTACAGGTCGCCCACGACGGCCGGGCCGCAGACCAGCAGACCCGTCCCGCTGAACCCGCTGAGGATCCGAAAGACGAAAAAGGACGCCAGGTTCGGCGACAGCGCCGACCCCAGCGAGAAGGCTGTGAAGGCCACGACGCTCGGCAGCAAGGCCGCACGGCGGCCGCCGAGCACGCCCGTGACGCCCCAGACAAACGCCGACACGCCCATGGCGCCCGTGTACAGGCCGTTGCTGATGTTGATGATGCTGCCGGACGTGTGGAAGGTCTCGGCAATCTCGGCCAGCGCCGTCAGGCAGCCGGTCGTGGCAATGGGCGACAGCAAGCTGCAGAGCGACAGAATGGCACAGAACAGCCATTTCTGGGCGGGCGAGTAGCGGGCGTACATGCGCTCGGCACGCTGGGTGGGGATCAGGTCGGCGTCGGGGATCGACCGGTCAGGCGGTCCATCAGGCGTGTGCGGTGTTGCCGGAGTTGGTGGTGGCATAATCTGCGTTGCCTCAACCTTTTCAGCTGTCGTCACGCCCTTCTCGATATCTCTTTTCGTGCCATTCGCGTCGTCGACCACGCCCGCCCGTACGTCGGCAGCTGCTGTGGAGAGTATGGCGGCGTCCATGTGCGTCTCGACAATGGCTAGATTGTCGTTTTTGTCGCGGGATATGCGAGGAAGAGGGCGTTGTGTATGTGTTGAATTTCGTCCCCTAAACGGTGTTGGTTGTGTCGGCTGTTTTGGTGGTGTGTTTGAAGCAGGTGAGGAGGCCGGGAGATGAAGATCCGGCACGGTGACGTTGATGTAATCTTGGTCGGCCATGATGCGTTCATGGGTGGTGTAACGATGGATAATGGAGGGAGATTGATAAAAATAGGGGTATTTAAATAAGTGGTAATTGCGATGGCAATGTAAAAGTAGACATCCAAATAGAAAATAGTCACAAAATGCGGAATGCTATAGACTGTATTGGCGCCAGTAAATAGACACGGCAGGCGTCAATGGAGTGAACAGCCCATTGAAGGGATCGTAATTAGAGAAGGATAGAAAAAGAGAACGAGTGCAAGCAAATACAAATAACAACCAACAACCAACACAGCTCCTCGGCGTGTCTAGCAGGCAAGAGGAAGAAGGCCTTCCGCCGTCCTGCGTCCTCCACTAGAGTCGATTGAATCAGTCGAGTCGTGATGGAAGGCAACGATGGTTGTTGATTGGCCTACAGAAGTCACCATTCCCCGGCAAAGCTAGTCCGGTAAGTGTTGTCTGGAGACGATGGAGAGCGGAAATACAACTACGCGGAATGACTCGCGCTAACCAAGCAATGACTCTCTACGTTGGGTTCTCTGCGCGGAACGCTATTTCCTTGTCACGCACATTATCCGTAATAAATTATTGGCGTTGATGCAACCACTATATTTCCGTCTCGAACCACTTTTTGAAACACACTCTGTCCTACTTGGTTCGTTCCCGTCCCTGGATGCTCGGAAGCCTGACAATATTGATTGGGTCCGAATATACGTCCTCTCACCAAGACGACCCTACTCATACAGCTCTGGCGCCAAGAGAATCCAGTAGGAACCGACGACGGGCTTGTTGATGTTGCTGGTGCCTGGCCACGTGCCCGGCGGATTCTTGCCGTTGGCGCTGGGCGTGACATACCACCAGTTGGGCCCGGGCGAGTTGTTGATGCCGTTGGTCAAGAAGGCGTGGATGCCGCCCAGGATGCCGTCGCGCACGTCGGGCGCGGACGTGACGGCGACCCACGGCAAGAACTCGCCGACGGCGTAGGTGACGTTGGAGTCAAAGGGCATGCCGTAGGTGGAGAGCTGGCCGGCGTACCAGTCGCTCTGGAGGGCGTAGGACGAGGCGTTGAAGGTGCGGAGGCCGACCATCTTGTCCCAGCCCATGGGGTAGGTGGAGATCCACGACGCGGCCGGGTCGCCAAAGTGGGCGGTGACGTGGCGTCCGGCGACGCCCTCGGCCATGACGACGTCGGCAAAGCGGCGGCCGATCTGGGTGTAGTTGTCGAGCCCGGTGAGGGCGCCAAAGGACGTCAGGGCCACGGCCGAGTACATGGCCAGCACGGTCTGGTTGGCGGTGGCGCCGATGGAGTCGACGGACGACTGCTGGGCGGCGGTGTAGAGGCCGTTGTCGACCAGGTAGTCGGCAAACTTCTGCAGGGGCGCCAGGTACGGCTGGATGTACGCGGTGTCGCCCGTGGCCTTTTGGTACGCGTAGGCCATCCAGTGCATGACGGCCGTCTGGTCGACAATCAGCGCCTCCTGGGCGGCGACCGTCTCGCCCGTGGCGTTGGGGTACTTCTTGCCCAGGTCGTGGAAGCCAAACTCGGCCGGCCACGTCAGGGCGTACTCGAGCAGGGGGTTGAGCAGCAGACGCATGTAGTCGGGGGCCATGACGTAGAAGATGGGCCAGGCCTTGGGCAGCAGGTCCGCCGTCGTCTGCACGTTGCCGTCGGTGGAAATCTCCTTCATCCAGGCGCTGGCCTTGGCCGTGTCCAGCGTGTCGCCCGGCACGACGATTTCCAGCGCGGCAAACGTCTGGCGGACCGAGGCTTCCAGGATGTCGGTGTAGTTGGGCCCGAACGCGGCGCCCTGGCGGACCACCGTGGCGTCCACCTTCTGCCCCTCGGCGCGGGCGGCGTCCAAGTCGGAAAACACATAGTCGACGGCCGCCTCGGCGCCAGCCGCCACGCGGGATCGATAGTAGAATGCCTGCGGCTCGCCGTACGCATTGAAGGCCTGTTCCTGCTCGATGCCGACGACAAAGGTGACGGCCTGCTTGTTGTTGTTGCCCCCCTTTGTCAGACGGTACGACAGGGCCAGGTGGTTGCTCGGGACGTAGCCCGTCGTCTTGCCGGTCAGCGTGCCGTTGGTCGACAGCTGGGCGGCGTTGTTGGGCCCCGTGTCGGCCTGCCACGAGACGGCTCCGAAACGCGTGTGGGCGGCCAGGACGACGTTGCCCCAGACCGCCATCTGGTTGTTCTCGCCAAACGTCACAGGGCGCGTGCCGTTGACGACAAACAGGCGCGACCCGCCCTTTGTCTCCGAAAAGAAGGCCTGCACGTTGCTTCCCTGCCCCGTCCACGACGCGTCAATCTCGCTCATGATGTCGACCACGGGCCAGTCGCCGTGCTTGGGCTTCTTCAGGCCCGTGACCTCGACGGTCAGGTAGCTGAACGGCAGCGACTGGCGCACGTAGTCGTCCGGCGACACGGGCGAGAAGAAGGCGAGCGTCACGACGGCCGGGCCCGCCTGCAGGGTGACGGTCGTCGTCGTGGCCGTAAACTCGAGATCGAGCTGCGTCGCCGGCGGGACCGTCGTGTTCGTGCAGCTGAACAGGCAGTAGGCCGTGTCGTCAATCTTGGCCAGCACCTGCCACGTCAACGCCTGGCCCTGCCAAAAGTACGGCCGGGCCGAGGGGAAGTCGTGGGACGCGTCGTGCGTGACCCATGCGGAGACGTACGGATTGCGGTTGGCCTGTGTTGTCAGTGGGTGGTTCCAAGCTTCACACGGCAAGAATGTCACGTACAATAGGATACGACGGCAGCGAGGCTCTGCTGGCCAGGACTGCCACGGCCGTCGAGGCGAGGGTGAAGAGTGTTGAGAACTTCATGGTGGCGAGGTGGTGTGCGTTGGTGACAGGTGTAAAAGGGAAACCTGGATGCAATACTGATACAATATATACACGGCGAGGAACAACGTCCTGCTTACTCTTAACGATTGACTATAATGACAACAGAATGGCCGTTTGAAGCATCGCTTGCGGCCACGCCATCCGTCCAAATGCCAATGAATGATGCAGCAGCCAACACATGGGTACGTAAACGAAGCAACAGCAGACAAGACTGGAAAATGTGACAATCTCACTGCCTACTGTAGCGCGTAAACTGTTCTAGCTCAAACGTCATGAGAAACAGACATGCAGGTTGCTGCTATCCGTCCTTTTGGGTCGGCTCGCGGGAGTCGGGTGTCGGCGGACATTGAACAAGGTCTACGGGAGACCTGCGATTGGTTAATGCAAGTCAATGTTGTGAATGAGTCCCACTCGGGTCATCTTCCTATCCCCCAGAAAACGTTGCACGTCGTACCTCAACTCTCTCCCCACTTTAGCTCCCACTTGGTGAAGACGTCAGTTGGCCGTAAATTGCGTTTTAAGCTTTAGCTCTCCACTGTTACCCGTAAGGGCAGTGACAGCTTTGCCACCAGAGGAAAGCAGTATGACTTGCGACTTGCACGTCCCAATGCTATTTGGGTCAGACCAAGTTCCACGATAACTCGCGGCGATGATATCTTCAAATAATACGACTAGTATCAGTCACCTATACGTATGAGGCTCCAGCAGGACACCACGTATATATCAAAGGTCACATGATCTCGCAATTACAGGTAGAGAAACGCATGATTCCCACGTCGTGTATCCTCGCATTGGCTGGGCGTAACTATTCTGTAAACAAACAACCACCCAGCTTGGCTATATACGATCGCCTTGTATTCACAATACCCTATTTGATTCATTTCAGCCCACTATTTATCACTTGATGCATTTCATGCATTCTTAGGCGCCTTACTGCCACTGCAAAAGTGTGTCTGCTGCCAGTCAACATAAGCGGCCCGTTTGAACGGCCAACATGGAGGCGTACCAGCGACCCATATCAACGGCCCATACCAACGGCCCATACCAACGTCCCATGTAATTTGTTGGACATTATGCCAGAAATTATGAAAAGGCGACTAGCCTTCAGTAATTAAACCAAGGCGATGTTTGCAAGGCGCACTTTGCCCTCGACACGTTTGGCAGTCTGTGTGTATCTCGAGCAGCCATCATCTGTGATGTTTTTCCAGGCGTAGGCGACAAGGCTGCATCCATCTCTGGACTTCAAGATGGACGTAGGAGAGGCCTCATTGTAGGACATTTTGAAAAAGTATTTAAACCGGCTTCGTCTGCCCTGTGTTGATGTTAATGTCTTCTTCTCTTCATCCATCAACAGCATCTAACTACAAAGTGTCAAAACATTATCGAGTCTCAAAACAAGCTTCTCTGAACAATCTTGAACAATTTTCTCCAAATAATCTACTCGGAACAGCCCTCAGAACAAGCCATTAGCTAAGACATCTCACAGTCAATACGTCCTGCTGGCAACGAGCTTCGACTGACCCGTCTTGGAAATACAGGCACGGGATACGATCAACATGCCGAGCGAGATCATCAAATGTCCCGGCGGCTGCGGCATGGACATTTCGTCGACGGCACCCTATAATTCGTGTCTCACCTGTGCCGCGAAGGGAAACAAGTAAATTCACTGCCCGGACACGCTGCAGATGCACTCTCGTATGAAGACAGGTGTCGCCAGTGTGGATGGAGATTGACGGGATTCATGGGATGGATGGACAGGTGGATGGACAGATGGGATGAATGGATGGGGTCGTTGATGGATTGATGGATTGATGTGATATTTCTTCTCTCTTACTTAGATAGCTAGCTACCCCTTAGGTACATCATAATGGAGACCACTATTCCTCCTTAGCTCTGTCCACCTTCTCTAAAAGTGTGAGCAGGTGCGGCATTTCTACCTCGTCGCAGTACTCCCGCAGCCACTCGCGACCCTGATCTATGTCATCCAACTCACCCTCCAGCGGCGCGCCGGGTCCCTCGCGCGTCCAGTACGGTCGCTCGAACCACTCTGGCCAGAACCCGGCATATTCCCAGTCGACGATGGCGTTGATTTTGAGCGTCTCGGGATCGACCAGAACGTTGTACTGGCTCAGATCGTTGTGGCAGAAGACGTAGTCGCCCTTGGGGAGGTCCGTCTTGGGCCGCCAGCAGGTGTGAGTTTTCCAAAAGTCACGGTGCATGCGCAGCGGCGGACAGAGGAGAGTCTGGCTGGGCACGCCCGGTGCGTCCGAGCGGAGCGACTTGAGCGTGGCCAAGTGCACCATCAGCTCCTTTGTGACGACGTCCTTTTGCTCGGGCGTGAGGTGCACCATGCTGATGCCCGGGACAAACTCGGTGCAAAAGTAAAAGGCCCCGTCGTCCTCCATGGTGTGCCGGAAGCGAGGGATGGGAATCGAGGGGGCATGCTCCCGCAGATACTGCAGGACCGCGCCGTCGGTCGTCCATCGCTGCGGCAAGTTGGCTGGAGGCTTCCAGCCAATCGTATTTTCCATCCATTCGTGCCGGCGCAAGGTGCGCTTGACGAACGACGACCCGACATCAAAGTATTTCTTGTCCTGCGTGATGCCCGTACACTCGGGCTCGCGGTGCTTCTTCATATCCTGATGCGAAACCATTGTCTAGGAAGTCGGATAAGGTGACGTCGAAATAGGTGAAATGATGTCTATGAGAGACAACTATGAGATGATGAGATGATGAGAAGATGCGAAGATGAGATGATAGGTCGTGGGAAAGTGAGATGATGGGAATATGGGAAGATAAGGAAGACGAGAAAAGCAAGAACGGCAACACAAAAACGAGGGGACGAATAATCATGCAACACAAGATAATAGGCGCCCGTACCAGCGCGTAAATTAGGCAGGCAATATGCAGGACAGACCTAACAGGGGTGCTTGACCAATGAAACCGTCGGATCACATCCGAGTCAAACCGAACCCGGGCGGCATGCACGTTGCATTTACATTTGTTCGCGCTCAAATTCATTCATGACGATACGGAGTAGTTTGAGATGATACACATGTACATTATTCAAAAATACTCCGCTCACAATACGCTCCGCTCACAATACGGCTCCGCTCAATACTGCTCCGCTCACACAACCTCCTCCACCCGATTCTCCTCGTCCAGCTGCTGCAGCTTCCCACCGGCAGTCGTCTCCAGCGCGGTGACACGGCTGCCGGCGCCGTGGGTCTCGGCGGTCTTGAACTGGCGCGCCGGCGTGCGCGCCTGGAACAGCTCGTCGAGTTCTTCGAGCGAGCGGTCTTTGGTCTCGGGGACCCAGAGGTAGGTGGCGACGGCGCAGCCGAGCGCAATGGCGCCAAAGACCCAGCCGATGTCGGCCCCGATGTCGTTGAGAATGTAGGGGACGCAGAAGCTGACGATGAAGGCGGTGACGACGTTGAGGGCAATGCCGAGCGAGAGCGTCTTCTCGCGCAGGTCGGCGGCGCCCATCTCCGCGGCGACGGTAAAGACGAGCGGGCCCCAGGTGCCCGAGTAAAAGAAAAAGTAGAGCATGACGCCGGCGACGAGGGCACGCCCGTCGGTGCCGTCGGGGTTCTTGGCAAGGCCGACGCCGGCGACGAGGAACAAAAACACGGTCTGGGCGACGGCGCCCCAGATCAGAATGGGCCGGCGGCCGACAAAGTCGCTCGCGAGCATGCCCAGCAGGCAGCCGCCCCAGCCAATGGTGGAGGAGCCGATGTTGTAGTTGAAGGCGTTGGCGGAGAGGCCGACGGTGGCGTAGAAGCGCGGCGAGTAGCCCGAGACGAAGCCCTGGCCCAGAAACTGCTGGATGCCGAGCAGGCCGACGGCAATGGCCGACCGCCGCAGGTGGGTGCCGCGCACCATGTCGGTCCAGGGCGCTTTGCTGCCGTCGTGCTGGCTGTGCGCCGCCAGGGCCTCTTCGATGGCGTCCATCTCCAGGCGGCTCATGCCGGCGCGGACGTCGTCCTGCGGGCGGAGGCGGTCGAGGACGGCGACGGCCTCGTCCTTGCGGCCCTTGCTGAGCAGCCAGCGCGGCGAGCTGGGGATGAAAAAGGTGCCGACGAAGATCAGGACGGGGATGGCGGCCTGGAGGGCGACGGGGACGATCCAGCCGGCGCGCGTGGCGTTGGTCGAGAAGCCGCGGTTGACGCCGGCGGCAAAGATCTGGCCGAACAGGTTGAAGAGCTGGATCGACCCGACGACGGTGCCGCGCATGGCGGCGGGCACAATCTCCGACTGGTAGCCACTGTCAGGTTAGCAGACTTGGACTTGCGGCAGATGCGGCACAGCAGGACAAGCACCTACGTCGACGTCACTTCGGCAAGGCCGACACTAAAGTAGATGATGATGCGGCCGACGATGAACTGGGCAATCGACTTGGCGGTCGACTCGATGACGATGCCGACCCAGACGACGACGACCAGCGTCCAGATGGCCACCTTGTGGCCCCAGCGCTCGACGAGAAACGGCGCCACGAGCGCGCCGACCAGCTTGCCCGCAAAGGCCGTCGAGGACGTGTACGACGCGCGCGCCGGCGACAGCGCGTACTTGCCGCTGCCCGGCTTGGTCTCGGCGCCAAACTCGCGCGTGAACCCGGGGATGCTCTGCACGCCCGAGAAGCTGGTGGTCTCGTAGCCGAAGATGATGTTGATGAGCGCCGAGATCATCCAGGCCGAGAAGAGCGGCCATGTCATTTTCTGGAAGACGTAGCGGGCGGACAAGATGCTGTTGCGGGCGCGCTGGCGCGTTGTCAATGGCGGCGGCGGCGATGTCCCAGCGGCGGCGTCAGCCGGGGCGGCAGCGGGAGCGGATTCTTTCTCCATGGTGGACGTTGGTGGACTGTGAAGCAAAGGACGTGGCCGTTGACATCGACTCGGTTGGCAGGACTGCAGATCGCTTGGCGAGCATTCTTATAGCAAGTCAACGTGCATCGTACGACGACAGGGGAAAAAGGAGGCAGCCACCACGCCGTCTCCACGCATCAACACCACGTCCGATCACAACATCGACACGAGATGTGGCGTGTGCGTCGAGACCTCGTCGGTGCCGGACAGGGGTACCTCGTGCAAGGGTGGCTCGTTTGTCGTCTGCAGGGCTGTCCACATCCTCACACGTTCCTCTGCATGCGGTTGCCGTTCGAACTGTTGTCCAAAAAGGAGGGCGTGGAACAGTCGCGGTTCGTGGATGTCGCCCAAGGTCGTTACGGATTACGGCTGTCAGTTATCACTAGCGGCAGCACGCCATGCTGACCCCTGGGTCCGTTGTCGCGGCCATCGCGGCTGTCGCGGAGTTGGAGACACGGGATTGGCTCGCTGACTGCCGGCAGAGACAGCGACCCGCAACGTTGGAGTCGTAAGTGTGGATGTGTAAGTGGAGACGACAGAGCAATAAGTTGGGGTATGTTTGGAGAAGCGATCATGAAGGGGTTAAGCAGAAAGACAGAAACGAACAGACAGAGTCGATCGAGACAGTTGTGGAAACAGAGTAAAGAGTATGTGTCGTGGAATATTTTACTTTTGTTTATTTTTTATATTTTTCGTTTTTGTGTTTCCTTTATATTTTATGTTTATTTTTCTTTTAATTTTCACTTTTTATTTCAAACGTGCAATTCATATCGCTCACAAAATAAAGAAATTATTTCTTACCCTTTGCCACAATTCACCTTCCTTTAAAACGACATTACCTACGTTGCCATCTCCATTCCATCGACACCTACCAACGCCGCCATGGCCACTCCTGCCGCCGCCGCGCCTACTACAAGGCCGCCCGGCCGCCCCAACTTCCTCATCATTGTCGCCGACGACCTGGGCTTCTCAGACGTGGGCTGCTTCGGCGGCGAGATCCACACGCCCAACATTGACAAGCTGGCGGCCAGCGGCGTCCGCTGCACGGGCTTCCACGCGGCGGCGGCCTGCAGCCCGACGCGGGCCATGATCATGACGGGCACGGACCACCACATTGCCGGGCTGGGCAACCTGGTCGAGTTTACCAACTACACGGGGTGGTCGCGCTTCGACGGCGAGCCGCTGACAGACAGCGGCAAGCCGTTTGACGCGAAGCCGCAGCGCGGCATGCCCGGCTACGAGGGCTACCTCAACGAGCGGGTCGTCACCGTGGCCGAGGTGCTGCGCGACGCCGGATACCGCACGATGATGGCGGGCAAGTGGCACCTGGGGCTCAAGCCGGAGCGGTCGCCGCACGCGCGCGGGTTCCAGCGGTCGTTTGCGCTGCTGCCGGGCAGCTCGAACCACTTCAACTACCGGCCGCCGGGCGAGGTCGCGCACGGCACGCCGCAGTTTCTGGACACGAGCATCATTGCGCTGCACAGCGAGGACGGCGTGTACCAAGAGCTGGACGCGCTGCCGCCCGACTGGTACTCGAGCAACGGCTACGGCGACAAGCTGGTGGCGTACCTCGAGGAGCTGGACGCGGCGAACGCCAGCGCCGACGGCGAGAAGCAGCCTTTCTTTGCCTACCTGCCCTTCTCGGCGCCGCACTGGCCGCTGCAGGCGCCCAAGGCGCACGTCGACCACTACCGCGGCGTCTACGACAAGGGCCCGGCCGTGCTGCGCCAAGAACGGCTGGCACGCATGGCCGCCCTCGGCCTGATGGACGAGGACACCGAGGCGCACCCCGTGGTGCTGGACGACGGCAAGACGCAGGCCTGGGAGGACCTGCCGGCCGCCGAGCGCGCCCACTCGGCCCGCGCCATGGAGGCGTACGCCGGCATGGTCGAGTGCATCGACGCCAACGTCGGCAAGGTCGTGGCGCACCTCGAGGCGACGGGCCAGCTCGACAACACGCTCGTCATGTTTTTGTCGGACAACGGCGCCGAGGGCGCGGCCTACGAGGCGTATCCGCTCGTCAAGGGCCCGCTGATGAGCCACATCCGCGCGCACTACAACAACGCGCTCGACAACATCGGCGCCCGCGACAGCTTCGTCTGGTACGGCCCGCGCTGGGCCCAGGCCGCCACCGCGCCCTCGCGCCTCTTCAAGCTGTACACGACCGAGGGCGGCGTGCGCGTCCCCTGCGTCGTCAAGGGCCTCGGCGCTCAGCCGGCCGCCATCAAGCACGAGTTTGCCACCGTCATGGACATCATGCCGACCCTGCTCGACCTCGCCGGCGTCGACCACCCCGCGCCGCTCTACAACGGCCGCCCGGTCGCCGGGATGCGCGGCAAGAGCATGGCCGCCTGGCTGCGCGGCGAGGCGCCCTCCACGCACCCGCCCGACTTTGTCCAGGGCTGGGAGCTGTGCGGCCGCGCCGCCATCCGCCAGGCCGACTGGAAGGCCGTCTTCATCCCCGCGCCCAAGGGCCCCCATGCCTGGCAGCTCTACAACCTCAAGGCCGACCCGGGCGAGATCCACGACCGGGCCGCCGACGAGCCCGACCGCCTGACGGCCCTGCTGGCGCACTGGGACGCCTACGTCGCGGAGTGCGGCGTCGTGCCCCTGCACCCGGAAATGGGCGCCTACCTCGAGGCCACCGAAGAGCAGATGGAGGAGAATGCCTGGATCGAGTACGAGTACTGGAAGCCGGGCGGGCTCGAGAACAGGGAGGCCTTTTTCCGCACGCCGAAGCGTTTTCAGGACGCGAAGGCCTAGGTAACGGTCGACGTTGACTGCGAGCAGACGTACAAGCCAAATAAATAAAAATAATATATAACATACAAAATAAACAGCACATTCGTGCAATCTTGGCTTGTTGCTGCTACAGATTTCCAAAAACACTCCCGTTAAAGTCAAACCCCAAGCTCTGGTTGATCCAGTCAAACTGCGTCGGCGTCATGGAAAAGTTGAGCGTTCCGTCGCCCCACGCAGACGCCACGCCCATCTCGTTGGGGCTGTACGTTTCGTAGGGATAGTATGGTTGCGGTGGCGGCTGTACTGGCGGCTGTACCGTCGGCTGTACTGTCGGCTGTGCCGTCTGCCACGGACCATCCAGGCGCCACTCGTCTGTGCTTTCTGTCGGCAGAGCGGCCGTCGGTGCCGCCAGAACAGGCGACCGGATCGTCGAGAGGGCGGGCAGCACAGGGGAGGACGGCTGGTCGTCGCCGTCCCGCGCACCGTCTCCGTAGTGCTGGAAGAGATCGCTCTCTTTGTCGGTGGCCGTCGACGCGGCCGGCGCCAGCACGTCTCTGCGGCAGGCCAGGGCACTCTGGATGCGGCCAAACGTGCCATAGGTGCGGAGACTGGGCGAGGCGGCGCGGTCGGCGTGTCTGTGTCCGCTTGTGGCGTCTGCATCGTCGACGGCCGTCGCCTTCTCCGCCGCCCCCGTGTCCACAACGCCCACGTCGTAGCCGTGCTGCTTCGCCAGCGCGCACACCGAGTAGAACAAGTCGCGAATCGGCACCGACCGCTGTGCAATTTCTGTCCCGCACGCCACGGCGGCCGCCAGATACTGGTCGAGCAGCGGCGCCGTCACGCCGAGCAGCGCGTCCTCGTCGCGCTGCCGCTCAATCACCAGCACGCGCAGCGCCAGCGACGCGCTGATCCCCACCACCGGGTCGTGGCCCGTCGGCTGGTGCCGCATGCTCTCCTGGATGACGCGGCAGATGGCCAGCGCATGCTGCACGCGCCCCCGGCGGCAGTCGGCCAAAAAGTCGGCGGGTGGGGACGTGGACGCCGACGAGGACGAGGACGACGACAGCCGGTGCAGCGAGCGCACGTACGATCCGATGCGGTACAGGTCGCAGTAGCAGCCGTGGTACAGGCAGTGGAGCGTCACAAAACTGACCAGCTGCGACGACCGGCGCCGGTACAGCATCTCCGCCGTGAACCGCATCTCCGGCGGCAGCCGTTCCTGCCAACGGTTCAGCTGGTCTTTGTAGGCAAAGAAGAGCGAGCCCTCCGTCCAGGGCACGCCGTGTGGTGGGGCCGACGGCGGCGATGACGTGGGTGGCGTGCGCGACGCGGCGACCGACGGCAGCGACGCCGTTGTCGTCGTGGCCGCCATGGCCTCCACCACGTGCTGCTTGTTGCGCGGATGGTACGGCATCGTGTAGTCCAGGATGGCCCGCCGCATCGCCGCCAGCTGCACCAGAAACGTCGAGATGCCGAGGCGCGACTCGACCATAGACGTGGTTGGTGTCGGTGCCGGTGTATGTGACGGTGGCGCCGGCGACGGCTTTTCCTGCGCGGCCAAGCTGCTGCGCAGCGTCGGCATGTCCGTCTCCAGGCCCAGCTGAAAGGCCTGCTCGTTGCACGGCAGCCGCACCTCGATGGCGCCGGCGTCCAGGCTGGCCAGCGGCCGGCGCCCGTTCTCAATCAGGCTCTCCATGACAAAACAGCTCCAGATCAGCCGCCGCCGCGCCTCGCGCACCGTCACCGGGATCCTCTGGCCTAGGCCCTGGCCCTGGCTCTGGCTCGGCGCCGCCTGTGCAATCTCCAGGTTCAGCTGCAGGCCATGCGCCAGCCGCACCGCCAGCCCGGACAAAAACCAAGCCGCCACGTGGCTGGCCCGGTGCCACTCGAACCGCTGGAGCAGCAGCAGCGCCTGCAGCGTGGTCGTCGACGGCGGCGAGAAGAGTTCGAGCATCACCAGGCGACGGCACTCGTCGGCCCAGGCGTCGGCCCGTCGGTCGTGCGGGTCGAGGAAGCGGAGAGCAGTGGCCAGGATGACGAGGAGCAAAAAGTCGGGCACCAGGCGACTGTCAAACAGCTGCATCAGCGTCGGCGGGTGGATGAAGGAGTAAAAGCAAAAGTAGTGCGGGCCGTCAAAGTAGGCATTGATCAGGCGGCGCTGCTCCGCGACGTCGGGCAGAAGATGGCTGCTGTTGGTGCCAAACGTGCCCAGTGGCCGTTGCGGTGCAGGCATGGGTGCGTGGGATGTGTGGGATGTGTGGGATGCGCTGTGTGCTTGCGACGGGGCCAGTGGCCGCGCGCCGGGTTTGGCTCGGGAAGCCGACGCGGTCGACCGTATGGATGCTGGCGAGTTCATGTCCGCAGCGTCGACGGGTGCCTTGCCGCTCCAAGCCGGACTTCCCCGTCCAATGCCCTGGTTGGTGTTGATGCAGTCGACCATGGCCCGCTGGCATGGTGCACAAGGTCCAGTGGACGACGCTGAGGAGGTGCAGCGGATCTGAAGGTGAGCAGGCGCAAAAAAAGAAAAGGAAAGAAAGCGGTCTCACGCTCACAGGAACTTCTTACCTTGACTCGTCGACACCTCTCACAGGCCGTGTTCACCCGCGACCGGTGCGCAATCTCGCCGGCCGGGTACCATTCACAGGCAATGCCCAGGCGCGTGCAGTTGCCGCAGACACCGCGGCCTTCGTCGCACCGGACTTTCCGCCGCCGACACGTCGCACAGCCCGTCCGGCTGACACTGCGTCCAGAGCGGCGCATGGTAGAGGGGTATGTATGTCTATGTTGTTGCCGATGCGGTCGTTGGGAAATGTGAATGTATCTTACATGGGAGAATGCAGGAGATTCAACCACTGCTCTGCGTAGGTTGACGTAGGTACCAGCTGCAGGCTTGAGCCGTCACCCAGGGCAGACCTGCAAGGAGCAGCTAAATCCAGGTGAAATTTGGCAGAACAAGGAAAGGAGAGGGCTTCTAATAATACAGTACAGGGAGAAAGAGCATTTCAGGGACAACCAGAGAAAGCCAGGGACGACACGGGAGGACAATAAAGCCTGGAGACAAAGAGCACCCAGAAGGGCGCGCAGAGTCGGCCCCCAGCCCAGGTCCCCAAGCCAGTTGGGCAATCGCGTCATAGCACGTAACAGCCGCTAAAACGACAAAAGAGGGGACCTTGGACCCTATTTTAGTCCCTGTCACAGGTGAGGAGCGCCTTGTCAGATGAACGGTGGCCTCTACGCCAACCCCCGCATTCTGAAGAGCGATGCCCTTTTGGGTCACCTTCTCGTGCGCCCCATGCGGAGCAGATTGTTGGTGCAGCACATGTACATTCGTACAGCGAAGACCACTGTTGGCCAGAAGGTTGTTGTTAGCGACAGGCTCGGCAGCCTCGCACGGCCTGGCCCGCCCGCCTGCCGTGCCGAACAACAAAATTGGGCAAGAACGATCCAATGTACAGCCAGCGGGGAGGAAAAACCTAACAAGAAAGCGTACAGCAGCAGAGCAGCCAAAGAACCTTGTGCCATTTATTAAGAATGGCCCGAAGAGCAGTATCAAGCGGAAGCACACCCAAAATATCCCAGGGATAGTCAATGAAATCAGAGTGCACGCGAAAAAGCCTATTTGGGTTCACATTAGGTCTGTCTTCGACAATGAGTACAGATCACCGGACAATAGGCAATGGAAGACCAATTCCTTGTGAAGCTGTTGATTGTCGCACTATTCTTCAAGCACCGTGAATGGTGGTCCATGATGGCAAGGGTGCCATTCGACAATGGTGCAGACACGGCATCTCCTTTGTTTACATCTACAGAATGCTCTTTGGAGGGCCGACAATAGACCCCATTGTTCCCTTCTGCCCCATCCTGCCCCATTTCGCCCGCTTTCACTCATCCCCCGTAGCATCCCGACTGCTCTTTGTACGATACAATGCGGGCCGTCGATTGTGAAAACATCACAAAGAAAGCAATGTCTTTTCTGCTCGGCAGACATTCAACTGCCCACACTGCGCATATCAAGCTCCCGGTCACAGGTATTTAAGGCCACCTATCCTACCACTCCACGACGATATGTGCCACAACGACACCCCTGCAATCAATGCACGTCGCATATTCCCCCATATTTAAAATCAACGCATCCCGACGGGCATACGCAACCGTTACCGTGAAACGCAGACGAGAGCCTTCCGCTCGAGCCACCATGGACACCGCCACCCAACCCCGGCGTCGAGTGAAACACGGTCAAGGATACGCAGAAAGCGAAGGTATGACGCTCTTTCTAGAGGTGGATCGTGCGGAGGAATGCGTATACCAACACACCCTGCCGGGGCTTGTCAAGGCACGGTACAGTATCGAGCCAGATTTCGTCAATGAGCTCGTGAACAAAACGGGCGCTGCCAAAGTTGGCGCGCAGTTTATTGTCACCGACGAGCAGACACCGTACGTCCTCGGTACCCACGTTGTTGACATGCTCAAAGAGGGTGTTTACGTGAAAGGTGACAATGTGCACGAAGTCACATTCCGTGTTGACAGCGACAGCGCTGGGAAATTGGAAGTCTGGGGTCTCGCCAAAATCAAAGTCTCCGTCTTCGCGTGCGCTTCCGACAGAGACGTACAACGCCTGAAAACGATAGAACACCGTGTCGAAAGCCTTATCTTGGCCGCGGCGTTCATCGGGGTCAAGGCCTGTCCCGCCTGTGATGTGCACCTAAGGCAGGAAATGCAAGGCTGAACCCGAGAGAGTCGACAAGGGTCGAGGGCAGTTCGCGCTACACTATTTCGTTGGCAACGTGGCGAATTGGACCGCCGTGCTTTTTATTTTTTTCGATTAACGTCTTTTCTTGTGTTATCATCTGTTTGCTTGCGTCACACATTCGCGTGAGCCATCAACAAGTGCCCAGATTATTTATTTTGCGGTATGTCTCCCCTGTTTTGTTTTGTTTTGTTTGCATTCATTGGTCCACAAAGCATTCCCATTGTTCACACAGATGCACGAACACATTTACATCTGTAGATGCCAAAATGCACCAGCGTGAACAAATGGGCTTTTTATTTCGTTTTCTTTTCGCGAACAATATGGAAGTTTATTTTATCATCTAGGCTTCCTCTGTGTCTGTTCAAAATTCCAGACATTGCGAACTGCGAACATGTCGAATGTTCCCGACCGAGTATAAGATGACGACATCTTTCCGTTCTTGTAAGGACAACATGAGAGGAAAAGTTCCTCACCCGCTCCCGCCTCCACCTCCCTCGTACTCTACTCTCCTCTACCCACCACAACATTCCAAAACAAAGACAAAAAAAACATTAATAGCCTCCTAACCCTGGCAAGATGGATCCCCCTTTTTTCATACGTCGTACCTTTGGATACGACATCCAGATCCCCGAGGATTTACATGCACGTCGTTTTTTCAACCCGAGCATCTAGTGCATGCTCGCCATCCACTCGGCGATTGCCAGCCAGTACTGGCACTTCACCGTTACCGTGCAGTGTAGAGGGATGAGTGGCACATTCACCACTCTGGGTCACAAGACGCAGCTTCGCAACGAAGGCACATTGGTGGCCGGCCGCCGCGAGTGGCAAGCATATATGATTGAAGTGTGCGACCAAGAGTTCTCTTGGTCCGAGGAGGGCACGTCGACTCTTCGTGTCACGCTCGCGGCTGTTGGGCCCCTGGGAAGCGACGTCTTGGCGTGCTATGAGGTCCTGTATGATTGGCTGTCGGACGACACCGTTCATTGAACGTTCTCTACGACGCCTCATAAGCTGAACCAATCGCCAACCAGCCAGATCGTTGACGTGTTGTTATTGTTCCCGAGGATCGTTGGAGGCACCGAACGCGAGAACAGACGCCGATGAGACCTGCATCCCATCCTGACCCTGACAAACCTCATGGGACTACGGCTTTTGGAAGAGTTCTCCTGTTGGACCCCTCGCCCGCGCTCGTCCTTCCCATAGCATCTCGTTACCTTTATTGTTCCACCCTGTTTCGCATTGTTCCGCATCGTTTCTTTTATTTCTTGTCCTTCCGTGCACCGCCAACGATGAGTGCTCCGCGAAGATCAGGCGTACAATCCGCCCCAATGACTACTAACAAACCAAGCAGGCGACCCCGAAAACCGCAACCAAAAAAAGGATGAAAACAGACAAAACAATCACCAAAAAACACGAAAACGCAAAAATGAGAAGAAAAAAAAGTAAGTTTGCAGATTCTTTATGTTATCTTCCTTCTGTTGATTTTTTTGTTTTCCTGATCGTTGATTTCCTCTATTGATTTTATTTGACTTTCATCTCGAGCACCAGATTATTTTGATGTGCTATGAGATTCCTAGATAGATACTAAACCGGCCCATTCCTTCTCTCTGCTTTATTTTTTCGTTTCTTTTCTTTCTACTTCTTTCAAAATCCATCAAGTTCATTTTGACAATTCGTTCCATGATATTATACGTGACAAGTAGATGCTGACATTCTACAAGACTGCAAATAACCCTACGTAGACATCCTCCTTAGACAGTTGCCTCCAGAGCAAAGGCAAACGACACAGGTTCCACGGCCGCCAAGAGGTCGGGCCGCACGCCTGGCCCGCACGCGGCCGAGCCGACACCAGCGACACGCGCATCAAGGCGGAGCAGCACCGCATCCGCGTCTTCCTGGCCGACCAGGTCACACGGATGCGCCGCTGCGTCCAAGACCCGTGCCGAGTACGGTCCCGCGGCCCAGGAGAAGCCGGATATCGCTCGCCCCTCGTTTTCCGGCGCATCGCTCAGCGTGGAACGGAGGCGAAGATGGCCATCTTGGGCGGTCGCCGTCATCCAGTGCGTGCCCATACGGTTGCCATTCTCCTGTGGCACGTCGTACGGCACCTGCAGATCGGCAAGGCTGGCTTCGTACACCCCCACGCGCTGGCTGAGGTTCTTGTCCGGATACGACTCGCCGGGTCCCTGGCCGTACCACGCAAAGTTCTGCAGCGACTTGTTTGCGCGGACGTCGAGGCCGATGCGGGGGACGTGGTCCGGGGCGCTGCCAAAGGGCGCCAGGGCAACCGCCACAGCCAGGCCGCCGGCCGACAACGTGTAGACGGTGCGGCAGGTCCAGCCCCAGCCCAGGACAGGGGCGGCCATGACGGTCTCGATGGTGACGGTCGCAGTCTCGCCTGATATGGCGTGGTCGACCGAGACAACACGATGGAGACCGAGCGTGTCGACACCGAAGCGTTTCCAGTAGGGAACGGACAGTGGACGGTCGTTGTCTGTGGGTGCGCGCCAGAAACCGGGAGCAATTGCCGGTAGTGTGGATGCAGCGTCGGTGGACCCAAGAACGACGACACTCTTGCCACCAGAGCGTACAGTCCATGATGTGAGGCTGCCACGGACGGCACTGAACACAAGCGCGTGCGGGCCAACAGCGGCCGTGATTGTGGATCCAACGTGCTGCACCGTAGCGGTCTGAGTCGTAGCGGACAAGACGTTGGAAAGAGGCATAGTCGCCAGGTGGCTCTTCTCTGCGGTGGTCAAGTACTGTTGGAAATGGGCAACGTCCTTCCATCCGGACTCTTCCCCCTTGCGGGAGAGCAGCACGGTAAGAAGAACATCGGCGTTGTCCTTGTATGCGGAGTAGTCAATGCCGTCCAGAACGACCGTGTCCTTTCCACCGTGCGGTGCAATGTGCGGCAGCGCAAGCTCACGCGAAGCAAAGAGGACATGGCTGTGGGAGTCGCCCGACGAGAAATCCTCGATGCGGTAGGAGAGCGCCAGATGGCTCAGGTCGATGAAATCGTAGAGGTTTTGGATTGTGAGCGTCCTGTTGCCGGCGCCCGAACCGAGTGATACGCGCACGGGCTGCACCACCGTCTTGAGCTCCACGAGGCCCGGCGTGGGCTGGTGTTGGCTGTTGCACAGGCCGTCCATGACAAAGGTGCCGTCGTTGGGCTCGTCGCCAAAGTTGCCGCCGTAGGCATAGTACGCTTTGCCACCGCCGTCGTCCTTCCACAGGCCGTGGTTGGCCCACTCCCAGATGAAACCGCCCTGGACGCGCGGGTGCGTGCGGAAGAGTTCCTCGTAGTCTGCGAGGCCACCGGGGCCGTTGCCCATGGCGTGGGCGTATTCGCACAGAATAATGGGCTTCTCGTAGCGGCCCGTCTTGGGGTCGACGCCCTCGGTCTCTGCCAGCTTCGCCAGGCGCTCCACGGACGGGTACATGTACGAGTACATGTCGGCCGTCTCGGCATGGGCATCGCCCTCGTAGTGGACAGGCCGGGACGGGTCGACCGCTTTGGCGTAGTGGTACATGTTTTTGTGGTTCCGGCCATAAAAGGCCTCGTTGCCCAGAGACCAGACAATGATGGACGCGTGGTTCTTGTCGCGCTGCACCATGGCTTCCATGCGGTCGAGGTACGCAGCACGCCACGAGGGGTTGTCGGATGTGAAGGCGGCTGCCTTTGGGAAGGTCAGCTTCTTGCGCTCCTCGTAGTCCATCTCCTCGGGAATGTCGAGGGGGCGTGCCACGACGTCGTAGAATCCGTGGCACTCGAGGTCGGCCTCGTCTATGACCCAGAGGCCCAGCTCGTCGGCCAGGTCCAGGAGACGCGGGTGTGGTGGGTAATGCGAGCAGCGCAGAGCGTTGAGGTTGTACTGCTTGATCTGCAGCAGGTCGTGGCGCATAAAGTCGCCGGGAACGGCGCGGCCGTGCAGCGGGTGGTGTTCGTGGTGATTGGTGCCACGCAAGCGGAGAGACACCCCATTGACACACAGTAAGCCGTTGAGGAGCTCAACTTGACGGAAGCCCACGGTCTGATGGACAGTGTGGGGTCGGTCGTTGCCCGAAAGCGGGCGCAGCGTGAGCTCGACCCGGTACAGGTACGGCGTCTCGGCCGTCCACTTGCGTGGATTGGCCACGGGCAAGGCAATTTCGATAGTCGTGGGGGTCGCTGCAAGAGTACCAGCATGAACGTGCACGGATGTCTCGCCCACGAGGGCGCTTGCGCTTTCCTTGTCCAGCAGACGCAGGCTCAGCGTAGCAGGCTCGACGGTGCGCACGGTCACAGCACCGCGCAGCACCGCATCCGTGTACGAGGCGTCCAGGTCGGTGCGCACGAACCAGTCGTCGATGCTCGTCGTCGCCGAGAAACCAAGCAGATGCACGTCGCGGAAAATACCCGACAGCCACCACTGGTCCTGGTCCTCAATGTACGAGCCGTCGGACCACTGGTAGACCTGCACGACCAGCGTCACCTCGTGGGCGTGGGCCGCAGCAGCCACCGCCTCGGTAATGTCAAACTCGGCGGCGTTGCGCGAGCCTTGGGCGTAGCCGACCAGCGAGCCATTCACCCAGACGTGGTACGCGCTGTCCACGCCGTCGAACCGCAGACGCAGCCGCGGGCCGCCACCACCCGGGAATTGCTCCGCCCATGCAGATGGCACCGAAAACACACGCCGGTAGGTGCCTGTGGGGTTGACAGCAGGGACATAGGGCGGCGCGACGGGGATGGGGTATTGCACATTGGTGTAGTGCGGGATGCCCCAGGCGTCGCCGTGGCCACGCAGGCGGCCCTCGAGCTGCCAGTGGCCGGGGACCGTGATCGGGGACCAGCCATCCCCCGAGTCCGGCGACGACGAGCTCGCGGCTGCAGCATCAGGCGCGTTGAGCGGCGAGTCGGCGTAGTGGAACTGCCACTCGCCGTCGCTGCCATTCAGGCAAAGCGTGGCCTCGGGCGGCAGGTAGTAGGTGCGGTGCGGCAGGGCGTTGCGGCGGACGACGGCCTCGTTCTCGTAGTCGTGGCGCCCAGGCACCTCCTGTCGCGGGAGACCCATTGTGTGTGTTGGTGAAGGCGTGCGAGAATGCGATGGTGTGTAATTAGGAGACGAGGACGAGGAGGACGGGACAAGAGAAGTCATTGTTAGGGAAGGTATGGAAGGCACGGAAGGGGTCAGCATACGACGCAGACATAGTGACACGCACCGTTGGGGAAGGTACGACACGGCGACTCCCAACGGCCAAGGTCGCGTCCGACACTTGTCCCGGCAGGAGCGTCTCATAGCCTGGGAGTTGCCCAATACGGAAGCTCTCTGGCAGAAACGCCCTGAGCGGGGTATCCCTCCTGGTCAGGTCACTGGCAGCGTTTAGGGGCCACGGGGAGCGTCGGGCGAGACTTAGCGGTCAATGGCACCTGTAAGGTTTGTTAACTCCCTCTTAAACCAACGTAAAGCGCCGCACTCCAACAAAATGCAGGGGCAATGGCTCAGTTGGGAGAGCGTCAGACTGAAGTTCCACTTCTGTCATACGATTAATCTGAAGGTCCTCGGTTCGATCCCGAGTTGCCCCACATTTTTGTGTTGCGATTTATTATTTTTGTCACAGAGAGCAACGCAGAAATAATATGTAGGTATTTTTTATTGAAACATTTCGTCGTTTTTCTTTTACAATAAATGTCATATTTACTGATTAAATTTTAATTGTTTTGATTAATTGATTCCCGCTCAAAGAAATTACAACGTTCGGGCAGGTTATATCACTGCCGTTTTCTCTAACAGTGGTAACGATAATAATGATTAACTACCACTTCGTATGTTGATATACAAAGTTACATTATCAACGCTACGCTCCAAGGCTTAACCTACTACACTATATCGTCCCTAACCAACGACCCCTTCAAACTAACCCACATAACCGGCTACTACAAAGGCATCCAGTCTACCCGCTCGGCCGTCTCGTTTAACATCGACACCGTACGCACCCCCTATCTCAACGAACAACTCGTGTCGTGGCTCCGGAGACTGTCTTTGTCGAGGATTTGGTGCCTGACAAGCTCGAGGGCATTCTCATACCCGACGACCATAAAACCGGTACGCACCAGACCACAACCGAGGCCACTGTCGGCACCCATGTGGAGGATGACACAAAGGCGGTGTAAACAAAGGTGGTGTACCAAAGGTGGATGGAATATCAAAGGGAAAAAAAGGTACCGCCACTATCGAACAATGGGCAATAAAGAATAAAGAATGAGTCTACTTGAAAACAGTAGCCTTTCTTTCATGTGCATTCACTGCAGATGTCTTTCAGATCCTAGTTGCGCCGTTGATGAAACAATGCTCCCAAGGACTAGTGAACAAATCAAGTAACAAAGGCGATATCAAAGGCAACGTAAACATCTCGAGTAAATTTTTTTAAAATAATCACCGACCGTATGTACTATAGTAGAGAGTCATTATTAATTTAAATACACCAACCCGCCGTTCTCTTTCCCTTTTCACTTTTACACAATTTATTTAAACGTTTTCCGAAATAAAACGAGCCAGCACTAAACAATACGTTGTTTCGAATCATTCATCCTATCTCATCTTATTTCTCATACATTTCGCGATGCCCGCTGTTTTCTATCGCATTTTATTCTTTTTTTCTCTTCAAGAGAAGGTGGAATGGATGTTAAATCAAAAATAGCCCGTAGGGTCCGGACCCAAAAGATCGCGTTCATGCGAGGAGTCGTTGACCAGTATTCAACTGTTGACATATGGACACCGAGGGCAACAACCTCCTCAAGTACGATTACAGTCCGATTCACCACTTACAGAACAGATAATGTAGCTGGTATTGATCAGATAAACGCTTTCACAGACGCAAGCACGTCACTCTATATCTTCCTAGCAAACGCAACCGTCGCATTACCGACCATCTTGGCCGGGACGGAGGGATACCATTCTTTCAAATCGCTCACCATCAATTCATGCGTCTTTAGCACCTCCTCCTCCGTCATTTGTCCCACCACCCTGGAGCTTAGAGGCAGCTTCGTCAGGATAAAGCGGCAGGCCTCGTCATAGTCGTCAAAGGGCCAATACCCCTCCGTCTCTAGAACCTCAATCTCTTGGAACCCTGCCTTCTTTAACTGCGCCGTCACGCCGTCAACCGACGTCCACGTATTTGGTAGCCTCGGCATCACCAAGTCCGGCCGCACCTTCTTCGGGTAATACATTAGATCCACCCAGTGGCTGCTCGTCCATGCCGACATGGACAGAACCCCACCCGGCGTAAGCGTGCGCTTCATCGCCTGCAGGGCCTGCTCCGGCGCGGGGACGAAAAACACCAGAAAGCCTGCTAGCATATGGCTGACGGAGCCGTCGGAAAACGCGGCGCAATCGGTGACGTCAGTCTGCACCGTCTGGGCACGGGACCAGTACGTATTACCACTGTTGACCTCCTCCTGTTTACGCTTATTGTAGCTCTCCAGCATCTGCGCGCTCAGGTCCGCACCGACCACCGTGGCCGTTGGTGGAAGCGCAGACAGGTGGTCCTTTAGTACGGTGTCGGTGATTTGGCCCGGCCCGCAGCCCATGTCTACGACGATGGTCGCCTTGGAGAAGGGGAGTAGCTCATGGGCGCGCTTGACCATACGTGCCGCTGGGGCAACCCCCGGGCCCGCGGTGGCAAGCTTCATAAACTGACTGGAAAAGGCGTTCCATTCCGCTGATGTAATGGCTAGGGCGTATTAGTTGTTGGAAGGTTGGCATCGATCGCCTTGCGAACGGGGTGATCCGTGGACGAAAGTACTTACACCTTCCGGAAGACATGTTGCTCAAGTAATTGAAGTTTTAGACGAGACAGTTTTGTTCTTCTTTTGTCATTCTTCTTCTTGTTGCTCTCATGTTAATTTCGAGACGTAGACCCTGTCTTGGAACTCCACGGGCTGACTATTTATAAAGTAACTCGAGGCTGCCTGCTCGGGCACTTTGACCGACGGCTTACCAAAGTATCGGTCTATCTTGCGTGAGAAAGTGTATAATTTATTGAAACCCCTGTTAGTTCTGACGCTCTTCTGACCGCAGTTTTACAACCATACTATTCCATCCGGAGTGCGTACCTGTAAACATATTTGTTAAGGAAGAAAAGAGCCTCCTACCGTACACAGTGTCTGCGGAGTGTCCGTGGAGTACGGTTCCTAGTAGTATACGATATTGTAGCTCTTTTGTCAATGTGCCACCGTATCCCGACAGGGTTGTATTTTTAAAGTTCTTTAGACCATTAGGACGGACAAAGGCTGCAAAGTTGACGTGTACTAACCAAGGCCTAAGCCACACAGACACGGCTTTTTAACCACAAGGGGGCGATCGACGGTAGGCTGGTAGACAATCCGCGGGTGGGTTTAAAGGCCGGGTGGCCCGGAGAGAGGGCTATGTCGGCTCCGCCTCCTTACTGAAGATACATGTAAGATGACGAGGTGGTATGAGTTACGCTTACGGCCCCAATCGAAAGCGGGGCCCCAACGTAGTCAGAAATAAGGAGGACTGGCTAGTACGGTGACGTGCCGGTGGCTGTGGACCAGAATCATCATTATGGAAGGCTTTCCCGCAAGGATTTGGATAATACCGGCGATATGATTAGCAAAGAGTTTATTTTACTAAAAACAAGAGACGAAAACGAAAAAGAAGTTTAGTTTCCCGTAAAACTCGAGGGAATCTACTTATAGAGATTTCGCCGCCCTTAAACTGGTCCAAGTACGCGGAGGACGTTATGTGTACGAAAGCGGGTGGTAAAGGGCCTATCACAAAAAAAAAGAGGATGTGTTTGGACCACAACCACGTGGAACACAAGCCTTACAGCACTTGAGGGTCAACATCAACCAGGGCTCGAGTTGACTGTACCCGGGTCCCGATCACAAGACAAAAGCCGCCGGGAAGGCACAGGTTTTACGACTCCGGGGCCCGGCTTGGCACTTAAAAACGCAAACGGGCCGGGAAGTCAAGGGAACACGGTTGTGGTTTGGGCTGCCATCGTGGGACAGAGGACGATGTTACCAAAATAGTGCCCAAGGCGGAATAGCGCCTCGTAGGGAGGCGATTGCCGAGTACTCCTTGTGGTAACAATGGAGCATCCGAATAGAATAGCGGAACGACAGTCGATGTCGGAGTATATAAAGGGAGGCGCATTCGCAGCAATGGTTGATGATGGATGATGCCGGATCTTGGGGCGAAACAATGTTAATCTGTTCGATTCACGTTAACCTTCAAATTCACACCATCCAGCCTCTCTTTCATCACCCCAGCTATGTCCTCCTCCAAGGACTTGCCTCCGCAACTGGAGCCATTCTTCTCCGACCAGCTCACGAAGAACCAGTTCCGCACACGAGCACACCCGATACCCAAGAGCACAGACTTGACCGGCCAGGCGGCCATCGTGACGGGCTCCAACACGGGCCTCGGCCTGACCTGCTCTGGCTTTGCCACCCGTGTCGATACAGAATTGGTCCGTCATGATGTTGCCATCGTCAATGCCGGTGCTGTCACGGGCCACGAGCAGACAATCCAGGTGAACTACCTGCCGACTATGCTTCTCGGCATGTTGCTGCGGCCTGCCCTCTCAACAAAGTCAGCCGCCGGTCCGTCCAGTCGTCTCACCATCTCGACGGCCATGCTCGCCCTGACAGCCAAGTTCCCCAACAAAAATGTCGACCACTGCTGCCAACCTCTGACAACGAGTCCATCTTTGACACGTCGGACATGTATACACTCGGGCGGGCAAGACCAGCATCACGTGAACCACGTCCCACAACAAACGAGACTTGCGAAGCCTCAACGACAAAGTTGCAAAAAAAAATCGAACGTGATAGCCCTGTGGCACACTGGCCGGAGTCGACGGTCGACGGCTGTTGCCATGATTAGATGCTGATTACGAAGCGTACCAACAATTCCTATGCCCAGAGACTTTGGTTCTAGACGTCAACGGCGACACCATGGACAAAGCCTTCCTACAATCCGAAAGGCAAAGAATCACATTCGAAAAGAGCTTCCAAAATTGGTCGAATGACTTGATACTTCATCCGCCACTCGTCTGCGGCGGCACTTGGGAGGCAATGGAGGAGCTGGCTCAAAATCGTTGACAAATCACACTGAAAAGACCGTCCAAAGAGGCACAGGGGTGCATGAAGCACTTGCATACAATGAACGCATGCAACCTTCTAAGAGATTCGTGTATTGTTTAAAAGTTAAATGAGTGGGAATTATAAACTATCACAATATTGACCTTCACTTCTGGCCTGACATCAGCAACGGCCCCTCCTGTAGGTATACGTGCGCCCCGGCACACCACAGCTTCCTTATGTTCGTTTCGTTGCTGACAGATAATACGTATACAGGTGGATGCAACAAAATTAAAAACGGCCAAACAACAACTAGCACAAGCGCCTGTAGAAGTGTCGAGTGCTTTCCTCACCTGTCATAATGCCGTTTTCTGACAATAGTCAACAACAGCGTGGAGACTTTGGTCCACTGCCTTCTGCATGAATTTTGCCGGCAAAGGTGCAGCGATCTGTTTCTAGCAGAAAGCCCGCGGAACCCCGCAGAATCGCGCGATGCCGGGCAGAGAATGCAGGCTGCCAGAAGTGGGTTCTCTTTGTCTGAGGGCCCGGTATTTCGTTTCCCCTGCAAACACATCTACCGACAAGTCCCTTTGGCATTGGGCGGGTTCTCAGTCGTTTTCAAGTTTATTGATTTCCTGTTTTACCTGCATTTGTTCCACAGGTTGTTCTGCATATTTGCTGCCACGCTTCTCTCCTTTCTTCCCTCGTCTCCTTTTCTCTCTATTATTTCACACTGTTCGATTTTTGTCAGATCTCCAAGTTCCGGCGACTTTCTCTCCTTATGTATCTTGCCATACAGCGACTAGGTTTATCGGCTCATTATGTCCGAGTGTCCTGAGGAGCGATCGTTTTGTGGAGACCTAGACATGTCCCATTCCCTGGCATTGCCAGGCATACTGTTCCGTCTATGCGGGAAGCGGATTAAATAAAGCAATTCCTAACTTTGTGAACGAGTGACAACACTTCTTGTCTTTTCGTAGCATTGCCTGCCGTGGCTGGTCATGTGAGGCCACTGAACAGGAAAAAAAGATCCACGGCCGGGGACTGCTAGTCCACAACACACAGCTGAAAATAGAGTACCCGGCACGATGTAAACTAAACTGCGGGGATCTAATGCAACCATCGCCACGGCGGACAGCGTATAGTCTGGTTCCTATACAACGTGTGCCGCTCTTTTCGACGCGTGGCAACCCCTCATCCCACTCCGAGGAGGACAAACGACCATTTCCTCCTTTTCAATATCTCGACATCACGATCACCGTTAACACCACCGCCAACACCACCGTCAGCACCGAAATTACAACCACAACGACAGCACCCCAACATGGCACCTCCGTTCCGCGCCGAGCACATGGGCTCTCTGCTTCGCCCGCAGCCGCTGCTGGACGCGCGCGAAGCCGTGCGGCAGGGCCAGACGGCCGAGGCGGCGGGCTTGCCGGCGACGGAGGCCAAGGCGGTGGCCGAGGTGGTGCAGCTGCAGCGGGATCTGGGGTTCCGGGCGGTGGGCGACGGCGAGTTTGTGCGGACACGGTTCTGGGGGCTGACGTGGGACGAGTTTGACGGCACGACGCGGCTGCAGGACGCGGACGCGAGCCTGTTCCGGCTGTACCACCCGGACGTGGTGTCGCTGATTGAGCCGGGCCGCCAGGTGATGCCGGGCGACAGCGTGATTGCGGGCGGGAAGCTGCGGCACAACCCGGCCAAGTCGGTGTCCAACCTGCACGAGCTGCAGCTGATCCAGGCCAGCCTGCCCAAGGAGCACTGGGCGGACATCAAGCTGACGATGATCACGCCGGCGTGGTTCCACATGCGCTACAAGCAGGGCAAGGCGTACGCGCCGGAGGCGTACGACAGCGACGCCGCCTATTTTGCCGACGTGGCGGCCGTCTACCGGGCGGAGCTGCGGCAGCTCTACGACGCGGGGCTGCGCAACGTGCAGTTTGACGACCCCGGGCTGGCGTACTTTTGCTCGGCCGCGTTCCGCGCGGGCTGGGCCGCGGATCCGGACAACGTGGGCTCCGTGGACGATCTGCTGGACGCCTACATCCAGCTCTACAACGACGCCCTGGCCGGCCTGCCCGCCGACCTGCACACGGGCGTACACCTGTGCCGCGGCAACTTCATCGGCGGCCGCCACTTTGCCGAGGGCGCCTACGACACCATCGCCCAGAAGCTCTTCCAGACGCTCAACGTCAACACGTTCTACCTCGAGTACGACACCGCGCGCGCCGGCGGGTTCGAGCCGCTGGCGTTTCTGCCGGCCCACAAGAACGTGGTCGTCGGCGCCATCAGTACGAAGCTGCGCACGCTCGAGGATAAGGAGGAGGTCAAGGCGCGCATCCGCCAGGCGGCCGCGTTTGTGGCCAAGGGCCGCGGCCAGACGGAGCAGGAGGCGCTGCAGAGCATCGCCATCAGCCCCCAGTGCGGCTTCAGCACGCACGAGAGCGGCTACCCGCTGCGCCCGGAGGACCAGCGCGCGAAGCTGGCGCTGGTGCGGACGATTGCCGACGAGATCTGGGGAGAGCCGTAGGCTGTCAGTGTGCGTAGCCGGCATATGAACGGCTGGTAGACTGTGTTGGGTCGTCGTGCTGTGTGTACTTTCTTGTGATATTTTCTGTCAGTGGATTTGCTGTATTCAACATGAAGCCGGGGCATCAAGGCTCTTTATTTCGATTTTGTCTTGCCAGGAGTTGAACGATGATAAGCATCAAAAGGTGGGAAATACCAAAAACAGGGAGCGACATCCAGGGTTATTATTCATGGGACGAGAGACCAGGAGGAGCATAGGAATCAACTTCCACAAAACGAAGAGACGATGATGAAGAGCGAAATTACAAATGTCGCAAATAAGTTGAGACAAGAAGACCCAGCATGGTCCAAAAGGCGGATAGCCATACAAACTGTTTGAACATACATCGTCGAACTGGCGCCAGGCAACCGATGCATACTTGTTGAGTCGATTAGAAGACTGCTCCAAGGATTTTGACCACGATGATAAACAGACATTCGTCCTGCATGAGCTCTCCTGGTCTGGATGGCTTGCATGCCCATTGGGATCGGGCGCTTTATTTTTGCGGAATGTATGCACGTTATCCACGGCCACGGTATCGAAAGGTGACGGGAAAGGTGACAGAAGGTGACAGGTCGAAATAGGCGACAGGGCACGCCAAAAGAAGGGAGAGTAGCCTCGAGAATACCCGATGACTCTGTGTTCTGTCGCACGACTCCCGAAAGCCCGATAGCAATTCGTGAATTACTAAACATCGAGGCACACGACCAGGCATTCTTTCACATCATTTTTGCTGGTGCCCGACCGGGGTTCGCCCAATCAGTGTCGCAGGGCGTTTTTTGTGCACAACGGCCCAGCATAACGCGACCCCAAAAAGGCTGAGCTGAGCTGAGCTGTCTGTCTGGGGCATTCACCCGTCGAGGCCTGGCTTTGTGGGCAGACGGCAAATTGGCAGGCTGGACGTGGATTTGGGGTGCCTAAGTCTTGGCAGCTTCCTGCGCCATATTTTATGTCAGTGTATTCTGTATGTTGTTGCTGTCGACGTCGCTTTTCAATACGTCGCCGTTTCATGGCCTCTACGATTTTGAATTCGATTGTGCGTTCAGAGTCACGATTCTGAACAACGACGGCATTGGGCAACAAACGACAACACTGACCACGCCGAAGGACACAGGCCACAGAACATGCCCAATACAACGGCCTCCGCGGGACCTGCCGCCGCTACGGCCGCAACCGTCAGCTGGCTGCATGCCTACCCGCCGCTCCTGATCCTGGCGTCCGCTGCCATGGCCCAGCCGGCCGGCCGTCTCCTCAGCGTCGGCGCCGTCTGCAGCGTCTGGCTGCGCGTGTCGCCCATTCTGTGCGCGCTGGACGCGCTGTCCGTGCTTGCTCGCTGCCTCGTCTACTGCGTCCTGCTGCGCGCGACGCCGTGGCAGGCTCTCGTCCTGATTGGGACCGACCGGTTCGCCGACGACGCAGGCACCGCAGTCGCAGCAGCCGCCTCGGCGACGGAGCGCGGCACGACGTCGCGGATCGCTGCCGTGGCCAAGGCGGCGACGACGACGGCGATCCGACTGGCCGGGTTTGCGCTGGGGGTGGTCCCGCTGGTCGAGCTGGTCTGGTTCGAGCCGGGCGGGCGCGAGGCGCGGTGGACGGCCGCGTGGGCGTGGCTGTACGTCGGGTCCTATGTCTTTCTGGAGGCGGCGGCCGCGGTGTATCGTTGGGAGCAGGCGCAGCCGCAGTACACGGCAGCAGACTTTGAGCTGGACGAGGTGGAGGCAGACGAGGTGGCACAAGAGGCGGCGGCAGTGACGGCGGGGAGCGGAACCGAGGGCGTGCCGTATGACGGAGTGCCAAGTAGAGATGCGACGGCACGTGCATCGCAAGAAGGAACGGTCGTGGGCGACGACGACGACGACGACGACGACGACAATCCAGTCGACGATGCGGAGACGGCAGACCTGCTCATCCGCGGCGGTGACCGAAGCGATACGGCCGCGGCCGCTGCTCCTGCAGATGCTGCGGATGCTGCGGCGGCTGCGACGCCGGCCGACGTCGAGGCCGCCACACCGCGTCCGTACGAATACAACAGCGACCCGTCCTCCCATCCACGCCTGCCCGGCATCCACACCGCCTTTGCCCACGGCGAGTCCTACGTGATTGGGCTCGGCGTCCTCGCGCACGCCGTCATCGTGTACTGGGTCTTTCTAGACCTCGTCCAGCCGCCCATCAATGCGCACATCCTGCAGGTCGACAACACCACCAGCGACGGCTGGCAATTCGTCAGCGGCTGGGCGACGCCCCTCTACTACATCAGCCTGCCCTTTACCTTTGCGGCAATGCTGCTCATCATGGCCATCACCCTCGGCAGCGGCGCCCTCGTCGTCATCGCCTTGCTGGGCGTCGCCAAGGCTGTCATCGCCCAGCTGCCGGCCTCCGTCACCGGCTGGGCACGGGGCCTTGTGCCCGCCGCCATTACCGTCGGCATGGCCGGCCTCGGTGGGCTGGCCACGGTTGTGGCGTTCTTCATGGGGTCGCCCGCGCTCGGAGGCCTCCTCTTGTCGTCGCACTCGATGTGGATCTATGCGATGCTCTCCGTCGAGATCGTCCTGCTCGTCCTCTACTTGTTTGCCTCTTTTTTGCTCTACGTCGTCGTCCGGCAGTGTGCCATCTTGATCAAGACGAGATACGGCGAGCCGCCCTCGGCGACCGAGCAAGAGCCCGCGCCCACGTCCTCGTCCACGTCCACGTCACGATTCGACCGCCGCCTCTCGCGCACCACGTCCGTCTTTCCCGCGCCCGCCGCCGACGCTCCTCGATGGGCCGCCGGCCTCCTGCCCTACACCACCGACGACAGCGCCGGCCTCCTAGCGGTGGCCCTGCACACCCTCGTGCTGTCGCTGGTGTGGTACGCCGTCCGCTTTGCCGTGTCGGGCCACTGGGCACGGCATTGGGCGGATGCACTGGTGGCGAACGCCACGATGGTGCACAACGGGACAAACGCGACCACCAATGCCGCCTTCTCTGTGTCGTCTGTTGTCGCGTCCAGCACGCCTGTCAGCACACCTGTGCAACTGTTTTGATAGAGGGGGCCCGTGTGGAAAGAAAGGCCATGGACAGCACTGTGGCTCAACACTCTTGTAGGCGGCGGAGAGAAAGCGAGCATATACCTATTTGTATTTTCTAGTCATCAAACAGCGCTTGCTTATGAATTTATCTTTATTTGATGTCGTCGGTGTCATTTTGTCCCCTCACGCCGTCCTCATCGACGTCGATGCACACTGGTCCGTAACCTACCAGGAAAATGTTCGGCAGTTGTTTGACAACGCTTTGGCATTCATCCGTTGGCAGATACGCCAATATAGATTGCGTAAATGAATCGACACATCAATCTACAGCATCCTCCACGGACATCTCACCGACCCAGAATTATCCATAGTGTGATTGTCCGACCCGCAACCTGGAATACGGACAATGGGGAGGCCGTGTGCCGCTGTTGTGCTGGTTTGGTAGCAATATAAGAAACAAGTGGGAGTCGCAATGGTGCACAGTTTCTTGGAAACGGCGATGCATCAACCACAATCGGCCACCGCCACGCCACGACTGCCACCATGAAGCTGTCCATCTCGGCCACGGCCGCCCTCCTCCCCGGTGCCCTCGCCCAGGGCATGCTCCGTTTCGGCTGCTCGCAGCTCGTCATCGAACGCATCGACCCCATTGTCAACCCGGGCCAGGATCCGTCGTCGCACACCCACCAAGTCGTCGGCGGGAATTCGTTCAACACTACGGTAGGTCGACTGTGTCTCTGTGTCCGACTGTGTCTCTTCCCTTCACTGACAGCGTAGATGGACCCGGCCAACCACGACCCGCCGGCCCTGTCCACCTGCACGTCCTGCACCTACAGCGAAGACTTTTCCAACTACTGGACCGCCAGCATGTACTTTAAGAGCCCCGAGAACGGCTCCTACCGCCTGGTGCCGCAAATGGCAAACTACCGCAACCGCAACAGCCCCGAGCTGCTGCAGCAGCAGGGAGGCCTCACCGTCTACTACATGCAGCCCTTTGGCGGCGCCAGCAAGACCACCGCCTTCAAGCCCGGCTTTCGCATGATTGCCGGCAACCCGGCGCTGCGCTCCAGAGCCGGCACGGCCCCGGGCATCTGCCACCGCTGCAACGGACAGGCCGAGCTCAACGGCCTCGGCGGCGTCCCCTGCGACAGCGGCGACTCGTCCAGCTTCCCGGCCACGCCCTGCCCCGGCGGCATCCGCGCCACCATCATCTTCCCCTCCTGCTGGGACGGCAAGACCCTCGACAGCCCCGACCACCAGAGCCACGTGGCCTACGCCCCCGGCGGCCGCGCCCTGGCCAACGCCGACTGCCCCGCCTCGCACCCCGTCCGCGTGCCCCAGGTCATGTACGAGGTCATGTGGGACACCCGCCCCTTCAACGACCCCGCCTACTTTGCCGGCGGCCGCCAGCCCTTTGTCTACTCCTTTGCCGACGCCACCGGCCACGGCCAGCACGGCGACTACCTCTTTGGCTGGAAGGGCGACGCCCTCCAGCGGGGCATGGACGCCCTGGGCACCAACGGCTGCACCAACGACGTGTGCAGCACCGCGCTCAAAATCCAGTCGGGCGCCGACGCCATCGCCTGCACCAAGGCGTCGCAGACCGGCGAGGATGTCGGCCGCCAGGGCGGCTGGCTGGCCTCTCTGCCGGGGTTTTCCGACAAGGAGGCGATGTGAGGATGGCGGGTGGAGGATGGAGGACGGACGGGCGGTGGTCTCTGGGAAATGGTCATGGGCGGATAAATAAGTTTGCACGGTTCACTTTCCCGGTGTGTAACTGCAGCAATAGACGACACCAGACTACAAATTGATGGACAGTATCGGTGGCGAGCGCTTGGGATGAGATTGTCTGTGATGTTGACACGACAACAGCAGTACTGAAGACGTTATTAGTAGCATCGAGACGAATACGTTCCATCAGCTCTTTACTCTATGATCGTTTTTCCATGTTCTTTTTTTTTGGCGTTAAATAAAATAACGGTTTACATCCAGATCGTTAAAAATAGAGTTGGTAAAATCATACGGCTCTCTCCAAGTGTCAAAGATTGTATACCATCTAGACCTAGTCCTTGCATCATAAGTCTTCATCAAGTCCATCTCTAGTCTTTCGGTAACATAGTAGTAATTACATGACTTGACATACTCATTTGCGTGGGGTGTTATTGTTATCTGAGGCTCACGGGTTAGTCATCAGGCTGGGCCTCTTGGCGGGGTCTTATCGCGTAAATTTGGTGGATCACACCATTCAGTCGAAAGTATGACGTCGACCATGATTGTCTCCAACGAGACTCAAGTCATCCAAACAAACGGAATTATCCATACAGCTTTGTACAGCTTCATCTCACCCCATCTCACTTGATTGCACTTCATTCATAAACGCTACGCACACAATGTCGTCTGTTCTCATTGTCGGGGCCACTCGAGGCCTGGGTGCGTCTCTTGTCAAGAAATACGCCGCAGCGGGATGGACAGTCTACGGCACAACGCGGTCGGCCGAGGGCCCCAAAACCGGTGATTTCCCGGCGGGCGTCCAGTGGATTCCCAAAGTCGACTTGATGGACAAGAACGCGGGCGCAACTATTTCTGGCTTTTTTGGCCAGTCCAAGCCCTTGGACGCAGTGGTATGACCCATCCCAGTGTCCGCCTTGCTGTGTTTATATCTTTTTGCATATTCTCGTCACTCACAATGGCCGATCCATCACAGATCATCTCTGCCGGACACTTCACGACCGAAGATCTGGACAAGAAGGGCCCGAACTGGGACGAAGAGGTGCGCATGTACACGACGAGCTCGATCGCGCCTGTGTTCATCGTGCACGCTCTCCACACGGCCCGCCTCCTCGGCGCGGGCAGCAAGGTGGTGCTGGTGTCGTCCGAGGCCGGCAGCATTTCCCTGCGGCACGAAAAGGAGGGCGGCGGCAACTACGCACACCACGCCTCCAAGGCGGCCCTCAACATGGCTGGCAAGCTGCTGAGCCTTGACCTGAAAGACCAGGGCGTGATCGTCTCGATAGTCCACCCGGGGTTCATGCGGACGGAGATGACAAAGGGCGTTGGCTTTGACCAGTACTGGGACGACGGCGGCGCGGTGACGCCGGACGAGGCGGCAGCCAGCCTTGTTGCGTGGATCGACGGCCTCGACCTGGCCAAGACGGGGCAGTATTGGGCGCCGCGTGGACCGAGAGACATTGGCACAGCGGAGCCCGTCCTGGGCCAGAACCTGCCGACGCCGCTGCGGCTTCCGTGGTAGTGGAGAGGGCCACATGGAACGTGCAGTATGTAGGCAGCTAAATGCCAAATAAACATTGCATCTTGCCCATAAATGGTCCTTTTCCACACGACCCCCACAACCTGAGATTCTACCCCATCTGTGTTTCGTCTTTCAAGTCTAGAAATAAAACGACTTACACGGAATCTGCACAATAAACACAAACCAATCGTTGTAAGACCTTTTTCATGTCCGTTGTTGTTGTATGAATGCTGTCCGCTGTTAGTTATAGCGCCAAGCCTTGCGACTTACAGCGCTTTTAGTGGACGCAGCTTTGCAACGCTAAAGTTGACATCAACGCTTCTCATGACGCCCCACTTTAAAAAAGTTGAAAACCGAAAAGGCAAGAACAACTCAATTCAACCTCACATTGCCAATTGCACCAAATCCAACTCCGACAACCCCGACGACCGTCCCCTGCCTCTCCGTCTGTCTCCCTCGACATGCCCCTCGACACCTCCACCTACTCACTGGCGCTGCTGCGCGTCGACGGCCGGCGCTGGAACGAGCTGCGACGCTGCCACGCCCAGGTCCGCACCCAAGCCGCCGCCGACGGCTCGTCCTACTGGGAAATGGGCAATACAAAAGTCATGTGTGTCCTGACAGGACCCAGCGAGCCCGGTCCCAAGCGCGCCGGCACCGTCACCGCCGGCGGGGGCACCACGGGCGCGGGCAACGAGACGGCCGCCGAGGTCGTCGTCAACATTGTCGTCGCGGGCTTTTCGTCGGTCGACCGTCGCCGCCGGGGCCGTACGGACAAGTGAGTTTTCGTCGTCGCACGGTTCGCTTTTTTTTTTGTTTCTTCACGTCCCTCGCATTCTCTCTAACAGCCACCGCCTCCTCCCTGTAGACGCACCCAGGAACTCTCCGCCACCGTCGCCCGGACCCTCGCCGCCGTCCTCCACACCCACCTCTATCCGCGCTCGGCCATTACGTTTTCTCTCCACGTCCTGTCCCAAGACGGCTCGCTCCTCGCCGCCCTGCTGAATGCCGCCACCCTGGCCGCCGTCGACGCCGGCATCCCCATGACCGACTACGTCGTCGCCTGCTCGGCCGGCAGCACGTCGGGCGACGCCGCCGCCGACACCACCGACGGCGCCGACCCCTTGCTGGATCTCAACCTGCAAGAGGAACAGGAGCTGCCCTCGCTGACCGTCGCGACCCTCGGCGCCACCGACCGCGTCGCCGCCCTCGTCTGCGAGAGCCGCGTCCCGGTCCAGCGTCTCGAGGGCATGCTGGCCGTGGCCGTCGACGGGTGCAAGCAGGTGCGCGCGATTGTGGACCGCGTCGTGCGGGAGGCCGGCCTCAAGATGGCCAAAGAAGCAAACAGCGGTGCAGACGCGGGGAACGTGTCATCCATGGAGATTGACGTGTAGCCGTGAAGGGGGGAGGGGGGGATACCTAGAAATACCCGGACATTGGAGGAGCATCAATGGCGTATTGTTATTTTGCTATACGGTCGGCGTTGGGCGTTTTGGTACGTTTTCATCTTTTGGACCTAGTCGTTTTGGGGATTTGACTGACTCCATACAGGCTAAGCATGCAACCATCAGTGTAATCAATTCAAATTTATTTGTCACATACAAATCGGCGTGCGTTGCAACGTTTTTGACATGCATCTTACAGCTCCTCATGTTTGACCTCCTTGGCCTCCTCCTTGGCCTCCTCTTTGATTTCCTCCTTGGCTTCCTCCTTGGCTTCGTCCTTGGTTTCTGCCAGCTTCTCCACCGTCGTCAGAACACTCTCCGGCAGCTCGTGCTTCGTGCCCTCGCCCATACGAATGTCGTCGATCCACTGCTCAATCGACTCCTGCGACAGGTCCACGCCACCGCCGCCTTCGTACTTGCGCCACCAACTGCGTCGCCCATTGACAGCCACCAGCTGCACGCGGTTGTAGCTGCTGGTTGCCTGCACCTCCATCGCCCCGAGCAACGCCGCCGACGCCGGGTTGCTGGCCGGCACCGCGAAGAACGGGAACAGAGCCCGCTTGTTCTGCGCGTACTTGTGTGCCACCTCGGCCAGGTGGTCTAGCGCGGTCTGTGTGTCGGCCGAGGCTTCGTCGGATGACGCGTCCGCGTCGCCGACAAACACCAGCACACACGTCGGGGCCTTGCCGCTGAAGCAGCTGCTCTGCAGTTTCGCGGCCGTGTGGATGGTGGGAACCGGCAGCGCGCTCTCCACGATGACAGGGGCTGTCTGCTGTGTAGGGGTCTCGGTCGTCGACGTCTCGGTCTCAGCATCAGCCGTCTCGGCGGTCGTCTCCTTTTCCTTCTCAGCCTTCTTCTCTGCAGTCTTCTTCTCTGCCGTCTTCTCCTTCTTCTCCTTCTTCTCCTTTGACGTCTCGTTCTTGCCCGTCTTCGCCTTTCCATTCAGATTCAGCGGCGGGTTGGGCTCGGCGGCCTGCGACAAAAACGCCGTCATCTCGGCGAGCTTGAACTTGCCCTCGTAGGCAATGGGCGTCGCGTCGTCGTCGCCCGTCAGCAGAAGCAGCGCCGGGAACGTCGTCACGCCGTACTTGTCCACCGTCGCCGCCTCCTTGTTGCGCACCTGGCCGATGGCGATGCTTCCCAGGAAATCCGTTGCCAGCGCCTTGGTGCTCGGTGCCGTCGTGCCCTTTTCCGTGAAAAGCAGCGCCTTCGCGCCGGGATGGGACGACAGGAACTCGTCGAGCGTGGCGTCCGTCACCTTGACCACGTGGTTGTTCATCTGCGACGTCACGCTCTCCACAATGGCCGCCGCCGTCCGCTGCCCGTTGTAGTTGTCCACCACGGTCCTCCGGCCCTTGGCCCGGACCTTGGGCGGCCGTGCAATCTTGAGCGTCGGGAAGCCCTCCACGCCCATGCTCGCGCACGTCTCGCGTGCCTCCTCGCAGTTGACGGCCACCACGTTGGCCAGGCCGTCGAGGCTGCGCGCGGCCTTTTCATAATCGGGCTTGAGATTCTTGCAGTGGCCGCACCACGGCGCATAAAACTCGATAATCTACAGGGTTTGTTAGCATATGCGCTCTCTTGTGCTTTCTCGAACACGTTGGAGTGAAACGTACCGATGTCCGGTTGGACTGGTTGATGAGGCGGTCCAGTTGGGCCTTGCTGTTGATTTGCGTGACAGCTGAGTTCTTGCTGTACAGCGACTCGGAGTTGCTCTGGGCCAGTGCCTCGTGCATGCCGGCAAGGGTGGCCACAACGGCCAAAAGGGTTTTGGAATGCATCCTCGGGTGCTTGGATACCTGGACGTTGGAAGTTGTGGATTCAGAGTGAAACCATCAAAGTGCAAAAGGTTAAAGGGTGATGCCTTGTACTGCTCAGAATGAAGCAAATACAAGTCAAATGCAAACGGCCGTTACAGAGGTAGATCGGCGATCGTATGCCAGCTTTATCCTGTTGGTGACATGCGCGAGACGGCAAAAAAGGCCAGCGTGGAGTCTTTGGTGCCGTTTGGTCCACTGTAGGGGATATTTACCGGCAGTATTTAGCCACCGCCTTTCGATGCGACAATAGTGCCCTGCTAATGCTAGCTAACGCCACACCGCCTTCAGTTAATGTCGCCTCGTGGCTGGAGCTCATTTCGACATTTGGCGGGGTTCATGGCCTTTGTGACGTGTGCAAGGCAGGAGGAACCGAAGCTACGCCGTAGTGCTGCGCACCTGCCAATTCGTGCCACTCCTTTCCAGGCAGCCTTGTTTTCTGGAATCCTCAGCATTCTCACATCACCAACATCACGAACATCACCACCCCGTCATTCCACGTTGTGCAGTCGCTGCACCCCCGAATCACTCTTTCTGTTACTGCTGCGGATAAAATACTACTTCCATTTCAATTCAAATCGGACGTCACTCCCAAGCGCCCACACAACCGCCGCCATGGCCGACGCTATGGCCAGCCTCCGGCAGGCCGACCCCAATCTCTACAAGACGGCCATGCGCGCCGAGCAGCTGCAGAACGCCGAGCCCATCGTTGCCTACTGGTGCGACTACTGGGTCCTCAAGCAGATCCTCAGCAAGGGCCTCCACACCTCCTCGCCCGACGTTTTAGAGTACAGCACCCGCCTCATGAACCGCATGGAGGCCACCAAGGAGACCCGCGGCAGCGAACCTGCCATCGCCGACGATATCGAGGGCCAGGCCTATGTTGAGCAGTTTGCCCAGAAGCGCCTCGACAGCGCCCAGAACGTGGTCAAGGCCAGCAAAGTCACGGCCACCACAGCCAACACCTTTGACGCCGCCGCCACTCTGTTTGGTCTCGTCAACATCTGGGGCGCGCCGGACGCCGAGACCATCCAGAAGATCAAGTACGCCAAGTGGAACGCCACGCGCATCCTGCGGGCCATCAAGGACGGCAAAGACCCCAACGAGTCGAATCCCAAGCCGGGCGATCTGGCGAAACGAAATGCTGAGAGCGCCCTGTCGCCCGGCTCGGAACTGCCACCTGCTGCGCCGGCCGATGGGCCCCGACCGGTGACGATTGAGGATGAGACAGAAGACAGTACAGCTGCGACGGGTGCCATTGCCGATGCACGCCCACGACGCGACTCGGCGGGTGTGTCGTTACCGCATAGCCCGGTGTCGTCCGCGGCCGGCAGTGCTCATGTGGCGCCTGGACTGGATACCATTCCGACACTCCCTCCTGCCGCGAGCGGCCCTCTCCCTTCATTTGGCTCACCCACAGCACCACCAGCCGCTGCACCGTCGCCAACCATCTACACACAGGACCCAGACGCCGAAGCACCGTCGTCGGGCACGTATATAGATGACCCAGACGCGTCAGTGCCGCCAGCCAACTTTTCTCCGACCGTGCCCACCTTGAGCCCTCCGACGGCTCCGCCCGATCTATTCTACCAGCCGCCTCACCAGCAGCCGTCAGCGCCGCCATCGGCGCCACCGTCCGCGCCGCCATCGGCCCCGACAAACGGTGGCTACTTTGCGGGCACCAGCGCTGCACCGCCTCCGGCAGCCGCGCCCACGGGCTACCCGCCCGCCTTTAACAATCGCGTCGTTCCCCAGCCGTCTGCCCCGCTACCGCCATCACAGCCATCACAACCACCGCAGCCTCCACAGTCGTATGCGCCTGTGAACAATGGCGGCCCCGTCGACGACCTCGCCATGGTCAACGCCCAGAAGCATGCCAAGTGGGCCATTTCGGCCCTCAACTTTGAAGACGTGCCGACGGCTGTGCGAGAATTGCGTAAAGCACTGCAGTTTTTAGGGGCGGCGTGAGCTTCCGTGGGGGTGGGGAGGTACAGAAGGAGGGACCATAGACAGCGTCTTGCGACAATCTTTGCTCGTGTTCTCGCTCTTTGTCTAGCGTTTTGTTGTGCCATACATGTTTCGTTGAATCTTGGGTCCTTCGTACATAATACAACTTTATTTTCTAATAAGGAGACTGGTGCCACTCGTACCTTCCTTTTCCGTACGGTTATCCCTTTCCGTGATGCATGTGGATCCTGCTGTTCTGAGAAGCAGTATCTTGTGCTCACACCCTCCTATTCCCTTTTCAACAAAGGCATCCGCCACTGTCGCTCCTTCCCGAAACCTGCAGCTTCGTTCTCGATTCCCCAAACGCTAATTTCTACATTTGCACTTTTTACCCCTATTGACCATCGTGTCTATTTATCGTCGTACACTCTCTGTGTTATCTTTTCTCACATACGAAATGATTTACAACCACGGACCATGTCGGACTTTCAATTCTCATCACGTCTCATTTGGGGGCCAAAAGGTGCTGCATGCATTGCCACGAATCCCCATTTTACCGCCTGCCCCTCATCCGTCTCGCCAACAATCTGGTCGCCGATGTGATGGCCATGTTTTATCACAGCCCAAGAATAGACCCCATGGCCCATCATGAGGCATATCTTCAGGCTGAGCAGCAGTCGGTCTTGTAGTTTTAGGCTGCACTGTGACCACGCCGTTGTCCTGCAGATTCGTCTGGCTCAGCCTCCGGTCAGGCACTCAAGGGCAGTCTCTGGTTCTCACCAAAGGATAGGTTCTCTTTTCCCGTCATCTCAGTCGCCTCTCTCATTTTTGTTTCCCTTATGATATGTCGGAGAATCCCCGCGGCAAAGAAAACGAAATTCTGAGTTAATTTTTGTCGAAATCGTGTGTCTACCCAAAACCCGGCCAGCCTTGTTATCTAGGAGAGTCCTTCGTGGGTATTTCTTTGGCCACCTTTTCGTATGTGCCTTTCTGCATCTCCAGTGGTCTCTAACATACAAGTGTTTTCCAATTTCCTAGCTTTAATTCCCGCTTCTCACTGGACACGACTACACACAAAACGCATGAGAGCCACAGCCTCATTTCCCATTGCACGCAAACATGGATCCCATCACGGCTCTTTCCGTTGCAGCGGCAGCAGGCCAGTTCGTGTCGTTCGCCTACGATCTGGCCAAGGGCACTGCAGAACGATACCGATCAATTGAAGGCACCGAAAAGCGCCTTCTCGCAGTGGCCGCAGACGCAAAGCACATCAACGAACTTCTTGATGCTCTTTCCACCCCAAACGACGTCACCGGAGGCACTGGATCGTTCGTGAAATCTCGTACCACGTCGACTCTCACTACAAAGCTCGATGCCATCGTACAAGAATGCCACGCGGTCGGTGTGGAGCTCCAAACACTTCTCGACTCGACAACCGTGCAACCTTCTGAGAAACGACGAATGGTGCAGAGCGTGCGGGGCACATTTCGGTCTATGCGAAAAGACTCGGAGATATCTCGACTCCACGAACGGCTGCGCTTTTTACGAGAACATGTCGATAGCTGCCTCATCATGCTCCTCTGGTATGTCAACATGCACCGACAATGGAATGAACGAGGCACAGTTTGGCGACCTAGGCTTTGGGGGCTGTTAAGATGCTAACAACGACCATTTGCAACAGCACCGAGGCATCGTCCACAAAAAAAGCTTTGAGTACAATCTCAGAAGGATTGACGGACAAAACACTCGACTCACAGCAAAAATCACTAAATTTAATGGTGAACGACATTGTATCACGCATTAACACAACAAGTATGATTTCCTCCCGAACGGAGGAATTGATCAGAACAATGGCGCGGGATGCCACGGACATTCGGTCTCGAAAAACACTCATGCTCGCTTTTTATTTTCCTGGGATAGCTAAACGGGAAGACGAAGTGTCCGAGGCGCATACCAAAACGTTTCTTTGGATTTTCGATGGATACTCCACAGACGACCATAACGAAGTTATATCGAGCGCCACGAACACAACTAGTGATAAAGAAAAGATCGATGTCGAGCACGTCGAAACGGGAGGCGAAGCAACAAACAAGCAAGACACAGAAAAGGACAAACCATCCAATTCGAAATCCACAGCTGTGGGGTCCGCCAAGGTGGACAAGCCCAATTCGAACAGCGAAGGAGAATTAGAAGAAGAAGAAATCATGTACCCTCTATACCGATTTCATACACCGCGAATTGCACTACGAGGCCCCTCCGACACTTCTAACAGCGAGGGAGGTGACGAGGACCCCATGTTACCGGCGAAAACATTTCTAGACAGCACTTCTCGTGATGGTCAGCAAATTTGGTACGAAGATCTGCCTCCGGTCAAGAACACTGGCTTTCTTCCCTGGCTGCGCTCTGGATCCGGTATTTATTGGATAACTGGCAAGCCTGGTGGAGGAAAGAGCACCTTGGTGAAATTTATCTATTCACATGCAATAACCGCCGAGGCACTGGCCGAATGGAAGGGAACGGCGGACTATCTGGTGACCGCATGCCACCACTTCTGGTCTGCGGGCTTTGATCTGCAGAAATCAGAAAAAGGCCTACTCCGGTCGATCCTTTATCAAATTGCGGCATCATTCCCAAGTATCTTGGCATCCGTCTGTCCCGAACGCGATATTGATCTCAGGGGAGACCATGGTATGTCGTGGACGGTAGGAGAACTTTGGGACATCTTGACACGGGTCATCATGTGCCCTGAGACAATGCAAATATCAGTCAAATTCGTTTTATTCATTGACGGGCTGGATGAATACGACGGCGACCAAGACGAAATTCTCCACCGTTTGAAATCATTCGCGGCACTACCACACACGAAAATATGTGCAGCAAGCCGCGAATGGTCCGTAATCTACCGCCACTTCATGTCCGACGATGTTGTTCCAGTTCTTCAAATCAAGGTCCACGAATACACCTACAAAGATATATACCGGTATACCAAGGATAAGCTGGACGGCGAGCATCAACCAGCCCGTTTTGCACCCACGGCAGCCGAGCGGCAAGCCTTGATCAAGGAGGTTGTTGATCGAGCCCACGGCGTCTTCCTTTGGGTCAATCTTGTGTGTAAAGATCTTATCCGCGGCTATGACAACTCTGATTCATTTGAAGTATTGCTTCAACGGCTACGATACCTTCCGACAGACTTGAAGCCCTTTTTCAAAAAAATGGTGGATGACATTGATCCAATTTATAAGGATGACTTTGGGATGCTTATGTCTGCCATGCTAAACGCCGTATTCTTTTCCTGTCGTCGACTTAATTTCGCTGACTTTAGTCAAGGAAAACAGAGTTGGACACTCGAAGACGCTTGGAATATTGGTCCTAACCTCTCGACCCGCCAAGTAAAGGCACGAGGGGCAGATTTAGTCGAATTCAAGAACGAATCATGGGACTTTATACACCGATCTGTCTATGACTTTCTCCGCGAGGATAACCAAATCAATGAAATTTCTCTCATTACGAAGCGAAATTCTTTCAACCCCCATTTATACTGGGCCAGGCAGTGCCTTCGAGGATATTTCCAGAAGCGGCCTAGGTATATCGGAGACTCACCCACCTCGATAGGTATTGCAATTAAGCATTCGTTAAAGTACGAAGCCGAGGCAGGCACCAGTAACGCATTGTTCTTTGATGAACTGGACGACCTTTTCAGTGGTAAACGGATCGACTATATGAACTGGCGAAAAGGAACCACACTCGCCAAAGCGATGGAGAACGACCTCAAACTATATACTGCATCGGTTTTGCAAAATCAGAAACACAAGTTGCCAGAAGAGCTATTCTCGAAAACGAAGTCGAACCACAAAAGGTTTTTTACTTTCGTTTCCTCGCACGATAACCATGAGAAATATATCCTGAAGGCAACCCCACTAGCGATGCTTATCGCTGTTGGCTGCGTGTCAACTTACAAGCACGGATACAGAATACGATCGTTCCACAGTTGGAGTCCCAAGCGAGATATGCTCGAGTTGATACTTCCTTTTGGGCTTCCAACAATGGAATCCGTGGACTTTCACCCGCCAATCGGGGCGCCCAATGCCTGGGCCTTCTTTTTACAATTTGCAAGACACGGTGTTTTCTACCCCTTTATACACGAGCCTTCCCAGGAAGTCTTGTTCCGCTCTGTGGCCCGTATTATTGATGAGGGTGACATTTGTGACCATTTTTTCGACAAACGAACACATCTCCCGGTAGAGAGGCCGGACTTTTACACAATCAGAGAGCGTTGGCTGATGGTTTCCTATGCTCTGCAGCGGCGGCGGCGGCGGATTCGCATTTTGGGTTGTTTGCCTCGTCCCGAAATAACACACTGGCGATACTATCTTCGAGGCTGGGCATCAATTATCTATCTCGCAACATTGGCGCCTCCTACCAAGCACAGCGACAGAGATATAGAGATTGCCATTGCGGAGTGGATATTCAGGGCCAGAAAGATAAATCAGTATGTTGGCTATCCTCGTGCCCCTAAAACGCTACCCCGGTGGTGCTCATATCTACCGAGCCAGCTTGACAGTTTCTGTAAGCTGCTATGGCCGCCGGTCTGGCTTTGCATAATATCAATCATCTATGTCTGGTTCGTGTTCGTGACACCCAAGCCCAGACAGTGGTACGCCGATATTTCAAATGCCATTGTTTGGATGCCTTCATCGTCACGATATGAGGGATGTGGTTACGCTACGGTGGTCTTGACGACTCATATCATCGTATGGGTGGCGTCAGTCTTTCTCTGCGTCCGTCGTCGGTACATGGACTATACAACTTGGTTTCTTGCGGAGCAGGCCGCACACGATGATTTAGGGCGGGAAATACGGAGGTGGAAAAGGAGTCCGACATATGCCATGTTGAAGGAGAATCACTTGGAGTTTGCTGTGAAGAGGAGGTCGAGGGCAAAGGAAGCGGACGTTATCAAAATTGCGGCTGAAGCACGGGTGCGTAAATTGGCTATTCCATATTTTATTTCGTTTTTGGTGTTCTGGTTACTTTTTGGTTAGTATGCGTTGGAAGTATAAAAACATGTAGACTGTCCTCCTAAACACCAAAAGGACACAGAGGAAGACAAGAGTACAAAGTAATGGGGGAATTCAAAAGAATTATAAGAGGTAACTACAAGTACTGACAAGGTCGCTAGGTGTATCACTTGATTTACCACGATGAAAGGTCGGCCTGGAGAAATGATGAGATGTTACTGTTCCCCTCTGTCCCACTATGAAGCGAGGCGAGGAAGATTGTGAAATTTAAACAAAGGCTGCCTTTGTGGTAGAAACACGTGTCCCGGCATCTCGACAGGTCCGAGTTTTTCGTTGTACGATTATGGTTCTTGCAGCAAGCTGTAGACCACTGTAGATTATGGTGACTAATCCAGGGGTTCCAATGCAACCACTATCCTGTAGACATGCTGCAGAGGGCTTTAAAAGAACACTAATACGACGTACAGCAACGAATATTACAGCTTTTGCTCACTCAATGCTTTGCATACAGTTTTTTGTGATAAACGAACCTAGTTTAGCTGGCAGCTTCAGCTTTGCGACCAGAAGCCACACCACTTACACGGGCTGGCCCCATATTTGACGTGCTAACGAATAGGCGTGCTGCATCCGGCACTAGCTTCATCAGTCCCACATCAGCATCAGGGCAGGCACAGGTCCAGCAACGGCCAACAGCAGGCCAAGAACGGTGAAAGATCAAAGACGGTCAAAGACGGCCAGAATGGTCAAAGACAAGACAAAGAAAAGCCACGACACTCTGTAAACAGGCCAACGGCGTGCCCGCAAATCAAACGACATGCTGGCAGGCGTTGTTATTTTTGCAGCCACCTGTACGCTCGCACGATAGCCTGACCAACAGCCGAGAATCCCTGCCCTGTCGACCGTGACAGGCACGTCCAATTTTGTACAGCCAGCCGGCTTCCGCATCCGTCGGGCGTTGCAGAGACTTGGACACGACAAGTCGAGAAAGGCCCCTTTTCTCTTTGCAAACACATCTCGCTCTGCACCATCCACGTCCCCTGCTCTCTTTCCTTTGCTTTCCGTTTCCTCTTTGTTTTTTTGTTCCCCTGTTGTTTACCTCCATCCCTACCTCTTTTCTTTCGTGATGTTTGTCGCCTGCCTTGTTCTCTTTCTTTCTGCCCACGCCGACTTTCTATAAAGCCGTCCAGTTCCTCCCCACTTGCCTCTTCACCTGGCTTCTCTTCGTCACCGCACAAGAACTCTTCACCCAAACCCTTCATCCTCACACAATAACACTTCATCTGGCTTCTCTTCATTCTCGTGCATAAATTTTTTATCTTAACTCTTCATTCTCGCACGAGTACCTTTTGTTTCCAACTTTCCAATCCCACAATGCCCCCCATCTTCCCAATTTATCCCGACTGGCCAGAGTCCGCCGCCGATCTGGTGCCGCTGCCTTTGTGCCCCGGCCCCAAGCTTGCTCCCTTTGATTTCGAAGGGCCGCAGAAAATAGAGTTCCTCAATTACCTTGGCGGGGGCCTGCATTCCCACGTCCTCAAGGTCCGAATCAAGGGACAGGATTACGCCCTCAAGCTGGTACGTGGCTGCTTCCCATTTTGATTCACACGTTGGATTTGCTGCTTATTTTTTTTTTTTTCTTCTCCAGTTCCGCTTCCCCTTTGAACTGGACTGGCTTGGTCCAGGCGAAGATGAGCGCTACAACAGAACACGCAACAAGATGTCCGCTTTCGCCGCATACTCGGACCCGTTCAACAGCGAGTGTCGTGCGTTTGGTCGTCTGAAGGAGACTGGCCACGAGGACCTCGCCATCCCCTGCTACGGCTACGTGCTGCTGGACGAGGCGCACGAGCGCAAGCTGCAGGACAAGTTCGAGCTCGTACTCAATGGGAACTGTGAGTGGCAGACGGATCATGACATGCGCGGCCTCTATCCCTGCGAACGGAGCGGCAAACCGCCACCGATCCGCTGCATCGTGAAGAAACTGGCGAAGCTCGAATGCGGCATTGAAGGGCACACGATGGGGGTGTCGAAGAAAGGACAAGCCCTCTACTTGGGCAGCGGCCGCGTGAACCCGAAAATTGGCAACTTCAGCGTACCCGCCGCACGCAAGATCTTGCGAACCTTGATCCATCTGCATCAGCTGGGTATTTTCCACGTCGACGTCCGACGCGAGCAGTTTTTGGACGGCCACTTCTGCGACTTCAGCACCGCCGTGACCATACCGCATTTCCTGACCAATCCGGAGCTGAATCCCAGACTGAACGCCGAGGAGATGGCACTCATGGAGCACGAAACGTTTGTGTATGCCATGTGTGATTACTGGGCATTTGAGACCATGCTATGCGAAGACATGTGCAAGGAACCCCGCCAGACATCCAGGTTGAAGGAGTTGGTGACCGTGTTCCCGCGATGGGCGCGCTATGAGGAGGGCTATCCGCTTCGCGTGTACAATCTTCGCCGCACCGCCGTGCGAGAACAACAGAGACAGCGTGTGTACGCATTGGTCGACCCACGCAAGTTCGACTGGAAGGCACTCGCGGAGGTGGAACCGGGGATGGAGGCAAGGCAGCGTCGCAAGGTCACGTTGCCCTTGCGCCCCGAACGGTGGTATTTCGACTGCACTCCAGAGGAAGCGGCCGAACTGAATGAGCGGAACCCGGCATATTGTACCTTGGAGTGGTTCGCGACAGAAGAGGGCTTTATATACCCTCAACACAGATTTCGTGGTATACGTGCTGACAAAAAGGTAAAGGAGCTGGAGGAGAGAGAGGAAAAGGCGCGAGCCGAGGCCGAGGCGGGTGAGGCTTGTATCTAGTATTTGTCTATTTGTCTTTTTGTCTTTTTGTTTGCAAGTTGATTTTCGTTTCCGCTTCTCTCTATTTTTGACCACACTTCATGGCAAGAGCTTGCAAAAGCAGCTCCCTGTGACCCCCACGGAAAACAGTCGGTAGCTGTCTGCATGGATCGCGCATGCTCGTCACATTTCTTGCGCGCGCACCTGACCAACAAGGACATGCACGTCCACAGTTTTCCGCGCTTCTCTCACTTCCCTCCTGCATCCCTTCTGTTTCCCTCATGTTTCCCTCTTGTGGATTTCGGCAACGCCGATAAGGATATGAGTCTGGTTGGGGTCTAGAACTCTAAATGTAGTGGATCTATGGGCGGTGTGGGGTCCTGGACGGTGAGGGTCCAGAGACGATGAAGGCTCCAGGGACGGTGTGCTGCGCATCTGCAGATGATAACGTAAACGACGAAAATATGCTGAATCGCACGCCGCCACCAAGAAGGGGAGACGTCCAGCTGAGAAGCGGTGGAGCAAATAGCCGGTGGCAATCTCTTTGCACTTCTCGCACATTATGGGCGTCTTCTGCACCTTTGCCCATGCGCTGGGCTTTTCACATCATGTTTTAGTATATGCTGGTGGCTGTAGAGACAGGGCAGTTTCTTTCATGTCCAAAAGCCACAATTCAGGAGATTTGGGCCAGGACGGCATCCCGTGCACCTCATTGGCCGGGCAGAGCATTGTGACTGGCAGCAAAAGTGACCAGTCGTGCTTTTATCAAAACGCCCAGCAAAATATATGATATTGAAGCGAAGAAGCTAGGAACGCATCAAACAACACTTCTCTTCCCACTCTTTTTCAAAGTTGACCGGGAAATTAGGCACAAGGCTGCTTCATAACCACGCGATGTCCAGAAAAGTGACCAGAAAAGGAGACCAGAATGACGATTCCGTGGACGAGACAGCAACATAAAAACCAGTCTCTCCCGCTCTCTTTTTCCTGTTTGACTTCCCAAACACTCCGACTTTGTCAATACCACATCTCCATCGCACGAAAAACATCCAAGCTCTTCCTTAGGCTTGCACCTCCACGCACACGTTTCTTTCCGTGGCTCTCTCGCTGACTATTTCTATCTTGTCTCACTTCTCAACAAACATTGACGGTCTCAACTTCGACTTTCTCATGGATCATCCCAAGCCCACGCTGCGAGGCAGTCTCCTGCCTGACAAGCCCTACATACCATGCGAGTCGACTACCAAGGGCAACACTAGATCGGTGAACTGGCCCAAGACATTCGAGCTTCATCCTTGGCGTGCCTTCAACATTCACACGCTCAACGAAAGCTACGGCCATATCCTTGATGAGCCTCTGCCGCCGGAAGTCGCTGACATCGTGCCGTCCACCGCCCGGCTGCAAGGTCTCGTGGTGAAGGACGACAATGGCCCCAAACACATCATCGCCTGAAACGACAAGGCCGTCATGCCGCTGGTCAAGTATGCCAAGCAGTCGATGGGCTTGCACGTCGGCACGCTCCTCCTTCACCAGTTTGATAATGTTGAAGACGGCACCAAGCCCATTGTCGCAGGTGTCCACAACAAGACCATGATTGGCCACGTCATTGAGCTGGGCAACCACCAGCGCGACGTTCTCGTGGTCGGACTGAGCCGCACCAGCGTCAAGTGGCAAGGAAGCGCGCTGCTCAAGAACCCCTCCACCACCGAACAAGAGCCGACATTGCCGGTTCGCCAGCTCGCCAACCTTTGCGCCCAGACCGGCACGCGCTATGGATACATCCAGACGGACAAAGAGCTTATGGTCTGCTGCTTTGGCGCCACAAAATCGGCTCAAGGAATATACGGCGACTGGAAGGTCTTTGCCATGCCCACGCCCTGGAACATGGAGGTGCCGCTGCCTCGCCACACTGGCGCACGCTCCTCTCTCATGAGCACAGAGCTGGCGCTGTGGTGGCTCTGCATGCTGTCGATGGGCGACGCCGACCGCTCCATCGTCGAAGCAAAGGACATTGTCCCCATTGACACCTGGGACACTGTGCACCTCGTTGACAAGAACACATGGGTCCACCGGCACCGCTACTCGGGCTTCGAGAAGCCTGCCCCCCCTCCGGCTGCGCCCCAGCAAGGCCCTGTCGATCCCTTTCTCGGTGTCAACTTTGACCTGGATGCGGAGTATTGGCTCGGCACCAACACCATCAACAACTGATCCCGTTAACATGTGCGTAATGGTGTCTCAGGAGTCGGCGGCGTGAAAGCGTGCACCTGCAAAGCATTGGAGGATCCCAAATTGTGGTTTTTGTGTTAGACTTTATTTCTTTCCTATGAATTCCTATCAAATGTACCTTGGCGTGTACATCAGTTGTCCTTTACTAGTTGGCCAGAATTCATTTTTTCAAAGTATATGAAGACAAAAGCACTTCCAACCCAACGGGTTTGTCGGTGGGGGGGGGGGGGGGGGGCTGTTAAATACAGTGTATGACCAAGTAATGTGTATTCTGTAAAATCTGCCACTGAATCCAAAATTGCTTCACCCCTGGGATTACTCCAGCGACACACTAACGAAAAGTCCTGACACGCCAAATTATTAATTCTCCGTTGGCCGGGAATCGAACCCGGGGCCGGTCGAAGCTGCGTCAGATTATACAACCCGGCCTAGTAACGACAGATTTTACCACTAAACCACCGACAAAAAGAAACTTTCTTGAACGGATACTGACTTGATAGCGTACGACTCTCGGAACTAGTTCAAAAATAACTTCAAAAGAAATTCTTCTTTGCGTCGGCCGGGAATCGAACCCGGGGCCTGTCGAAGTTGCGATGGATCATGTGACCCGACGTGGCAACGACAGATTTTACCACTAAACCACCGACGCCTGTCGCAGGGGCTTCTTTTTAATTCGCTCGTTTGTTGGACACTAAGTATCAAGCAATGCTGCGATATGTAGCAAAGAACCCCACCAGATGTACTGTGAATGCGTTGCGCAGATATCGTCGCCAGCGGTTAGAAGTCGACAGAAAACAGAAAACAGAAAATCGTAGTTGGAAACAGAAAACCGTAGTTGGAAAATGGAAATCAGGTCAATTGCTGATTCCCGGATCTAAGGCCATTGTGTCGTCTTTTTTTTTTTCTCTCTCTTGTTGTTTCGTCCTCTTCGTTTGAGATGCCTTCTTTTTTTCCTGCGGCCTCTTTTGTTTACAAACCTCCTGGACGGCACCATGGACCAAGAAGTCATTCGCCGCGTCCAGGAGGCGATCGCCGCTAAGCCGTCGCAGCCTCCAAGAGCCATTCTCACTCCCGAACAGCTACGACAGCAATGGGCCCGCGGCAACGAGGCAGGAGACCAAAGAAAAAGATACTCCACCGCCTACCAGCTGGCCATTGTCAAAAGCCAACGACGATGGGAGCGCTTTTGTTCTTTTATGGACATCCAGGACTGGAGAGCGCAGTTTGGCTGCCACGAACTACGACGACAAGGGCATCATCGATAGTTACATCCACCACATTATCTTCAGGTTAAACACACACATCACAACAAGCTCTTCGGTCAAGAAATACATGCACCAGCATTGGAACATCTTTAGGAAATACAGCGGCCGAAAAGATCGACGACCGTTTTTTCGCCTACACCAATGCGGCTATTGACAAGTACGACCACCTCAGAAAGCACCCGGCCGACAAGAAGCTCCTCGGCCCAGATGGCTTTCTCTACCTTTCTCACTACCGATGGGTGCGCGACGACAAGACCACTTTCAAGATTGGCCTTGACCGACTCGACGACGTTACAATCCGGCAGCTTTAGATGTTCACAGGTGCCCGAACCCACGAGTTTGTGCTTGGATGTATCGACGTCAGCAAGATTAAGGACGAATACTACGATCGGTTTGACTACTATCGGGCTCAAGACACGAACAAGCCGACAGCCGATCCATCAAAAACCTGTCCTCTTTGTGACAGACTGGACGACAGGACGACAGCTGATAAAAAAGTGCTCCGTTAGGAAGACATTGAATTTTACATTGTTAGTGACCTATACGGTAATGAGGGGAGGGACCGACTGGTTATAACAATCTTACTTCACTTCTATAAAGGCCACACAAACCACTCAACACTGATACGGTTTCTCTTCGTCGAAGACCCCCTCCCCGTTATTTGCCCCGTGTCCCACATCCTTGCCAAAGCCATCGCCGAAGGCGTCATCAAGAACAGCAATTTTCAACGTGTCGAACAGATTTTCCAGACACGAATTTCTTCCAAAATGGTGTAAGTCACATGAAAGGAGAGGAATTTCTCCATCTGCCGGTCTTTCGGAAGACTGTGGCCACCGCGGAAGGCTTCACTAAGTCAAATAACCCGTTAACGCGGAGTATGTACGATAAAAAGACGAGTTAACTTAGACGGGCGGCGGGACTTATTTAAGACCTGTCTAGTTTTACTATACGGTGTGGAATCCTAGCCGTTATTAATAGTGAGTTTTTTTTTCTTTATAATTTTATTAAATCAAAGCATCTCTAATTTTTAAACAAACACAACGATACCACCCGGATATAAGTGGTAAGACACTAGGAAAATAATACCTATCATCGGTATTACAGATCCACCAATTTAAATGTCGTCACTTAGAACGTATTCTTAAAAAGACCAAACAATTCTCTATACTTAACGATTTTTAATTAGTTGGGCGTGACCGCCGATAAGAACGCGCCTATAAAGGCCACGGCCGAGATAATGTAAATGATCCCCCCTAACGAGGAAATCGCTAAGATCAAGTCCCAAATCAAAACTGTACGAGACGACGACGAGGCTCTTAAAACACTTCGAATGTGTCTTAAAGTAACCGATCAACGACACCATCGAAGGGTCGACAGCCTCGTTCGCAAACAATTTTTCAGGGCAAAGAACGACAAAGAACTGGACGAGCAGCTGCTCGGAATTCGCCGCCCGAGGGAGCTTCTCAGGCGAGTCGAATTCAAGCTTCCAGAGCGACGGCGCATCGCAAACGTCCTTGGCGACCTGGATGACCAGGTATTGGAAGAAAAAATTGTTCATCGAAAAATCGAGGCAATAAACGCTTGGGTTGCCTACGCGTGGAAGAGCGAGGTGAAAGAAGACGTGGCCGCCAACCAAGCATCAATGGCTGCAGCTCCGCAGAGCTTCGCGAATGGATCCGACAGTGAGCCGGGCTCGATTCAGCCCGCTTCTGAAGAATCACAGCCCTCATTTTCACCTTCTATAAGATCCGGGCGTGACTAAATGCCGCCCGCTTCACCTGCACCCAAAAGACCCCGGCCGAGCGCGATGGACACCACTGACAGGACCCAAGGCATTCCCCTGCAGGTTACTGTCTCCGTGGCAGCACGTCGCGATGTGGTCCTAGACTCCACCCACGGGTCGCAGGACATCACCTCGCAGCGGGCGGGCGACGTGGTTCGAGACGACAGGCCCCAAAATATTATCTTGGAACTGGTGGGCTGCGTGATCCCGGACGACGAAACCCAGGATATCAACCCAGGTCACACTGCATCCATACCACAGAAGGCCAGCCTAGCACCATCCAATAGTCTCCTGAAGCCGATAAAGCCGATACCCAGGAGTGGCTTCATAGTTGTTGATCCGGATTTGTTCCCACAGCCGAAGCGGAAACCCGTGAAGAGAATACCGCCGCCGCCATGTATATTTTGTGGTAAAAAGTTCACGAGGAATTCTGGAATGTGGGATCATGTCGACGCTCATCTCAGCCATCGTTCGGAAGAAGCTGTTCCATGCCCATCCCCGCAATGCAAGATCCAAGAACAAGTTCTTGGCAACGAGACTCTGTTCAAATCTCATGTGTATCACGAGCACGGCATTTCGCTGAGGCCGCCTAGAATTCTATAGCTCGACTTGATGTCAGCGATTGTAACAAAGAGAAGAGTTCATGTTCAAAGAAAAACGACCGAAGTGAATTAAAGGACCAGGTGGGTCATTGCGCTGTTCATAAGATCGTATTTAGATGCCTGTGGAAGGATGTAATTGTGGCCGGTGGTTTTGTACTCTGCGAAGTACGCAGACAACGGGTCACGGCTACAGTCTACCCAATAGCCCATGAGATTAATCGCAAGGCCAGATAGGCAAGGTAAGGCGACGGCGACATAAGACTGGCGTGCACGATGTCTGCCATTTATTCCACCCCAAACAGGAACATGATAGTCAGGGTCGATGATTTTAATCCGGGTCATTTCCCTTGGTGCTTTGAAAGAAGGCACGCACCAGTTCCGCAGAAGGTCTAAGTAAGCATGTACCGGTTGCGCCGGGCTGTTCAACTGCGCCGGGCTGAGTTGCGCCGGACTGAGATGCGACGGACGGTTGAGTTACACCGGGCGGTTGAGCTACGCCGGAAGAGGCAAGTGTCGAAGTTGGAAAGTAGGACTCTTGGCTGGACAGTAGGACACACAACAGGACACATAGGGTATGGTATTATAATAACACATCGTAAAAAGCACCTCAGCTTCTTCCTCTCTACTGACCGACTGGTAGCGACAGCGTACATTGTTTTAAACACTCCGCCGGGCAAGCAATGCGAGCATCTGTCGACACAGGTTCCCGTCCGTTGGCTATTGAGGGGCATGGGGACGAGAATACTGTGACCTGTCAGGATTGCTTGGGGCGGGACACACAGAAAAAGGGAGAAGGAACAAAGCCTTTGGCGCGAAAAGAGCATGCAGAAATCAAAGATTGGGTACAAGATGGGCCAACTGAATTCGATCAGCGGGCCCCGGCATATTCGAAGCACATGCACAGAGCTGACAAGAGAAAAATAACACCACCATGTATGTCGGTTGACAAGGAATAGGAGCAAGTGAAGCCATGTGGATGCTCTCCTTCAACGTCGTCTGCACTTTATTGATCTCGACCAATCAAGCAAGCGTCGAAGCGCCCGGGCTGCATCGGGGCCGTACAGGAAATGGAGGCCGATGCGGCTCCTTTACAAATCGAGCAGCCAGGCCCGTAAACAGCGTCTTAGATTTGGTTAGCAGGCCGGCCGCTGGTGAGCATGACGCGGGGTGGGGTCTCCCCGGGGCCACGAGGGGCCCGCTGGGTAAATCCGGAAGAGACAGATATTTCCGGCGTGGATCTGGTATGGCACACAGCGTATCGCTGCGTCGGATGTCTAGACAAGTGGAACGGCTGTGGACACGAGCTGCAAACGACGTCCACGAGCCCCATGTATAAAATCACCTTCTCGAGGACAAGAAGCCGGAGGTGACCATGCCGCTGGACAAAGTCAACGAGCTCGTCTTCGGACGTGCAGAAGTGTTTGAACTCGGCTCTGGCGAGTTTTGGGCATTGCACGCTTTGCAACGGGAGTCCCTGGCCGAACAAGGGGCCCGCCGAATTGCCGCTCAGGTAAAGCTCTTCGAGGCCTGGAACGAAGCGAGAAATTGACGGACATCTTCACAACGAGACGGGTAGGTCAGAGATTTGATGCGTAGCCGCGTGTTCTCTTCCGAACCCAGCATGAGTAGTGGCCAGACCATATCGGCTGGTAGTGCGGCCCCGGGGTCCAGCTCCACAGAATGTATTGCCAGGTGCCAGATCTCCGCCAGCGCCAACAAAACCTCTTCTGTCGCCGGCAGCGTCGCATACGCCACACGGTGTAGGTACACTATGCTCGCATAGTAGCCACATAGATACATTCGGTACGACTACGTCACCAACGCCATGCGCGCCGACACATACGCCGCCAGCTGACCCTTCACTGCGCTGTCCATCAATACCGGTCGGCAGGCATACAATGTGCGATTGCTCGCCGCGATATTCGCACCGGCTCTCATCACTACAAACTCATCGTCGACTGTGCCGCGTGACCTATTCAGTGGATGCATTTCCGAGATGGTGCGATGGACGTTCCATACTTCTTTGAAAAAGAAGTTTCCCCGCTCGCATACAATTTCGACCATCATGTTCTCGGTTTCGTTGCTACCGGAATTGAATCCCTCCTCCGTTCTTGCGGATTCCCTTGGCGTACTATCGTTGGCCCGGACTGTGTCTCCGTCCCTGACCTCTCGTAGACGTGTCTGTTGGCACTGCCCCATGCTGTGGTCGGACACGACAGCCATTGCTCCCGGTCACTTGGATCATCTTTAACGCCGGCACTCGCATTCCACATAAAACCAGTAAAATCAAAGACTTGGCTAATGGGTTTCGACGGCGGCGAGTTTTGCTGCTCTGTTGTTGATCTTTTTGCTCAGACACCGGTGACATATCGACCGCGTTAAACAGAAGCTGCCCCGCTGAACGGTTTATGTGTTCGATTGACCATTCGCAGAAATAGCCACGTTGCGTACAGCGAGAGCAGCGTGGATGCTGCTTGTCGAACCTGTCCGGGAGTTAGCAATACACATTCTTGCCAGGGAAGTTAGCAGTTTCCCGCATTCCGGACCTTCTCACGCACCTGCATGCTTTACATGAACGATTCATTTGCAGGTTATATGCGATGTTACATACTAAAAGGTGCTCTTGCCTACCGGCTGGGGTAGGAAATCGAAGAAAGGATGGCAAGAAATATTAATGGCCAGCACCACGAGGGAACGGCGTTGCTTCTTGCCTAGGGATGAGGGACCCGCACCTTTGTATTCCTGCTGTTCAATCGAAGAAGTGAAAAAAATGGAAAAATAGATAAGAATGAATCATACGCTGGCAGGAGAGGGGGAGAAACCTAAAAGGAATCCCGACAACTGTGTGCATATTAGTGCAAGTGCAGAAAGTACATCAACAAATAGGCTCGAGGTGGGGTTCTGTCATTATGGGCCGCTACGTGTACGTGTTTGGCCCTCATACAAGGCTTTCCCACGAATGCTCGTCCCGTTCAGGCTCGTCCCGTTCAGGTCCGTCCCGTTCAGGTCCGTCCCGTTCAGGTCCGTCCCGTTCAGGTCAAGCGTCCCGTTCAGGTCAAGCGTCCCGTCAGGTGAACGTCAATCCTCCCGCCTCTCTCCATTACCTCCACCAATCATGTCGATGTCGCTCACTGGACATCTCCACAACGACATTAATCCCTCCCATCTCGCTCACAGATTGTCTCCATAACAGCGTCAATCCTCCCAGCTCCCTCGAATGCCTGCACTAAAAAAGTCAGCCCCTTGTCGGAAGAGCAACTGGCCGCTTGGATAGTGTCAGCAGGCCAATACATCTTCTGGCCAAGGTACAGAAGGCTAAGACAACACCTTCCCTTGTCAGGGCGAGAATGAACTGATGTAGATTTGGGTGTGGAGCCGCGCATTTCCAATGTGTGCAAAGCTAGGGCATTTCTTTTGCGGAGGACGGATTCTCGTAACCGTAGCGCATCTTAAAAAAAACTCCAGGCGTGTACCCATTGTACCTGGCCTTCCCGCGGGGGGGGGGGGGGGCGCGTAAAACGAGGCTTTGCAGGGGATCGTCGTGGAACGACACCACGGTTAAAACAAAGGTAAAGCAAGTGGAAAACAAGCACACACCCCCAGGTCGGGGGAAACGCGGTCAACGGGAGTTGTAATACTTGTCTGATCCATATCCGCGGCCCACACGGTATCGCCTACGTCGTTCCAAAATTTTGTGAAAATAAATGTTTTTATTTTGTACTCCACGTCTCATCTTTCTTCTGTCGCGCTCGGTTTACGACCATAAGTGACAAAACGTTGAAATATGCGTGGTAAGATGGGTTCCTGATATCCTCCTGCACCCGCGGTACAAATTCCCTGACACGTTCCGGGCCCCAATGTAAAATGCGTGTGAAGAAGGCAAGGGACATGGCCTCGACACCGAGATAGAAGTTTTCACACACCATGGCGCCAAGTCGTTTCAATTTGTCACCCTTCGGCCAACTACCGATCGGCCACTTGTACGGTATACGCACAATGTTGACGAAGCCAACTCCGCGCATGAGATCGATAGCCCTTCCGCTGGCGTGGAGAGAGAAGCCAGATTGCTCACTGGCGTCCACCATAAGGTTGCTCCGTTGTTGAAGAGCACTGTTTTCTGGGAGGGAGCCATCTGCGCAAAGTAGAGGAAAATCCATGACTTTGACCTCAACCCAGCCGTTCGAGTTGAGAAATCTGCAGTTGTTTGGTTAGAAGGAAGACAACACGAGCGTACAGCGATGGACGTACCCGAATGCCTGCGCATAGAAGCCTGGCCAGTCCTTGAAAGCTTCATTCATCATCATGACATGGATGTAGTCGAAGTTGGACGAGAAATTCCACTGTTCTTCCAGATCGTCAATCTGAGGTCGAACATTCGGTGGAACGCTACCCTGCTGTTAGCTATGAAATAACCAAATTGAGGCTGAGATATAAGAAGGGATGTACTATTTCACGTGACCAGGCGCGATGTCGACGTTATAAATCTAATCGAAAAACTATTAGTTACTAAAGTTTGCACAAAAAAGAAAAAGATAGATACCTCTGACTCTGGATGAAGACCAGCTACCACTATTAGTACACGATGCAACTGGATATTGAAAAGACGCTACTCACCAAAATTATCAGCCCATAAGCCTGAAAGCAGTGTGTTAGTGTAAGGATAACCAACGGCTCGGATCACTGCTCATACCGCGCCCACATCCAACATCAAGCACTCGATGCACAGTATGACCGAGGGGTGAGTAGGAGATTGTGCCAAACGTCTCACAGCACAAGTCGTACTGGAACTCTAAAGAGACAGTCAGCTGGCCGATTGGTATATATCTGCAACTACGTTTGTTCGAAAGGACACAACAGACCTTGACGGGCATATTCTTCCTGGATCAGCCCAAGATCATTAGTTGATGCTCTTTGAAGTAATATTAACTGGATTTGTCTTCGTCTTACGTCGTCGGTCGGTAAATAATAATTGCCATGATACTTGCGGCCGTGTTCTACCCGGAAGCTCGTGAGGGTGCATCGCATTTTGGACGGCAAAAATCGACCAGGGACTTTCTAACATGACCGAGAGCCGAGTCAATGTTCCGCCTGTCCGCACCAAAGTCGTCGTCGTCTTGGAGGCCTTCGTGCTCCGCTATGAGTGGAAAGGTGAGGCGACGGTGAGAGGCAATGAGAAGGAAAGAAAGAAAATAAAATGAGAAGAAAATAAAAAGAGAAAAAAAAGGAGAAAGAAAAAAAAATAGCGGGGGGGAGAAAAGTCACCTGCTCGAGAGAATATGGGGCATAAGAGGGAAACAGTTGCTCGGGGCTGATACCGAGGTAGAGTTTCTCACTTGCATCCATCCATTCTCCTTTCACATCCTTCGTTCTATTCTCACCCACTGCCCGCTCTAAAGTGGGCCGCCCCTTCCTCTTTCTGTTGAAGCGACTCACGGTGCATACCATCCCCTTCTCTCCTCTTTCCTGTTGTCTTATAAGTTCTTCTTTTACTTTCTCCTTTCTTGCTCCTACGTCTTACGCCGCAGTATGCCCGGCGCAAAAGTGACCTACGAACAAAAAAAAACGTCAACGATAACGATTTGCCCCAAATATAAGACTAACAAGAAGTCCGTTCTGTACGTGTTTTATGTTGATCTCTTTAATATTGAATCGTGGTGTAAAGGCGTGTCATCTACATATACATGCCAAACCCAGTGAGCTGCTGACCAAGTAAATATTCTTGAAAGCTCCCCCCTCCGATCATGAGCTCTGACAAGACCTCCGAGTTCAGCCACTCGAGATATTCCAACGGGAGTTGCACCCGGAAGCTGTTTGGATTCGGGGTCTTAGCGGCGAGACATTTAACCATGAAGGACAGGAGGAAAGGCTGGAGCGGAGCTGCTTTCCACTTAAAGAACCGGGCTCGGCTGTCGGCATTGGCCCAACAAACGAGGAGGCTACGTCTCTCTTGTCAGTGATGCTTTGCAAAATATGACAGCTCGTGATAAGTGCATACATTCGAAAGGATTCGCCGCCTGCTTCTCTGGGAAAGCTTCTGCAGTGTTCGCCGATTGAACTGAATTCGATGGTCGTTACACTCATTGCCTCTTCGACGGACGTTCGAATTGTTTGTGGGAGGATATCAGGACCCATCGGGATGTCGCTTCCATTGAGCGAGAAAAACGTTGTCGAGCCGCGTTTGACAACGAAATCGATAATGGGAGGGGCCATTTTTTTGTTTCTTTGCCGGATCGTGCTCTGTTTGTCCTCCGTAGATGATAAAAACAGTGAAAAAAGGTGAAAGTGCACGAGTTATTGACCGGGATGCTCGCTTCGTATTATCTACGACGTAGGGCTCGAGCTCAAAGTCCTGATTTGAGTGGACCCGAGTCTGTCACCGAAATCCAACTACGGCCAACCAACTCGTGGTTGCCAACCCATATCCCGGCGCCTCAACTTGCGAATCAGTCGCAGGGGGCATGGCGATACTGCCCATGAGAAAATCAGTTTTATCAACGCTCAACGCTACACCCAACGAAGGTCAAGAAAGAATGACTACCCACAAAAAAAAACCAAGAAAAGATACTCGGGCAGCGTGAGCGAGTTGTAAGCAAAGGATCGATCGTTTTGGGGCATTCAAGAAATACACAGAGGCTTCCGTGAGCAGCTGTATCCAAACTTTCACGGACAGGCTCGACAGCCTTGAAAGGCAGATGGAAAGACATAAAAACAGCAATCAGGAGTTTGAGAATCAGGTCAAAGTGCTGGAAAATAAGACAGAAGAGCTATTACAGCTTCTGGTCGCGTCCGGCGGAAATCTTTAATACCGTTGGAGCTTGTATTAAATAGTGAAAAGCATATAGCAATCGGACAACAAACAACAGACAGCTCCAACCTGTGCCATCAATGCCAACAACGACACGAGCGCTGTGACATGCATTCTCGTGTCCTGCTCGCTCATGCAGGCTGGGGACGATGATGCATGTACGGAATTTGCAGATTTGGAAGTGCAAGACAGGATTGCGGCGCTAGTGAGTCCGAGGTCGCTTTATGATGGTAGCACACCGTGGATTGCCTCCCAACCACAGCCAAGATGGTGAGGGAAACGTGCAATTTTACCTGCATCCTGTACGCCCTGCATACGTCTTTGCCAGGTTTGGGTAAGCTGCCGCCAGTGACAGTGTATCGATCTATTTTGGACATTTTGGCCGCTGAAAGTGCAATATTACTTACAATACCCTGCCTCGACTCATTACGCCCTTTCCTACATTTATATTTATAGGCGTTCAACTCCCTTTTAGGTAAACCAAAGATGTCAGAAGGATGTTAGATGAAGACCGGAAAACGTGACCAGGCACGTGCAGAGGGATGGTGGAAAAATGTCGAGTTTACGAGAATCATCTAGACTCACATCTAAGCAATTGCCACGTAGAATTCTATCACAACCTCTGTGTATATAATGCAGAAGGGATATCCCACTTGGATATGGAAGATAGATCAAGGACAGACAGACTTGCCGAAAACAATCAATTAATTTTCCCCTATGAAGGCCATACTGTTTATTCGACAAGAGGGCAAGCGTCAAGGAATGGAGATGCACAATGGCATCTGGTATCCACAAGCACAAATCCCCGACAAGGAATCGTACACTATTGTGGAGACTGGGGATCGTGAGAAACAAGCGAGACAGACAGCAGTAACCCACTGTGACCGACTTGCAAACCTCGACAGGCTGAGGTGTATATGTAGGTCTTTCTGATACAAGAAAAAAATATACAGAAGCCAATCATTAGACAGAAGGAAACAAAGAAAGAGAAAATGGCGTGGCGGAATGCGGAAAGTTGATTTTGACCTGGAAGAGAAGAAAATGACTCTTTCAGGGGTGCACACAGCTCTTCAGCTCATGCACTCCAATGTAGAAGGTTGGCAGGAAGCCATTCTTGATCTGGAGATGTATTTATTAAATCGTGGGTCTCTCAGGTCAGACATTTCTGAGTTGCATCTACCTTTCTAACAATCGACTCTTTATATTTACAAAAGCTTTTATCAATCGGTTCACTACACACCTTGCCCTTCACCCTGACACATTGATAATGTCGTTGCACATCTCGACAACCGCTTCTCCCGATCAGTCGACCGTGACTACTTCCTTTGGAGTTTCTCCTGCATCAAATCAGACTTGCCCTGGAATGTTGCATCGGCCTCTTTTCAATCAGCCACCTAATCCCGCTCTCGACTCCCTTCACGTTTCAAAGCGATATTAGGTGCCCAGTCCTCCACAGTTGAAGCATGGTTTTTCTTTCTTCTGGTCTTTTCATACGACTTCAACTCACTCTTCCATTTTCAGGCTCTTTTCCACAGGCCCTCTGAGAAAGGCAATGTCGGGCCTACATCAACAACTGGCTGCGTGAGACAGCTAACATACAGATATGCATACTAAAACTTTACAAGGCATTCTTCTCCCCCACTGTCCCACCTCTACTTTCAACAATCCGATAGTTTGCAGCCCGCAATAGTCTGGTAAGTTACGGGCAAAGCGACGGCAGAAGAAATCCGGTCTGCAGACAAAGTGATGTTAGCCACCGCCAAGAGAATTTCACTTGGTTCTTTTAGAGTGCTAATAATACAGTTGGTTTTAATTCTTGTGAACAAGCATCATTCGCTCAATTGTACCTTTCACCAATGCTTCAAACAACTTTTCTCCTTGGCTTGTTCAGCCCACATTGAACGGGCGACCCAATGCCACAGACGCAGAAGCTCGTAAAGCTGCTGAAGAAGCTGGCCTCCGCGACGACATCATGGCCATGGTCAACCAGTACGATACGGTTGCGTGGGAGGATGGGAGGTACGTTGCTTGCTGGATCTGGCTTGCCACCATTTACGCGCACTCGGGTATTGACGCTTTCCACCAACAGAATCCTCTCCGGCGGTCAGAGGCAACGGCTCGCACTCGCACTACAATCTTCAAAAGCCGAGAGTCTTGTTGTTCGACGAGCCTACCAATGCCCAGGATGCAGATACGGAAGCTCGCTTCAAGAAGACCCTGGACGAGGCTTTCAAGTGCACGCGCCTTGTTGTTGCGTATGTATCTCAGACACAGAATTTATTCGGATGTAAATGCTAATATAGCTGCGCTAGACACCGACTATCTTCCGTCTGCTGCGCCGACCAGATTATTGTCCTGAAAAAGGTCGACGGCGTTGCTCAAATTGCCGAAACGGGTACGCACGACCAGCTCCGGGAGCGAGACGGCATCTATGCATCCTTCTGGAAGAAGTACACCGGTGGAGGGGAAATCGGGGTAGTGGCTGGACCGACGGGCTTGAGGTGCCGTAAATAATGTAAAACCCGCCCGCTGATGTTATAACCTGAGTGTCGAGGGGACAAAGAAAGATCCGCGAGGTTGTTCAGGGTTTAACTTGCTCGGTTGGCTTATGGGTTACTGTCACACTTTACCATTTACTGTTCCCGCTATCTATTGCCTCGGCGATGATAGAGCCTGTTGATGAGGAAATCTGGTGGCCATGACGCTGCCGGACCTTGGTTGCTACAATTACAAGTCAAGTGACTTCCAGGAGATGATCTTTATAATTAAACTAACTCTAGAGATCAGGTCTTATTGATCCAATCTCGTTTGTTAAAAAAAAACTTTCCGCTTGCTAAATAGATCTCCTCTCGGAAACGTCATATAAATAGAAACAAGAAACCCAGTAAAGATTAACGCAAACGAAAAATCAAATTCCTTCGTCCTCTTCATTATATTTTAAACTGGTCTGATGACTGTAGAATAGCAGCGATTTCATCGTGGCCAGCCTTTACAGCCCACTCCTGCGCAGTCATTTGGTTCCTCGTGCTAAGGATACTCGTATCTGCGCCCTGCGCCAACAGATACTTGACTGCTTCAGCATTTCCCATTTGCGCAGCTTCGTGTAGTGGTGTTCCCAAGTCCATGATTCGATAGAGACGGGCTAATCTTTCATCACTGGCGTACAAGGTCAAGTTCAACGGTGCGCCCCGGTCCAGCAACAGGCCCAGCATCTCGACAATGTCGTCTCTAGGCCGCCGAAGGAGGGTGTTGTGCAGCAACTGGCCTCTTTTAGCGTCACCACCGTGGTGGTATAGTAGTTCCCGCACAAAGTCGACAGGTGCACGCAGCACCGCATAGGACATACCGGTCATGTCTGTATTAGTTGGCCGGTCGTTAAGGGCGGCGCCATGGTCAATCAACCAATAGGCCATGTCACGGCGTTCCTGACTATCGCGATCCGGCGTACTGTCACATAAAAATGACTCAAGTACGGTCGTATCTGAGTCGCGTCGGTGATTAATGTCCCACCCGTGGTGCAAAAGAAGGAGCAGCGTGTTTTTCGAGTAGCTGTCGGCGCCTTCTCTAGCAACGAAGTCAAAAGCGTGGCATAAATGTGTGTACGGTACGAGGATTTCGTTTAAAATTTCGACTTGGTTATGACGCGCTGCCTGGCTCAGACACGGGTACAGCTCGTGAACGTGGTACTTTCCGGGAAACGCTTTGCTTCGGTCCGAGAAGTGTTCGTTGAGAAGGCCATGGACAGCGTCGACGTTGTTAGATGCGATGGTTGATGTAAACTGGCTGAGAATGTCGTCCGGCAGCGCGTCGCCCATGCGTTTTGATGTGTCGCAGGCTTGGAGATGACGAAACGTCTCCATATACCTTTTTAATAACACCGACATGGTGAATGTGTCGTCGTGAGATGGACGAGGGGAGTTGCGAATAAAAGTTGTAGATTGGGCTGACGGAAAGGAGACGCATATATATGGCTTTGAGCCGACTGTCTCGGAAAATTACTGTGGCCGATTTCATCGTTTACCTCCCCCGCACTTAGTCCCCCCCGTCTCTTCACACCACATTACTTGTCAGAAGGATAAGTAGGCATTTAGGGCAAAATGTGTAGCAATAGTGACACTTTTTGTCCTAGCTGTCCGACATTACGAGATGAGTAATAATGACAGGATCAGGACAGCATTTTAACTTGGCGCGAAAGCGTTTCTACTCAAAAATTATTCAATTCGAAAACTCACGATACTTGCGTGTTCTGGATAAAGATAAGCGGTTCCGTTCCTACTCCATAAGATAAAACAACCACGGTGCCCTGACCAACACTATTATAATCCACAGGAACTTTGTAATGGTGAATTTCGGGCTGTAGGCCCATGGCCAAAAACGCTTGTTGAATAAGAGCAACCTGGTCGAGCAATATTGGGCTGTCTTCGCCATCAAATATTGCGCAAATGATGTGGCTGTCCTCCGTCGGAAAGTAGTCGATGTGCGTCTGGTAGAGCTGAGTAAACTCAGCCATAATGGCTATCGTGTTGTTGTCGCCCGCGTGCGGATCGGCTGTCGTGAGGTCTGGCCGAGGCGGGATGTGTGCGAGAATCGCAGCATATGGGGACGCGACGAGAGCGACAGAGCATCCGTTAAGTCCGTATGTACCGATGGCAGAGAGTTCTGCAAAGTCGACGATGTCGACATCTCCCATTTCCACAATAACTATATTTGCATTGTGGCGCAGTGTGTCGAATATACTGCTAGGGATGGCTAATGTTTCCGCACCCTCCATAACGAAAAAGAGTTACCGTACGCTGCTGTGAGGATGCAAAAAGAGATGTTTCTCTCGAGGTCACAGATATAAACTTGGTTGGGAGATGGTGGGATGGCGAAGAAAACGAAGACGGTGGCACCGAAGAGGTATACTTGAATCAAAAACAACGAAGGGAATTTGTGGATAGCCGCCGAGCGTAGAGTAGACAACCATGCACATTTTTATGCTATTTGCACATTGGAGCGGAGCGTGGGGGTTAGAACAAACGAACGCCCAGACACCGACCAGGCTGTGACTCGGCCATTGGGACGCGACGTGCATAAAGATGAGCACCTCTTCCACGATGAAGCCTGTAACCGCCCCCCCCCCCCCGGGAGCGCAACGCAACCTCACTCCTCCTGTGAATGACACTCTACATGTTGGCTATGAGCGACCGGACACAATGTCAGCATATGTTGGCGATGGTTACGAGCTGACATGGGATGATGTCAAAGAGATCGTGGACAGCAAACATGAGGGTCAGTTGTTTCTCGTTGGCACCTACAAGGAGAACAGTAACGCTTTCGCTATTATCCCAGTATCCCAGGACCGGACGCAATACGATTGGTATCTAAAAACAAAGCTCCGTATTACACCAATTACTTACAGTATTGAGATGAAAAGTGTTTCTCAACCACCCAACCACATCTGCTTATCAAACTCCACCAACTCCTCTACCCATTGGCGAAACTCTTTATTCACGTACCGACTCAACTCCTCCAGTACCGCATAGAGCCGATACGCACTCGCTAGGTTCGCCGTGCTACCGCTCTGTAATGGGCCGACAATCCGAATCTCGTTATCGACGCGACACGCAAAATAACAGTCCCACGTATCGGATAGCACGAGCAGCAGTGGCAGCATAGGCAGTGGCATCGAGGGGTTTATCCTAAGTGCCTCGATGCGCCTGAACCACGCCGCAACCCAGAGACCCAGCTGTGTGCGCCCTTCGTCGGCGCTGCCGCTGTCGGCCTTGGTCTCCACAAAGACGCCGGCCGGCGCGTATTTTAGCGGCCGGTAGGCTGTCTGGTTGATAAAGTCCGTCTCGCCGGCGACCGTACGCGAGGGCAAAAAGGTAGCGATTCGTCGTCGCAGGGGGTCGGCCTGGGGGAGCTGGAGCGCGAGCACGTAGTCGACCATCTTGCCGGATGTGGCCGCGTCGCCGCCGTCGGCCAAGCCAGCGCGTTGGGGGAGAAAGGGCCGCGCGATACTTGCACACGTGACGTTCTCGGCTCGGACGTCCGGTGTGTTCTCGGTGGCCAGGGACAGCATTGGTTTGTGGACGTCTTCGTTCCACGCGGGCTCGCTGCGAACCAGCTTTTGGCACTCGCCCGTATTGTGAACGACCCGCCGGAGTTGTTTCAGCTGGCACCTAAGATCGAAGAGCGTCGTTCCGCCAGCTTCGGGCAGCGTATAAAAGGCGCTGTCGGAGCATTCAAAATCGTCGTCGTCCTCGAGTTCCTCTCGCAGGGCTGCGGGGATGTACGGCGTGTGTCCATTGACAATGCGCCCAAGCGCATCCACCAATCCATTCGACCCTGGACACATGCGCGACACCGCCTTGGAGCAGGCCTTGGCTGTTGAGGCGGTGTCCCAGTACACTGGGATTTCCAGGCTTCCCAAGTCCTGGACGCTCTTAACGGGGCTTCGGGACCTTTTGCTCGTCGTACTCTGGTTCTGGGAGGACATGGAAGACATGGACGGTGTTGGGTTGGGAGGCATGTCGACACGGTGTGCTTGCAGGTTGAGAGCTTGGGTGTATGCCGATCCGTGCAGAGGCTGCTGAACTCGTCTTCTTGCTCGCGGTGTGTTGTTGATGTCGTCGCTGTGGCCCATGCCTCCACTGTACCATGATGCACCATCTGTGTCTGATTGATCTTGTTCCCGCTCGCCGGACTGGCCATCGAGGACCGTTGCGCCGCTCTTTGTTGGGCTTCGCGTGCGCAGATGTCGCGCGGACATATTAGCAGGTATGGGACACAGTCCGGGCCGTTTTCGTTTTCGGCTCGTCAGGTCACCGGAGACCCGTTGGAGAAGTGAAGGGGGCGGGACAAGAGGCTCTGCGCCTTTGTCGGTAGTCAGAGGGTGGAAGATATCGACCTGCCACGCCGTAATAACGTGTGCATGCATGGATCGCTCGTATGGTTTTCAGTCGTTCTCCGTTTGGCTTTGTCGAATTGTTTTCGCTGTTTATTACAAGTGGCAATGTTGGCTTATTGATTCCAGGAATTGATGCATTCGTCGTTTGCGGAGTAGCTTGAAATTCTGTGTCGGCGGGCCAACGTGTGAGAAAGAGTGGAGGTCACGGGACATAACATGTGACTAACACACGTGACACAAATTTGGGGGCTAGGAGAGGCAATTATAGGTTCAGGCGGAGATTCTACACACACACACCCACACACAATAATGCATACAATTTTGGCCATACACTATATTGACACCCGTCTAAGCTCTCGTGACGTACTTTCACCGTCTGTGTCCCCCCTCGAGTCCGCCAACACACTAGTGATTCGGCCAGGCCAGCCTCACATGCAGCAAATTCGCTAAGGTAGCCAGGCAGTGGTTGTTTCTGCCCGTTATGCTGGTGAAAAAGCCCCATTTTGTAACGTCGAGTAGAGGCGTGTCCAGCGAGCTGTAATTGGCAGGGAGAGGCTCCGTCACCAAATACAGGTCTGGCCTCGAATTCGTACTTTGTGGTGGTGGTTGGGAGGTAAAAAACAAAACAAAAGAAAAAAAAAAACGGGCGCTTAAAGTAGCCCAGTTGCCATCTCGGCCCAAGCAGGCCTGATTCCCGAAGGACAGAAAGGAGGCACCCCGTCAGAGCCTCACGACTGAGATAGTCCAATGATAATCTGTCGTCCGCGGTGGAACAAGCGTGCGGCGCCTTTAATATCGGGACTTGGGCGCGGCTCGTTGAGGATAGTATACGAGGAAGAGTATTCCACAGCCGTGGTTATGAAAGTGTCGTGGAGGTGGTTGATGTAGTCCGTGGCCTATCTCGTGAACCGCGCCGCGGGTTGAACGACCGGGGAAAGTTTGTCGATGGCTCGTCCCACCCTCGGTATCCTTTTTAGCAAGCAGCACCGTTTGGAGTCTTTTCAGAAGTGTTTTGTTATTCTCGAGCTCTCACTAACATTCGATGCTCAACAGCAAGGCGTGGAAGGGTATTGCCAACCGACTCGAGAGCCGCCAAAGAAAGACGTTGAAGACATTTTAGGCCATGAAAAAGGACCAATCGACCTCCTTAATCTGCAAGGCAGCGCATACGATCCGCCGGAGTGTCTTTTGCCAGGACAGGTTCACCGTCCTTGATGGCGTGAAAAAGTTAAACTGGGAAACTTTCCGGATTCCACCCGGCTGACCTTTCTTCATGTACGAGATTTCGAATCTGTGGCAGTAAAGACTCACTTTCACCCCCTCACGTCGACCAGAATGGTGTCATTACGAGCCTTTTAAATAACGAAGGAGGAAAACTATGGCTTCTGTGGCCTCATCTCACAATCGAGAACCTTAGAAATTGGGCATCATCGGATCTTAACCCTGAAACAGGCCCTGTCGGAATATACCTAAGAGCTGGCGATACTCTCATACAACCAGCCGGCACCCTGCACGCGCCTTGGTCGATAACGAAAGTTCTCATGACGGGCTCTATGCACTGGGATATCCAAGACATGGTCAGTACCAAGGAGCTAACCACATTTTGTTTACAAAACGAACACGCCACCAACGAAGCCGTTGAAAAGGAGTTTTAGCAGAAAGTGGACCATATCGTGACACTTTGGAAGAAGGGAGCAGCCACAACATGAAGTCTTTGGACACTTCATGGCATTCAAGAATGAAGTGAAAACATCTTTGGCAGCGAGGTATCAGATGCAACGGGCAAGGAAACGGGTACGATAGTAAAAGAATATAAAGTTAAGGCCTTATTTGCATGCGAGATATGTCGGTCCTTCCAAAGCATTACAACTTGATCAATTCCGAGCTCTAATGCCAAGTGAGAATCGGGGCAAGCTTGTGTCAAAGTTACCTAGGTACCTAGCTAGCTATGTCTATACAATAGACACCAGTTGAACTGATGGATCAAATGAGCAACGACGAAGCCAACATACGCGCCTCATGATGCTCTTTGCCGCTATGCAACCTCAATCGCCAGTATTCATTCGCTGCAAGGTCAATTTCATCCAGGATTTCCCGTCTGTCGACCAAGGGAAACAGCCAGCCCGCGACTGTTGGCTCGTTAACATGATGTAAAAATATCGGAGCCATGAGTTTCCATGCTGGCCTGTCCTCCGGGCTGCCGGTGTCCGCAAAGAAGTCCTTTCGTCGTTCGCTCCTCCCCTCTTGGACAACAAGTTCGACGTAGACCACGGCAGTCAGATACATCCCGATCAAGGGCTCGGTTTTCACCGTTTTCAACTTAGTCGCAATGTCAGAGTAAAAGCGTAGACCCTGATCCGATTGGAGCCAGTGTTGAACACTTGTGCCGAAGTAACAAAAAACTCCTAAATTACAGAGTAATGCTGACACAGGTGACTCGAGATAATCATCGTGGTAGTAATTGCTTTTTTAGTTAGACAAACATAAAATAAATTCAATCGGGCAGTTTGATACTTACAAGCTTAAAAGAGCACCCCGTACAAGATTGTACGGAACCGTGTCAACCAGGTCGGCCGGGAACATCGTGTATACGTCTTCTGGGAATGTTACCGGCGTTTGCGAGATCTCATGCTGCAGTTCCATTTGCTCCGGTGATCTCAGCAAATCTGGTGACGGGGTTGCTGGAACGAGGGGAGAAGAGGTTTCGAAATCCGAACAAAGAAAAAAGCCCAAAGTGTGTAAGTTTTGCCTGACAGACAGTGTAGCATTGAATAAGCCTGTCTCTATCTCCCCAGGGTGGAGGAGTCGGCGCAAGATATATGCAAGTTGTGCCAAATTGACCATGGGGGTTTGCGCATGTTGAAAGAATCGGAGCCATTGGAAGGTCTCTCGGCTGGCGATGTGGTAAATGTGTCGAGTAGGCTGCAAGGACTGGCCGTATCGTATACCAATCCATCGGCATTGCGAGAAAAACCGTTCTCTGACACGTGAAGTACAAACCTTTCATTATTAGTTACAAGATTCATTTCCCAAAAACATATAATAAAATAAAAGATAAAACTTACTTGGATGTCATGTAGAACAAGCTCCCATTCAAATGCATCCAAAGCCTTAGGACTGAGTATTTTCCGAAACAGCCGAACGAGTCCGCGGGGCCGTTGGCTCATAGCGAGCTTTGCAGCTTGCAGAAGCCGAGATATCGTATCCTCTTCTCCAAAGCACGATGTAGTCTGTATACTTGGAAGTTTTCCCCAGCCCACATCGTAGGAGTAGAAGAGAGGGATCTGTTGCTCCAAGAAATATGGCAGCAATGAAACGGTCACCGCGACGAGGCTGTGAAAGACATCAATCGAACCAAAGGAGAAAATCGAGGACCGAGAAATGAGGTTTTCCATGTCGGCAGGATCGATGTCGACACTTGTCCGAGCACAGAGCACCCATTCCTCCTCATCCTTTGGTCGATCGCAGATTAAGGGATTTGAGAAAAAAAGGGGATCGATCCGGAAGGGTTTGGGGCTGGGTGACTGGCTGAGTTGAATTGTGGGGGAGGAAGTAGTCACAAGAGACTGTTTGGGAGAAGCAGTTGTCGAGACGTGCGACGACATTTACTACGGAAGGTGTATGGGGAGGGTGTATGTAGGGAAGTGGTTGATGAATGCTCCTGCAAAACAAAAAAAACAAAACAATAGATCAGAAAATAGATGCTGTTCAGATTTAAGAAAGAAATCAAATGTAGATTGGACATTTCCGATACAAAAGGGAATCACATTTATTTATACCGACTTTTATAATGGACCGGATGACCAGAAGAGCTGTGCTTACCCCCGGCATACCCGGCATACCCGGCATACCATACCACCTCATTTTATCTCCTCTCTCGTAACCTTTTTTTTTCTTCTTTTTCGGAGACCCAACTCAACCTGTCGAGGTTTCCAGCTGAACAGCTGAAGTCATCACTATTGATGCCGCCACCAAGAGTCTCACCCTTGTCAAGGGTTATTATGGGGACAGTGCCGGCTTTGTATCCTTTGAAGGCTTCTTAGTTGTAGAAAAAGGTACTTGTTGGCAGTGTCGTCTCGGCTTTTCGGTGCACCTTGCCCCAGCCAGCCAAAGGCAATGGCAAGGACACCGGCGACGACGCCACTAATGATCTAATAATGTCAGTATTCCGACTATTCCTTACCACCACACCAATGGCCTACTGTATGCAAGCAGGGTACTGCCCACGGACCACACTGAAATGCATGATACAGACACGGTCTAATAACCTAGAAGAGCAAATGGCATAGTTTGATTCACGACACAAAAATATTACGGCAACACCGGTGCTCCACGGAACACTTACCATACGACCAGATTCCATACGTGCTCGTTTAGCCGGGATGGGCGGCGTCGGTGTGGTTGCTGAGCGTACGTCTTGTGGTGTCGATTCGCGTCCGCGGCTGTTGAAATTGAGTGAGCAAGGAATCTTTCCTTCTCATTTCTGTCACACTTGCGTCCTTGTTGCGTCCCGTCCTTCGTCCGCTCGTTGCTGCAGGTGGCGTTACGCTAGTCCTGCACGCATTCTCATTGCGCTCCCAGGATGATATCAAAGCTCCACCTTCCGGGGCGTTTCTAATAGCGCAATGAATGTGGATACTACACCTTCTTATCCGTTTCAATAGTTGCCCGTGGTTCATGACGGCGAGCGAGAGCAAGAAAAAGGTAGGAGGGCATCACAGATGGCTACATCCTTGCCGTTCTGGATGGTGATGGATTTCACTACACTCGTAAGAAAGAGAGCCTCTATACGGCGGCTGATTGGGGAACGGCATTGATTATTTAATACTCTTTCCTCCATTCCATTTTGACTTTGGTCAACG